CAAATGCTTATCTTCATGCAATTAGTGACTTTTTAAAAAATGTTTTTGCTGAGGTTCAACATGTACTTGATAATGACAGTCAGAGAACCTGTTATTTGTAACAAACTCTATAACTTTCCATGTAGATTGTTTTACTACGAAGATTTCAAGTGCGAGCTGGAAATCTGTACCACTTAAAGTTTGGCGTATAGGACAATGTACATACTCCATGGACATAAGTTTGCATTGAGCATTCATCTTAATTCATGGGCGTAATTAAAATGTTTTCATTAAAATGGATTTTTATGCATGTCCTCATTTGTAAGTGCAGAAAGGTAAATTCTTGACACCAAATGTATGTGATAATAAAAGGAGTTAAAACAAGCAGAGGTGTTTTACAGAAAAGGGGACATCTGTAGATTCCTATAATTACTGATGTAAACAGGTTAAATCATTACATATCTGTAATACCAGTTTCATCAACAAAAGATTTTAATGGTATTCATCATATACACTAATTTGTAAATGATATTTTTTTTATCTGACTTAAATAAATGTGATATCATAGAGATTTTGTTGATCTATATTGGATGCCTGGAGATATTTTGTATCTTTAGTCAATATCATTTATGAAATATCTTGCATAGAATGGGTATACTTTATATTGTTTGTACTACATTAGGTATATTGTCTGTACTACATTAGATATATTGTCTGTACTACATTAGGTATATTGTCTGTACTACATTAGATATATTGTCTGTACTACATTAGGTATATTGTCTGTACTACATTAGGTATATTGTCTGTACTACATTAGGTATATTGTCTGTACTACATTAGGTATATTGTCTGTATTACATTAGGTACTACATTAGGTATATTGTCTGTACTACATTAGGTATATTGTCTGTACTACATTAGATATATTGTCTGTACTACATTAGGTATATTGTCTGTACTACATTAGGTATATTGTCTGTACTACATTAGGTATATTGTCTGTACTACATTAGGTACTACATTAGGTATATTGTCTGTACTACATTAGATATATTGTCTGTACTACATTAGGTATATTGTCTGTACTACATTAGATATATTGTCTGTACTACATTAGGTATATTGTCTGTACTACATTAGGTATATTGTCTGTACTACATTAGGTATATTGTCAGTACTACATTAGGTATATTGTCTGTACTACATTAGGTATATTGTCTGTACTACATTAGGTACTACATTAGGTATATTGTCTGTACTACATTAGGTATATTGTCTGTACTACATTAGATATATTGTCTGTACTACATTAGGTATATTGTCTGCACTACATTAGGTATATTGTCTGCACTACATTAGGTATATTGTCTGCACTACATTAGGTATATTGTCTGTACTACATTAGGTATATTGTCTGTACTACATTAGGTATATTGTCTGTACTCCATTTGGTATATTGTCTGTACTACATTAGGTATATTGTCTGTACTACATTAGGTATATTGTCTGTACTACATTAGGTATACTGTCTGTACTACATTAGGTATATTGTCTGTACTACATAAGATATATTGTCTGTACTTCATTAGGTATATTGTCTGTACTACATTAGATATATTGTCTGTACTACATTAGGTATATTGTCTGTACTACATTAGGTAATACCTTAGGAATATAGTCTGTACTACATTAGGTATATTGTCTGTACTACATTAGGTATATTGTCTGTACTACATTAGGTATATTGTACTACATTAGGTACTACCTTAGGTATATTGTCTGTACTACATTAGATATATTGTCTGTACTACATTAGGTATATTGTCTGTACTACATCAGGTATACTGTCTGTACTACATTAGGTATACTGTCTGCACTACATTAGGTATATTGTCTGTACTACATTAGGTATATTGTCTGTACTACATTAGGTACTACATTAGGTATATTGTCTGTACTACATTAGGTATATTGTCTGTACTACATTAGGTATATTGTCTGTACTACATTAGGTATATTGTCTGTACTACATTAGGTATATTGTCTGTACTACATTAGGTATATTGTACTACATTAGGTATATTGTCTGTACTACATTAGGTATACTGTCTGTACTACATTAGGTATACTGTCTGTACTACATTAGGTATACTGTCTGCACTACATTAGGTATATTGTCTGTACTACATTAGGTACTACATTAGGTATATTGTCTGTACTACATTAGGTATATTGTCTGTACTACATTAGGTATATTGTCTGTACTACATCAGGTATATTGTCTGTACTACATTAGGTATATTGTCTGTACTACATTAGGTATATTGTCAGTACTACATTAGGTATATTGTACTACATTAGGTATATTGTCTGTACTACATCAGGTATATTGTCTGCACTACATTAGGTATATTGTCTGTACTACATTAGGTATATTGTCTGTACTACATTAGGTATATTGTCTGTACTACATTAGGTACTACATTAGGTATATTGTCTGTACTACATTAGGTATATTGTCTGTACTACATTAGGTACTACATTAGGTATATTGTCTGTACTACATTAGGTATATTGTCTGCACTACATTAGGTATATTGTCTGTACTACATTAGGTACTACATTAGGTATATTGTCTGTACTACATTAGGTATATTGTCTGTACTACATTAGGTAAATTGTCTGTACTACATTAGGTATATTGTCTGTACTACATTAGGTATATTGTCTGTACTACATTAGGTACTACATTAGGTATATTGTCTGTACTACATTAGGTATATTGTCTGTACTACATTAGGTATATTGTCTGTACTACATTAGGTATATTGTCTGTACTACATTAGGTATATTGTCTGTACTACATTAGGTATATTGTCTGTAATACATTAGGTATATTGTCTGCACTACATCAGGTATATTGTCTGTACTACATCAGGTATATTGTCTGTACTACATTAGATATATTGTCTGTACTACATTAGGTATATTGTCTGCACTACATTAGGTATATTGTCTGTACTACATTAGGTATATTGTCTGCACTACATCAGGTATATTGTCTGTACTACATCAGGTATATTGTCTGTACTACATTAGATATATTGTCTGTACTACATTAGGTATATTGTCTGCACTACATTAGGTATATTGTCTGCACTACATTAGATATATTGTCTGTACTACATTAGGTATATTGTCTGTACTACATTAGATATATTGTCTGTACTACATTAGGTATAATGTCTGTACTACATTAGGTACTACATTAGGTATATTGTCTGTACTACATTAGGTATATTGTCTGTACTATATTAGGTATATTGTCTGTACTACATTAGGCACTACATTGGGTATATTGTCTGTACTACATTAGGTATATTGTCTGTACTACATTAGGTATATTGTCTGCACTACATTAGGTATATTGTCTGTACTACATTAGATATATTGTCTGTACTACATTAGGTATATTGTCTGTACTACATTAGGTATATTGTCTGTACTACATTAGGTATATTGTCTGTACTACATTAGGTATATTGTCTGTACTACATTAGGTATATTGTCTGTACTACATTAGGTATATTGTCTGTACTACATTAGGTATATTGTCTGTACTACATCAGGTATATTGTCTGTACTACATTAGGTACTACATTAGGTATATTGTCTGTACTACATTAGGTATATTGTCTGTACTACATTAGGTATATTGTCTGTACTACATTAGGTATATTGTCTGTACTACATTAGGTATATTGTCTGTACTACATTAGGTATATTGTCTGTACTACATCAGGTATATTGTCTGTACTACATTAGGTACTACATTAGGTATATTGTCTGTACTACATTAGGTATATTGTCTGTACTACATTAGGTATATTGTCTGTACTACATTAGGTATATTGTCTGTACTACATTAGGTATATTGTCTGTACTACATTAGGTATATTGTCTGTACTACATTAGGTATATTGTCTGTACTCTGTACTACATTAGGTACTACAGGTATAGAGATATATTGTCTGTACTACATTAGGTATATTGTCTGTACTACATTAGATATAGTGTCTGTACTACATTAGGTACTACATAAGATATATTGTCTGTACTACATTAGGTATATTGTCTGTACTACATTAGGTATATTGTCTGTACTACATTAGGTATATTGTCTGTACTACATTAGGTATATTGTCTGTACTACATTAGGTACTACATTAGGTATATTGTCTGTACTACATTAGGTATATTGTCTGTACTACATTAGGTATATTGTCTGTACTATATTAGGTATATTGTCTGTACTACATTAGGTATATTGTCTGTACTACATTAGGTATATTGTCTGTACTACATTAGGTATATTGTCTGTACTACATTAGGTATATTGTCTGTACTATATTAGGTATATTGTCTGTACTACATTAGGTATATTGTCTGTACTACATTAGGTATATTGTCTGTACTACATTAGGTACTACATTAGGTATATTGTCTGTACTACATTAGGTATATTGTCTGTACTACATTAGGTATATTGTCTGTACTACATTAGGTATATTGTCTGTACTACATTAGGTATATTGTCTGTACTACATTAGGTATATTGTCTGTACTACATTAGGTATATTGTCTGTACTACATTAGGTATATTGTCTGTACTACATTAGGTATATTGTCTGTACTACATTAGGTATATTGTCTGTACTATATTAGGTATATTGTCTGTACTACATTAGATATATTGTCTGTACTACATTAGGTATATTGTCTGTACTACATTAGGTATATTGTCTGTACTACATTAGGTATATTGTCTGTACTACATTAGGTATATTGTCTGTACTACATTAGGTATATTGTCTGTACTACATTAGGTATAATCGTAGTCATTTGATTTCTTGAATGTTCTCTTACTTTTCCAATGTTAAGAACTAAACATAATATGTGTTTTAAAAAAATCTGAGAGAAGTGTCCTTTGTAAATACACTTTATTAGATTAATATGTTTTATTCAATATCCCTGATATCAATTTGTCCTATAAATGTACTTTTGAAGTGAGCGAGGTAGAGGTAGCCTTGATGTTGGTAAGCTTCTCCCACTGCCGAGGTAACCTGCCCTGTAGGGTCATGGAGACTACGAATAATCTTGCCATCTGGACTGATCTCCAATACAATGGCATGTCTTGGAACAAATATATCAAACAGAAACAGTGGTGTCACCTGAGGAGAGAATGATTGTTCAACAATACATAACGGCGTTTGAAGTTGAAAGTAACAGATAACAATTTAATCAGGTTAAACCAAAGGTAAATACGACGTTATTGAAAACATTCTTAAATACAGTCATAGTCGTATGAATTTTATTGCCTTTGTTAGTTCAACTCAACCTTGTGCTTTCTTTTACAGTACACACAGTAAAGTTTATACACAAGAAAATTTTGCCATTAATCAAATACTTTCTCCTTAAAAGAAGGCAAATTTCACAATGTAGCAAAAGTTTCAACTTAAAACATGAAATCTTTATTCCAATCCCTAAGGGTGCAGCAAATTGCTCATAGTATTTTCCAAATCTTGAAACTGTACGTTTAAATTGTGTATAGATTTTATGTCTTAATGATAAACAATGGAACTCAACATCATGTTAAGTTCAAAGTGTAAAGTAGTATTAAGTGCATTATATAAGAAAATGCCTTTAAAAACCATATATAGCCATCATCATTGTCTATTACCTTAGCTATGAAGTTTTTTATTCCAGGATAGGGTCCAACCAGATCCAGGAAAGGACCAATTTTACTGACTCCCTCGTATCTTACAGCTCCCAAACCAACGTAAAAGTTTCCGTGATTGTTTATTTTGATGTTGTCAGGGTAACCTGGTAAGTTGTCAGAAAAGATGTCCATCTGTCCTGTCTTTGGTCCCTTCAGGTATAACCTACAACACAATACATGAATCTAGCTTTAAAACACCACAAGAACAGGTGTGTTTAGGTTTGTATTGAACACCAAGGAGAACAGTGTAAAATATTTCTAATAAACACCACAAGGACAGGTGTGTTTAGATTTGTATTGAACACCAAGGAGAACAGTGTAAAATGTTTCTAATAAACACCACAAGGACAGGTGTGTTTAGATTTGTATTGAACACCAAGGAGAACAGTGTAAAATGTTTCTAATAAACACCACAAGGACAGGTGTGTTTAGATTTGTATTGAACACCAAGGAGAACAGTGTAAAATGTTTCTAATAAACACCACAAGGACAGGTGTGTTTAGATTTGTATTGAACACCAAGGAAAACAGTGTAAAATGTTTCTAATAAACACCACAAGGACAGGTGTGTTTAGATTTGTATCAAACACCAAGGAGAACAGTGTAAAATGTTTCTAATAAACACCACAAGGACAGGTGTGTTTAGATTTGTATCAAACACCAAGGAGAACAGTGTAAAATGTTTCTAATAAACACCACAAGGACAGGTGTGTTTAGATTTGTATTGAACACCAAGGAGGACAGTCTAAAATGTTTCTAAGAAACACCACAAGGAACAATGTGTTTAGGTTTGTATTTAACACCAAAAAGAACAGTGTAAAATGTTTCTAATAAACACAATGGGAACAACGTGTTTAGGTCTGTATTTAACACCAAAAAGAACAGTGTAAAATGTTTCTAATAAACACCATGGGAACAACGTGTTTAGGTCTGTATTTAACACCAAAAAGAACAGTGTAAAATGTTTCTAATAAACACCATGGGAACAACGTGTTTAGGTCTGTATTTAACACCAAAAAGAACAGTGTAAAATGTTTCTAATAAACACCATGGGAACAACGTGTTTAGGTCTGTATTTAACACCAAAAAGAACAGTGTAAAATGTTTCTAATAAACACCATGGGAACAACGTGTTTAGGTTTGTATTTAACACCAAAAAGAACAGTGTAAAATGTTTCTAATAAACACCATGGGAACAATGTGTTTAGGTCTGTATTTAACACCAAAAAGAACAGTGTAAAATGTTTCTAATAAACACCATGGGAACAACGTGTTTAGGTCTGTATTTAACACCAAAAAGAACAGTGTAAAATGTTTCTAATAAACACCATGGGAACAATGTGTTTAGGTCTGTATTGAACACCAAAAAGAACAGTGTAAAATGTTTCTAAGAAACACCACAGGGAGCAACGTGTTTAGGTTTGTATTTAACACCAAAAAGAACAGTGTAAAATGTTTTTAAGAAACACCACCGGAACAATGTGTTTAGGTTTGTATTTAACACCAAAAAGAACAGTGTAAAATGTTTCTAATAAACACCACAAGGAACAATGTGTTTAGGTCTGTATTGAACACCAAAAAGAACAGTGTAAAATGTTTCTAATAAACATCTCAGGGAACAATGTGTTTTGTTTATATTCAACACCAAAAAGAACAGTGTAAAATGTTTCTAATAAACATCTCAGGGAACAATGTGTTTTGTTTATATTCAACACCATAGGGAACAATGTGTTAAAATTTATTTTGAACACCAAAGAGACCAACATTGAATACAGCAGGGTCCAGTGGCTTCAGGTTTCAAACAAACACCACTACTGCCCAGAATAACTAACCTGCTCAGGCGACATACACTCATCTCGCTAATGACCAGGAATGATTCATCCTGCGACAACGCAATGCCGTTAGCTAGATAGAGATTCCCCAGCAGTTGTCTGGCTACCTTTGTCTCAGGGTTGTATTCAATGAGTCGTCCAAGGGCATTCACCTCCATCACCTACAATGAACAACTATCTTCATCAAATACAATGACCATCACATTAAATAACTTAACAACTTGTCCAAACTAACAAATTGGGCCACCCTAAAACCTGTCCAAACTAACACATTATGCTACTCTTGAACCTGTGGAAACCAACACATGAGACTACTTATGTTAAATCTTGTCTGAATAAAATCATTTTTTGCCACTCTAACACCTGCCCAAACAGATATATTTGGCCATTCAAAGACCCAGCACACCAGGAAGCCATGACATCCTCTAAACTGTCCTATGTAGATATTTTGTTCATATTAGATCTATCTAAAATCTATTAAAAAACAGATAAAACTAACACACGGAATACATTGAAACTTATCAGCAATAATACTACTTTTGATAAAACATCCATTAGAAATATTCCCAGCAAATTTAACAAATATTAAGTTAAAATGATATAAATTTTATTTCAGTTGGTGTTTCTTACCTCATATCTGTAGTGACGTCGGCCCCACCTGGTGGTGGAGTCTGTAAAGTACACAAGCCCAGACTGTGAGATGTCGAGGCTATTAAGGAAGAAGAATGGTTCACCATTGATACCTACAAAAGTTGATTTTATCAAAGATCATCTGAAATGATTATACATGTATTGCTAAGAGATTCATAAAATGTTATTAATATAGAAAGTCAGCCACAGTTCATGTATCCTAACTATACAATACTAGTATAAAACCCTGATAACAAACCCATGTACATGTTAAACTATTGTTGTTAATTATACTTGGTCATGTTATCAAATTATTAATTAATCTCTTGTAATTAAATCATTGGAGAGTAAAAAAACTTGTTAATATGTTTTCTCTGCATTCTTCTCTTTACATTGCACACATGCACCCAAACGTGCACACACACACACACACCACACACACACCACCACCACCACCACATACACACATACCACCACCACACACACTTACCGCCACCATCACACATACAGACCCATCCACACACACACATACCACCACCAACACATACACACCCATCCATACACACACACACCACCACCACACACACACATACCACCACCACCACCACACATACACACCTATCCACACACACTCCCTTACACACCATACATACACACACCTCTTCCCCCACACACTCACACATGCACCACCACACACCACACACACACACACTCTTCCCACATACACACACCACCTCCCCATATCCCCTACACACACACACACACGAACAAACATATTTCCAGTAATGATTGATAAATTGGTCGTACCAGTTTCACTGGACAGCAGCATCTCCATCTGACCAGTGCTGACATTGACCTTCAACAGACCAAAGTATGCATCAAGAACAAGAAGGTCACCTTCTCTGTTCATCTTTAACCCTTTAGGTCTCCCACAAATTGGCTCCAGTTCAAATGATCCTTTGAAAAAATAGTAACAAAATTGAAGTCTCTAAACACCGATAACATTTGAAAACTGCTAAACAATTAAATAAGAATGTCTTTGACAATTTCTCCTATGATATCTGTGTATCAGACTTAACAAACATGATTTCTTTTATACTTTCATGGTAAAAATTAATATTAAATATATTATATCAAATTAAATTTATACTTGGGGAAAGAAATGCAACTTCAACTTTACAGTTAAATACATCTAAACTTTATTTATGAGCGATATTCTTAAATGTGAAATGCAATAGTTAACTTTGAATATTGGATGCCTCTTCAAATTTTTAACAAATAAGGACCTCATCAGGCTGTCATGAGTTAGGGTATCGTAATTTACACGAAGTTGAAATAACAGCAGTTGTCAGACCGATCCCTAATATAGTTTGTGCTCTCCCTGAACAGCTAAAGCATATACCTGGGTATAATTCTGCTCTGCATGGAGGTCATAAAGACACAGACAGTCTGTAGAGCAATGTTATTCCATTCGGAATCAGACAAATCAGAACTATATGAAGGCCAATAAATAGGTACAATGTTCTGGGTTGCAAGAAAATCTACTACAAACTTTTGGCCTAACGTTATCATACTGAAAGGTCAAATGGTGCCTTATAATGAAAGGTACAACACGAGGCCTCAGGATCTCATCTTGATAGTGTACAGCCATTAAATTCCCTTTAATGGCCACTAAAGGTGTCTTTAAACCATGCAAAATTCCTCTCAAAACCAATCTAACCCCAAATCTGGCATACTTCAAAACACGAGCATTTGCAAGATGCTCTCCTCGAAACCGGTACAGTTGACGGCCATTTGATTGAAATAACGTGAATGGAGATTCATCGTGCAAATCATGGACCTTCAACGTCTCATAGAGAACTGTTAAAGCACAAGTGCCGTCAACCATCCCATACAATGTGCTCGATGTCAAGGTGTCAGTGACAAACCAACATACTGCCGACTTCGATGTAAATTTGTCTCTCACAGCTATTTCTCACAGTCTTGGGGTGGATTTGACATTTTCCTTTATCACTGGTATTTCATGCCATTTCGGCTGCCGTTTATCTCCTATCACGCAAGTGGGCTAGTCTACTGAACCAAACTTGACATTGTGACGGACGTCCGGATCTTGGTCTGTCGTCAACTCTTCCTGTGGCATTAAGATGTAAAACTAACTGACTTATAGTCGATTTATGAACTCCAAAGTGAGAAGTGACCTGTTGAGTGCTACCTCCCATGAGCATGGCAAGAACCATCCTATGTCAAGTTGTGATAGCTTAGTATATTTGCAAAAATTGGCAATCACACATCTTGGTGATAGTTAGAAATAGACACTAGTTTGAATGGAAAAGAACACATGTGTACAGTCACAATACATTGCTAATTTAGGTGCACTGGATGTGGATAAGTTTTGTGTCACAGATGACAGATATCTAACATTTAGTGGGGGATAAGGTGACCTAACATTCCTCTTACTTTTTATATGGCTACAGTGTATATATATTCAATACGAAAAATTTCACAACTGAAGAAGTTACGTTTCTTTATCCTTTCAGTATATTATGAAATTAGATTCAAACATCTGGTAGATCAGGTAGTATGGATTTATCTCCTTTATGACATCACTATTGTTCAAATGTGGTATCAATTACAAGGAATCTTTTCTCTATCACGTGATTATCATGTGACATGCGAGACAAAAATCTGCCTTTTGACAGGCACAGCATCACAGATATGTGAATATTTAGCCAAGGGAGAAAACTCTTGTGCAAAAAAGTTCCTTTTCTTTTTTTCACTTCACTTTTGCTGTCATTAAGATAATGATGAGGTATAGTATACTTCCTACCTTCAACAATGGAATTTTGAATTAAACACTATAAGGAGGGGGAGGTAACCCATGAACTTTTGTGTCTCTTTGAACTTTAATACAATTTTTCTGTGAACCATTTCTTCATCATGAATTAGATTTTGCTCTGTAATCTTATTTTATCTGTAATCAATTTAACAGATCACTGTATTTGAAGATTTATGATCATGATATCCCATCTAACCACATCCGGGGACGTTCTGGCCTGTCCTTGCTATAGTCCAGATATGGGTGTTGTTAAAGGCCAAAATCCTTCCATCCTGTGCTCCTGTGTACAGTGTTCCTGTGATCAGAAAATTCTTACATTAAGTAAAAATTGTTTCCATGTTTATACTCAGCAGCTTGTAATTTCTGGTGAAGAAGTTAGTGAACTATCAATTCAACAGTTTAAACATTTAATTTTTTTATTTATTACAAAAAATTGGAATGTAGCATGCATTACTAAAGAGCTATACAGTTTACCATTTTTGCCAGCAGTAATGGACTCTGGGCCAAGCAGCTGACCCTCAAACAATTTCTTGGCTCTCTGAAGGAGGTTGTTTTTCTGTAGGGTTCCTTCCAGAGCAGGCAGAGGTTTAGGATAACTAGAAAAACAATTATCAATAGATGTATTTACGCTTCAACAATAAACTGTTACCAGATGGGGTATACAATCGATACAAAGCCAATCCGGGTGAAAGATAAATATTCCTGACGCCCACATCTTGTAGCAGTTTATTATTTATATTTCTGTTCCCAAATATCTACAAAAACTCAAAACAAAACAAAAACATGGAATACACTGTTTAATTTTCCCGATCAATCAAATACTGGCATCTGAGAACAGCCATAATTATAGAGTTCCTTGTGTCATCATAATCAACAATTGTATGAAATAGTCACAAATTTTTGTTGATATCAAGTGTAAACTATCCCAAGTTTTTTAATAGTTACATTATTTTACAATGTAGTTTGAAATAAAAATGTGCACATTACAGAGGTCACCACAATATACAGTGTTTATATTACAGAGGTCGCCTCTATATACAGTGTTTATATTACAGAGGTCACCTCTATATACAGTGTTTATATTACAGAGGTCACCACTATATACAGTGTTTATATTACAGAGGTCACCACTATATACAGTGTTTATATTACAGAGGTCACCACTATATACAGTGTTTATATCACAGAGGTCACCTGTATATACAGTGTTTATATTAGAAGTCAACTGTATACACCGTGTTTATATTACAGAGGTCACCACTATATACAGTGTTTATATTACAGAGGTCACCACTATATACAGTATTTATACTATACAGGTCACCACTATATACAGTATTTATACTATAGAGGTCATCACTATATACAGTGTTTATATTAAAGAGGTCACCTGTATATACCGCGTTTATATTACAGAGGTCACCACCATATACAATGTTTATATCACAGAGGTCACCACTATATACAGTGTTTATATCACAGAGGTCGCCACTATATACAGTATTTATACTATAGAGGTCATCACTATATACAGCGTTTATACTATAGAGGTCACCACTATATACAGTATTTATACTATAGAGGTCACCACTATATACAGTATTTATACTATAGAGGTCATCACTATATACAGTGTTTATATATACCGTGTTTATATTACAGAGGTCACCACCATATACAATGTTTATATCACAGAGGTCACCACTATATACAGTGTTTATATCACAGAGGTCACCACTATATACAGTGTTTATATCACAGAGGTCACCACAATATACAGTAATTATACTATAGAGGTCACCACTATATACAGTATTTATACTATAGAGGTCACCACTATATACAGTATTGATACTATAGAGGTCACCACTATATACAGTGTTTATATCACAGAGGTCACCACTATATACAGTGTTTATATCACAGAGGTCACCACTATATACAGTATTTATACTATAGAGGTCACCACTATATACATTGTTTATATCACAGAGGTCACCACAATATACAGAGGTCACCACTATATACAGTAATTATACTATAGAGGTCACCACTATATACAGTATTGATACTATAGAGGTCATCACTATATACAGTGTTTATATCACAGAGGTCACCACTATATACAGTGTTTATATCACAGAGGTCACCACTATATACAGTAATTATACTATAGAGGTCACCACTATATACAGTGTTTATATCACAGAGGTCACCACTATATACAGTGTTTATACACCACTATATACAGTATTTATACTATAGAGGTCACCACTATATACATTGTTTATATCACAGAGGTCACCACAATATACATTATTTATACTATAGAGGTCACCACTATATACAGTATTGATACTATAGCGGTCAGTTTAGTAGTAGAATCATACTTACATGTATAAGTTTGGTCGTATTGGTGACGGTATAAGAGAGACGTAGACAGTGAACACTGCAGACAATGCTGATAGTAACCATACCCATGACACCCTGTCAAATAAAACAGCAATTTTATATCTACTGAAACATAGAATGATGTTTTATAAAACATAAATTCTAAACATGTTGTTTTTCTGTTTTCTATATGTCAAAACTAATCTTCAGAAGTGTTTACCTGGGCCAGGACATGGTCGCCCTACATCAGTCGTGGTAAAAACTGGCCAAGGTGACTGTTTACACATCACACATCAATGTTATCACCTCAATGTTTCAGAAAACTTGATTTTTTTCTGCCAAGAGTGCATTTAGAAAATTGAGTCAGTGAAAAAAGATGATGAAGTGTTTTTCTTTTCTCAAATTCACAGTCATGTGGCACTCAAAACAACTTTATACAACTATAGAATAAACTGACCTTTTCATTTGCAGTGTTGAGGACAGCTGCTTGAGGTCAAACATGGTGACCGGTCACTGTCCTCCTTGTTCTGTCCCTCTTTGTGTGCTATGGCTGAATGGTGTTAGCAAGGTTTCAGGTCACTTTGAGAGCTGGCTCTGGACATACTCCAGTCAGACTTGTTACTGTAGTCAAGATTTAAAAACATACATTTTGAGTAGTCAGTTCAACTAATGCAAAGTGTATATTATATAGTTATTTGGCCAGTGCCCTATGTAGCCAGTAAACTAGCTACATTAACCTTGGTCAGTCCAACTCTTTCGTATGTTTATATGAGTGTCATTCCTGGTGGATCTCGGTTGTTTAAGTAGCTCTGTGTTTATATTTCCCCTTAAGGTGCCTCTGTCTGGATGTAATCATCTGTCTGGGTCAACAATGGTCAGGGGTTAGCTGTGAAAGACTAAGCTTGACCACAGGCAAAAATAGCACCGAGGTTGATATATAGGACCCCTATTTTTCCTCTATGTGTTGGTTATATATGGTTTGTAGAAACACATTTTCATCCGATTCTGTGTGGTCCTGTTTCCGTGAGTGGCATCAGACAGCTGCACTGTCCGTGACTTGGCCGTGGTGGACTGGGGCCGTGGTAGACTGGGACCTTAAACAAGAATTCACGCGCGACTTAATCAATTAGAATATAAAATCAAGTGCTTTCTTTTGTTGTATATCATAAAAAACGCACAGTCTACGGAGACGGTCTTGGTCAGAGCCAGGCAACATCAGGAAATCTGAACTTTTTATATTTTCATGGTATTTCATCGTATTTGAACGGAAGTAATTGTATTAAGTGTTTGGTCAACTGAAATTAATTATGATATAGAAATTAAATGTTTTCTGCTGAGGCATATCCTAAATACTGGTCATGGGACTGTAACCCGATTTGCCCACTTTTCAAAAATAACATGAACATAGGAATGTTGTTAAACGTTTAAGTCTACTTTAGATAACTTATGGCCCTATATTGGAAGATGATATATGAAACGATAAGAATTTCAAGAGAGTTGATAAATTAATACAGGTTTTACATGTTCTTACGTAACATTTATATCATACTGAACGACAAAGAAATCAATCACATCTAATTTACTGGGAGTTAAAACTGATTCAAATATACATTTTCTTTCGTATATAACCTGTCTAGATTGAAAAATCATCATTTGAGTCATGTAAGAATTCAAACGTATTCAAATAATTAGTTAACGTTCATATTTCTAACTTAAATACACTAAAATAATCCAATGCTGGCCAGTCCCATCATCAGGCGGACCCTCCTTCCTCAGTCATTTCGGCAGTTTCTCCGCGACGTCCTCCAAAGGTGCACCGACTGGGTTGATCAGGCCCAACCAGGGACTAGTCGGCTGTCGCTGCATGCTGTTAAATCCTCTTTGCTAAACCTGCTGCATCACTACGGGCAGTGATGCCTACTTTTCTCCCGTCACTATGTGCCTAGCGCTGTGCCTGGTGACCACTCCACTGTTCTTCCCTCACCCTCCATACCCAGCTTGAAGCGGCATCTGTCGTATGCCTGCCTTTTTGCTCCCAACAGTCTCTCCTACGAACCCTTGTTGGCGTAACGTCAGTCTCCACGGGCAGCCATCAAGTTCTCCAGCTCTGTTGTTGACACTCATTTGCCTCTTCCACCTTGTCTTCCCCAAGCATGGTTACCTCGACCATCACAAACTGCTTTGAGCTGCAGTACCAAAACACGGTGTCTGTGTGGAATGGTATTGAACCATCTCTACTGGGAAATGCAGGACCAAAAAAGTTTTTCAGGTTTGTAATGTCAGAAGACTGAAAGTTCTTACAACACACTGTTCTGTTAGTTGTATCATTAGAACTTACATGTGTATTATGAATTGAAATTTTATTGTGTATACTTTATATCAGACGGTTTTTAACATGACTCTTTATTGTGTTATTTTATTAATTCAACAGAAATCATTTAAAATTTCATCTATAACGGAGACGTATAACACCGTATTATACCTCCCTGTCTACTGTTTCTAGTATAACAGATCACACAGGTATAAAGATAAGTAAATGAACACAGGTAATTAGCATGTAACGGATTATAATTGGTTTGCTTTTGATGTCATAAAACAATATCTTTCTTTATCTGGAGTGGATAAATCGGGAACCTCCCATTGAGATGACAACAGTAGACTAGCTTTTATGATACATTCACATTTTTCTCAATGTTGATATAAAATTCTAAGAAGTTATAGAAAACCTCCACACGATTTCATCGTTCGAGTATTTAGGACAGACTTGACATTTCCAATTTTACTCTAAAAGAAATATTAAACAAACGATCTATTTCATTAATACAGTATATGGAATTTCGCTTTTAGCAATTTTTTAACGTTAATCTGGATAGACTTTAACATGCCCAGATATGACATACTAGCCTGTTATACGTTATCAAACTGTCACTGGATAACGGTATCCATATATTTAGGCCAAACCATTGGGACATATAACCAGAACAATACTTTCTTATTGTGAACAGTTCCGATGGAGAGCCCACAAGAGTTATCTACCCTGTGGTTTTGTAGATATCCATAGTCAATTTACAGATATCAATAAATAGTGACCTTTTCAACTTCGGCTTATCAGACGAGGCCAGAACACTGACGTTCGTCAGTGAGATGCTGCCCAGAGTCGCGGAGACAGAAAACCTGTCACCCAGCAAACCTTTTTAGCTTGCCATATTACGCACTCCATAGATATACTCTAAAAATGTACAAACTAATCTAGGAATCTAAAAAGATAAGGTAACAAGAAAAGTATGGACGAAAGAATACATAGAGGAGTGGTTAAAAGAAATTCTGTTTTGCTGCAAAGAAGAAACTAGTAACGCAGTTCCAAACATCAATAAAAGGGGTTTGAAAAATGTGAAGTACTATGTACAACATAGCCTTGTACAACAGCGAAGTAGAAAGGAAATAGACTGTAAACATTCATGTCAATGGACTAATTGTCAGATTGTCTTAATTTTACGGAATTTGAGTTTGGCTTATGATTATGTTGACATATTGGTATTGTCTCGATGTTTTTCTTTCAGTGTAGATCACTTCAATTATCCCCTTCAAAATAGTCTCCAGAGAGGCGGCAAAAGGTGCCCATCATAAGGTGGTGGCCCAGACAAATTACCCGATATCCGTGATCAGTCGACCACCGTCCGTCCGTCTGTCCGAAAACAGTTTTTGTAATCGCTATTTCTTGAGAAGTATTAGATGGACATTTCTCAATTCACTTTGTAAGTCCTCCTTGGTCCCTAAATGCGACCTTTTAGAACTAATCAGAAAAACAAAATGGCCAGCAGGTGGCCATCTTGGAATTTGACAATGGAAGTTTGTTATCGCTATTTCTTGAGAAGCACTGGATGAATCACTCTCAAACTTTATATTATGGGAAGAGCGGTTAGAGTCACGTGCACCTGGCTGAATGGTAAACCGATGTTTCGACATATTTCATAGATTTTGTCCATCGTGAGTAAAATTATCATCTGAATTTTGGCATGAGGGCGTAAGAAAGTACTTCCATCCCCTACCTATCATTCCAGTATCATTGGCATAAAAAATCTGTTTGGAGCAAGTTTGATATGACAATGGACTTCCATTGTCTTATCAAACTTGCTCCAAAGTGATCACAACTTGCACTATAGTACAGTGCAAGTGGTGACCACCGCTCACGGTGAAATTCCGATAATTGCTACAGTTGTGTCTTTGTATTTGGACAAGTGTATCAGCGTACGAAGTATATTCTAAGCTAGTAATTCAACATGGGTCCTTCTAAAATTACGAGATTATTCTGTCAGATAGGATGAACGAACTTTAAAGCCGGATAATTCTGCAAAGGAGTATTTGGACACGATCTTTTCGAAGCTGAAGGAGGAACTACAGAATTGGTGAACTCTCCCAAATGGAGGATAGATACGTTAGAGACAGAAAATGAAGAAGGTAAGAAGGTCAATGATTTGGATCAGACAGTGATCCAGAAGATCTCCTAAGATACCCTGAAAACCAGCTCCGTCATCTCGAGCAGCACGGTCGGATTAACTTCCATCAGGGTAGCCGGTCTCCACGGCCCACAAGTTAAAGAATCGGTGGAAGAAACACAAGGTCATCAGAGCTGGGAAGACTTAGCAAAGATTAACCTTTAGAGACTAAGTGAAACATTTCAACTGGACTGTGTCCAGAATTCTTATAGTGTTTATGGAAATGGTTTGTTGTGCTAAAAACATGTAAATATTTTCACGATAGGATGCTCACAAGACAATGAGAATGATGCTAACTTCAGCTAAAGAAGTAGCTGGACTTATAGACTTTGGAGACGTCGATCGTGACCTTCACTTTTTGCCAACCAATGTACAAACTGTGTTAGATGTGCTCTAAGCATACTGGTGTGATTTAATATTGTTAAAATTCGAACTTCTCAAATAATCGTTTAATATCAGCATCCGCTAGGCCTTTTGATTTCTACACTTCCGACTCACGTGACTTTGAAATTGGGTAAAGGTCATTCACTAGAATAACTTAGTAGCCTTTAACACATGCATGCTACAGGCCTTATATCAGTCCCCTAGGTCATTTGAAGGGAAAGTTTACATATGGCAGATGGGGGACAATGACTGATGAAACATGATGGCTATAGGTCATCCTCACCCTTAAGTCTGACCCTAGTGATGGACAAAACACGATAGCAAAAGGATCGCCAGAAACAAGATTGGATATAGATATGGCTGGACATGCTACAATATGGAGTGGTGAATTATTAGGGCCCTGCATTTAGATGTATTATGCATAGTGTGGGACCAAGGCGCTAACACATGAACATTCTACACTTCAGCATGGAAGTATTTACCTTTAGTTTCATGAAATTGACAGAACCATCAATTGAGAGATGCTAACATTAGATAGGAACAGAAAATCCACACACTCAAATAAAACTCAACACTCTTTTTAAATTTTCATGATCTAGTAAAAGTATTTATTTCAAAATACACATTGAATATGACCAACGACTTCACTAAAATAATGTAAAATTTCATGTTGTTTTCCAGTATATATGTAATTGATAATGACAATGCTCACTTTTTACATCATGATATAAAGGACCACATGAAGTTGAATTTTGCTCCTCCAAGACAATGATAAATTCTGTTAGTTTAATGTAGTTTTGTCCTCGAGATATACTATAGTTTCCTTCTCTTAACAACAATGGCAATAAAGATATTAAATGTATGACTTGTTGAAGTACACGTACAGGTATAATCAAAATATATGGAGAAATAACATATAGATTTGACTGAACACAAAAGATACATATAGCAATAAATAACTTGTAATTGGACATCAATAAAAACTGCCTCACTTGTCATCAGAATTCTATAAAAGCTATATTTTTTGTTGCTGAAACATTGAGAATCACCTTAACTCAATTGTACATGTAATTGTAGATATAATTTAAGTATCATCCCTTATTAATAATTCTAATGAGGTTTGAATTATTTGAATGGAAACAATTATGCCCTAAAATGTCATTTTATTACAAAAATAATGGTAAACTTTTTACCGATCTTCATAGAAAGCACATGCTAGAAAAGCACCTTAGAATCCATTTAATGGTTCAACAATATCAGTGTATTTGAGAATATCTCAGTTGATTGGACTCCTGTTTGGCTTGACTCATCTGCCTCTGGGATCAATTATGCTCTGGAGTATCATTAAGCTATTATCTATTGTTAATTTAACCCACCAACTTACAATGTCCAAATCCTATATGGTCACTGATGGTCATTTTGAATATACTTTGAAGCTCAATATGTGGCATGCACAACTAGAACCCATATGAAACATGTTCATAATGTAACAAGGTGATACAATGTATCTTAAACAAGAGGCCCAAGGGACCTGCATCGCTCACCTGGCTAATTTACCTATTCAGCCATTTAATAAAGAATTTAAAAAAAGACAAATAATTTTTGAAATGTTTTCCCTTGTGGTCCATCAAAAGTCAGACTCACTATTCATTAAAATTGCTTTGGACCAAACTTGGACCCTGCCACTTGGGCCCCTGAGATCGAGAAATAATACTTCAACGAACTTGATTCCTTGTCAACCAAGAATGCTTTAGACTTAATTTTTGGCAAAATCTAACCAATCCTACAGGAGTAGGATTTTGAAAGAATTTACTCTATTTCCCTCTGACCAAATTTGGTCAAATACTATTCAGATGATAATGACTAGTAGCAATTTTTAGTAAAATGTTGATGGGTGCTGGACGGACGACAGATGCTGTGCCATGGCATAAGCTCACCAGTCCTTCAGACCAGGTGAGCTAAAAACCAGCACTAACAAACTTCATCTTTAAAATTTCAAATCAGCAACTGATGGCCATCTTTAAAATCGGATGATCCCAAAATGTCACTTGTACAAGTAAACTAGAACTGGTACTTGACATGTATAATATAGCTTCAACTTCCCAACTCTACTTGAAATGTGGCATGCACATTTAGGACCCATACAGAATATATCAGTACTTTCAAGGAGATGGTTGCAGTATAGTGTTTCAGAAACAGCTATATAGTGATTATGAGATCAAATAATGGACAGACAGATGGAAAGTGGAAAGACTACACATGTAAAGCAACTTAACAGTCCACTATCAGATGATGGTGAATCAAACACCACCAGCAACCTAAATAGTATAGCACAATTGATACAGTAATATATGCACCAACAACAAAATCTCAAATCAGATCTAAGCTCAGTAACCTGTGCAGCTGTTTAACAAAATTAATTAGTGATATTAATGGTACTATTGCAATCAATGTAGAGTTTATTAGTGAGAGATACACTGCGATGGTATACCTGAAGCTCGGGCCTGACACATCAATACTGATGAGGATTTCTCTGCTCTGATATTTGATATCATATTTTTGGTTTTATGTTATGAAAAGAAAAATCAAAACAAAATTTTTAAGAATTCTATTTGTAATGTGTTTTGAACATATCAGGATTATGTTAACAAGATTCATGAGTGTTACTGATTATAATTTCAACTCTTGTTTTGCCTTTCACAATGAGGACAACTGAATACCACATGTATTCATTCTGGATTCCAACCACCAAACTTGACTGATCCCTTTACATAAACAATGGATATCTATTCACCATTGTTACATCTCATATCAATTCAGTAACTGGTCAGTTGATGTAATCGAGAGGATAAATTAAACAATATCTCAGTAATGGCTTTACAAATATAACAAAGGAAAGTTCATATATATGTAGACAACTAGTACTTTAACACATATATCAGAGACAAAAAGCAATGAAGTGCTGAAAATATGATATCTAAATTTCTAACAAAGATGGGGACAATTTGATGGCAAAATGAGAAATTAATGGTATGTATTTGTACAAAAGTGATAACTTTAAGAATGAACTATTTACAAATGAAAATGTTTGACAAATGAACTATCATTAAAAAAATCTAATATTACAGAAATTAAAGATCTTTCTATCCTTGACGCTCATTTTCTTCCTCTGTTTTTATTTTCTTGATAGGACCTATACCTTGCAGCTGCTGTCGCCTGAAAAAAACAAACAGGTTACGTTTTAATTTCAGAATTCTTAAATCTAAGGCAATGGGTGTTATTACCCATACTATGAACTATGGATTTCTGTACTATTTAAGGGTCTTTTGTGCACCAATATCTATATACTATTACAGAACAAACTGTAATACATGTAAGACCTAAAAACGTTGTTAACATCAGTCTACCAAAAACAAGAGGCCCATAGGGCCTGTATCGCTCACATTGATCTCAAAGGCTAGCAATGGTATACATGACTATAGGTTGGGTATTTCAAATATTTCCAAATTTCTGCTGATGAGAAGAGTTTTGAAATTTCAGTCAGTTTGATCCTTTTTGGCCACACACATCAGCCCATGGATGTCAGCAACAGAAAAGCATCCTAAGCTCATTCCATCCATGAAGAATATTTGATTCTACCATATTTGGTTATTGCAAAGAAGATCTTTTAAATTTCATTCAATATGACCCTATTTGGCCACATCCATCAGCCCCTGGGAGTCAGCCAGGGTCAATATTAGCAAGACATCAAACTGTCATCCTAAACTAACAGTTCCAACCAAGTTTGGTTTATTTCCAATACGATGATTCAAGTATACCTCTTCATTGCGGGAATTATAATAAATGACAAGCGTCACAAGAAATGCTGAACTCTATGATAAATTTCGGAGATTAATTTCATCAATGATGATGATATAGAGCTAAGCAGTTAGAAAATACATTAGCAACAGATCACTTGTTCTAAAAGATGACCACAATTGTAAAGTAGGTGTAGCAGAGAAACTGTCTCTGTACAATCCATCATAATTCTTCCACATGAGTCGGAGCTTGCCTGAATCTCAAGTTTAAAAGGAAAGTGAGAAGACTTACGCATCTGCAGTTGTAACAGTTGTTGCTGGAAGAGTTCGTTTGACAGCAACCTTTGGACCAGCAGGACTCTGGGCATCTGTGAACGTAAAACAATAAATCCAATCAATCATTGGCAAGGTCACAGACAGCAGACATTGCATAATGCTTCTTTTTGAATTGTAACTTGTAACAGGAAGTCCATGGGCCTTAATGTTTATCTAAATATAAAGGACTTTATACCATGAAACATCTGTAGTAGTTAGTGGGAACAATTTATAACAAAGTAAAACGAATCAGAATGTTTTAGCACTACATTAAATTTTGACAAAATTTCAGGTGTTGCTCAGGGAAATCATAATTCTGCAATCATGTTACAAAATGCCTGCCATGGCGACCATATTGAACTTTCAACGAGGAAAAATTATAACACTTTGCCAAATTAGTTTCCTTAATGTCTTCTTAAAATTTTTAGCTTAATGGAAAATGCAGAATTTGAAAAGAAGTTTCAAAATATTATTTCGAGACATTTGATTTCAGACAAAGAAAATAATACTTGGTCAGTACCACTCAGGATTAGGTAAGTTTCAGCTGAATCCCACTGGTGGAATTGGAGAAGTCTAAAAATTAGACACACGACTGACAGTGCATGACGCTGAATGAAACAATGACTAACTGTCATCCTCACCCTTCAAGTCTAATGATATGAAAATCTCAGGGCTTCATCCCTAGAATTCTGTCTGAGAATTCCATAACATTTGCTGTTTATCAAACAACAGCGTTTTTGGATACATGAACGCTAGAAAAAATCTGAGAGTAAACCTTATTTTACAATTCAACTACTAACCTTGTAACCACCTCACTTGTGTTGCTGGTCCATAACCCTTCTCATTTCTTGCTGCAATTCTAAAGATTATGGCCGGTTTGGTGGTGTAGTCAATATGTGCTGAGGCAAGACTTGCAGTAGTCACTGTACACGTTGGCAAAGGACCACAGTACACCCGCACAAATGCCAGCTGAGCTGGGGTGCCAGGCTTCTGGTCAGCTTGTGAAGCAGCGTTACGCACAGCAAGATAAACAGAATACTCTGTAATACGACCAGCTGTGTTCTGAGGAGGCTCCCATGACAGGTGGGCTCCTTCAGCACTCTGAATAAACAATAGAAATATCCAATGCGACAACTTGACAACTAGATGTATCAAGGGCGTTTATAGATGCTGTATATGATAGAATGATGGAAGTGGTATATCAGTAAAGCATGGTACGAGAAAACTAAGAAAGCAGATGTCAATGTGCCTTATTCACCCCATACACTTGTTTATTTCTGATTTATTTTTATTTATATATTTTGATAAATGAAGCAATGTTAAATGACAATGAATATGGTAGTGGAATTATGTCCTTTACTAATCTGTCAAGCTGATGATGTATATAGAGGTTCTAGATCGAATCTTCAATAGGATTATGATTCAAGAGGTAAGAACTGATTGGGCAATATCAGGTGGGACTCTGAAGTCTATGTGTACACACCTATGGTGAACAATTGCAGTGGAGTGGAATCTGGCATTCAAATTGGGCACTTTCATCAAATTTTAACCAATTTCCACCACAAACAGCTACTAATACTTGACTTTAAATTGCAAGTCCTGACATGGATTTTAGGTAAATGGAAAGTCTTTTTTCTCAAAAACTTATCGGGCTTTTACCTGCAATCACCTTTCCACCAAATATCATACTTTCGTTTATCAAAGTTTTCACAAAATTGACCCCTATGACCTTGAATATGGATCAATGTCATTTCCTTTTGTAAAATTTATCCTACTTTCATCCCTTCAGCTGCCAAATACCATGACATTTGATGTGTTGGTTATGGAGAAGAAGTTCAAATGGAAAAGTTGACGCTGGATGGATGGACAATCGACAGATGCCATGCCACAATGTCACTTTATTATAATCTCAGAGTGTTGTTTAATTAATTTCAAATTCCATGTTCTAGATGTAAAAGAGGCCAAGTGGGCCTGAATCACTCAACTACTACACAGTTTACAAACAAGACATTGTCAGTTCATAAAATCATTTCAGCAAACTTAAAACCATATATGCTACTACACAAAACCTATGATTCCAGACCCATTGCTTGTTGAAAGAAGAAATAGAAGATTTCAATGAATTTGACCCAGGAGACCTTGAAAGCAAGTCAAAGTCAACTTTCTGAATAAAATTCAAAGCCATTTATCTAATTACGTTAAAGAACCAATATCAACAGCTTGGACCTTTTGGTTTATTAGAAGAAGTCATTATAAGATTTTAACCCTCGGACCTTGAAAGTATGTCAAGTTCAATCATATGAACAGATATGACAGCGCTTCATCACAGCATTGCTACATTTCCAATATCAGCACCCTGGGCTTTTTGGTTGTTTAAAAGATTTAACATATTTGAACCTATGACCTTGAAAGTGGGTAAAAGTCTCAGGTTAATGAACCTGACAGTCCTTCAAAGCAGCATACTACATGCCCTATAGCAGCACCTTTGACCTTTTGGTTATCGAGAAGAAGATTGTAACACATTTTACCCCTGTGACCTTGAAAGTGGGTAAAGGTCCTTCATTTTCACAAACCTTGTAGCCAATTCTAATTCATCCCAGCATGCTACAGTCCCAATATCAGTACCCTGGGTCTTTAAGTTATTAAGAAGTTGTTCAAATGTTTCAACACATTTGCTTCTGTGACCTTTAATGTGGATCAAGGTCATTAATTTTAACACACTTGGCAACACTTCATCCCAGCATGCTACAGGCCCAATAACAGAACCCAGGGCCTTTTGGTTATTGAGAAGAAGTCATTTGAATGGAAAGTTTGCGCATGTTGGTTAGTGCACAACGGCACACGAAACATGATGGCTATAGGTCATCCTGACTCTTCAGGTTAGATGACTTGATAAATATATGGCTATTAAAATTCGAACAAGATGTCCATAGGACCCCCATCATTCATCTGGTCACTGAAATCACTTCATCTAAACTTAATTATTTAGATAATTTATATCTTTTTCCCCCATCAGGATGCATTCCTGTTCCCCATGGGGATTACATATACTGTTTACACCAACAAGCATGGGTCATACAGAATTGGAACAGAATCCTGGCATTCCTATAGCAGAAGAGGTATTGTCAAGGATTCAGTCTATTTCCCCTATTGGGCCCTATCCCTCTTGCCACAGGGGACTCAGAGACCTGTAGTTTATGCAAAACTGATTTCCTTGCTTTAGACAAAATTTGGGTAAACACCTATCATTCCTTGAGGAGTAGGATTATAAAGAATTTAATATTCAGTAATTTAGGAAAAACATATTTTTATGTCATGGTGGTTTAGCCGTGTCAAGTTTGAAAGAGATTGCTTGAAAACTGATACATGAGACCTACCAACAAATATGATGGAAGGTCAGCACCATGATATAATAAATCCAATCAAAAATTTAAACAGGTGTATGAAATTTAAGGACCATGGAAAGAATAATAATCAATCCTTGTACATCTCAAGAGTATCAGTGATAAAACAATTCCAGAATATTTGCACAAAGATGAGTTGAACAGCTTGCCATAGTTAGCCAAACATTAGGAATATCAGGTTATATAGGATATAGATACAAGGAAAGCTAATGCCATTTTCATGGAGTTAGTATATGGAATGTTCACGGATGAAAAAATCCACCAGGCAGGGCACTTTGCTATTGTTACTACTTCATTCATGAATTGTAGAAAAAAAGTGGTCCATAAGACCTGTATTGCTCACATGCTTCAGTTCGTTGAAATCACTTGATCTTAACTAGAGGAAAAGCATTTAAAAGATTGTCTATTTCTCTTATTCAACCCAAACCTCTACCTAAAGGGTGCACTATATTTATTCACACGAAGATGCTTCAGACCAATATCTGACCAAAATTGAATAATTCCTATAGAATAATGATTTTAACAAATTGCTATCTGCATTTTGGGCTCTGCCTCTCAGGGTCTTGTTCCAGAGACTGAGATCCACCATTTAGACAAAGTTTTCCTTTACTCTAGACTGCTTCAGAAAGAATCTGGGTAAAATATCCTTTTCCCAACAAAAGGAGTGATTCTCCTCTTTCCATATAGGAAAATTCAGTTCCAAACCAAATTGGAACTGAATCTAATATTTCCTGCAGAAGAAGAGGAATTTGGAAGAAATTGCTCTATACCCTTCTGGTTTTCTTGCCTCTCCTACCAAGGCCAACCATTTTCAAATAAGAGACCCCAGCAGGCTCTTGGCAGCCACCACTGTTTGCTCTTTATCTGTTCCCTACTATCTTGTCCCTTTTTTTCTCTCTCTCTCCTATTTTTGCCGCTAACGATATGGAATTTGAACATTCTTCGAAGTAAAAGCAATAGTAATCTAAGATCATTGTCAGCCATTTTGTTTTCTGACTAGTCTCAGCATCGAACAGGTAAAATTCATCGTAGAAATCTACGATGACCACCTGTTGGCCATTCTGTTTCTTAACATTCCCAAAATCAAATGGGCACAACTAGGTACCAAGGAAGCCTTCATGAAAATTTGAGAAAGATTATCCAGTACTTCTCCAGAAATAGCAATAACAAAATTGTTTACAAACACTTTAAAATGGATTCCTTGCACCCAATAATGCATTATAAATTAAATTTCCTTCCACACTAGGGAGTCAAGACCCATTTTTTATATAAAATTGAATCCAATTCACCAAAGAATGCTTCACAGAATAAATTTGGACAATATCCTTTAATTTCTTAAGAGGAAGAAGGATTTTAAAGAATGTGCTCTATTTCCTTTATAGGGCCTCATGCTCTGGGGCCGAAGACTCACCATTTATGTAAAATATAATCCCTTCCCCAAAGGATATTTCTGACCAAATTTTGTTTAAATCTACTCAGTTGTACATGACGAGTAACACTTGGCCCTTTGGGCAAGGTGAGCTAATTAAAATATTCCTATTGTAAATTCAAACCAGCTCATATGCTCTCTGCCAGCAAAGTGAATGTTTCCATCCGAGTGTAAGTAATAAGCAGGATATATTATAAATGTTAGTATGTTCCCACAAACCAGAGATAACTCTAAAGCGTTCCTCACTTTTAAGCCCACCTTGCTGATTTTGATGGCAGATGGGGCACCAGGGTATCCAGGAAGACAGGTTTTAAATGCGGAGATCTCACTGAAAGTTCCACGGCCACAGGCATTTATTCCTGCCACACGAAATTTGTAGGCCGTTCCTGGCAGAAGCTCTTGCTTCTTGAGGACACTGTGGTCAGGTATGCTTACAACATCAATGTCCTAAAAAACACAAAGTCAAACATCAGTGTTAAAACTTCCCCCAGAATTTCGATCTGCAAACTGATACCAATTTTTCGTGTAAATTTCTAAACTGGCCAAGACATCATGAAACTAGAATCAAAACATGAGGCTCAATGAGCCTGTATCACTCATCTGATATCCAATGTTCAACAAAGCTAGAATTTGTGTTTATTACAAATACATGAACACATACATCATTGGTATTTAAAGTGGGCGCATCCTATCAATTTTAACTAATTTTCATGACAAATAGCTTCAGTGACAGTTAGGACCTGCATTAATAGGTAAATGTCTTTTTTCCTCTCTTAATTTGTCTAGCTTTGACCTAGAAACACCTTCCAACCCACATATACTGCTTCACAGACTTTTGGTTTAGCAGAAGAAATCTTTTACAGGTTTTGACAATTTGAACCCTGTAACCGTGAATATGGTTCAAGGTCATTTTGTCTGACTTCATCCTCGAGATCTACCAGCCAATTATTATGCTTCAGCCCCTTCAGGTCAGATGACCTAAAAATTGACTGACAGAGCCGATCCCATTTAGCATGAAATCTGGTACAGCAATGTAGGTCTAGATATCTACATGACAAAATTATCAGATGTTGTAGACATCATTGTTTGGTAAGATCATGAGTTTTTAAACTATCTGTATTATAGCAGTCTTTTTAATTTTCATATAAAACAGTCATTTTCTGAGTGAAGATATGTACAGTAGAAATGTACATCAATGTTACAGAATGATGCATCAAAGACACAAATGGTTTTTCCCCAAAGAACAAAAACACTCATTTCAGAGTTAACTAGTTTCCTTAAGGCAGAGCAAAGTCTAAATATAAATACAGTCAAACTTTGGTGTTTTGAAGTTTAGGGGACTACCAAAAAAACTTCAATACAATGAGACTCTGAATAATACATGTTGGTAAATCATAAATATTTTGTTTGAATCATGAGGTTATCACAGCTTACATCATCAATTTTTTGTTTGAATCATGAGGTTATCACAGCTGACATCATCAATTTTTTGTTTGAATCATGAGGTTATCACAGCTTACATCATCAATTTTTTGTTTGAATCATGAGGTTATCACAGCTTACATCATAAATCTTTTGTTTGAATCATGGGGTTATCACAGCTTACATCATAAATTTTTTGTTTGAATCATGAGGTTATCACAGCTGACATCAAAATTTTTTTGTTTGAATCATGAGGTTATCACAGCTGACATCATAAATTTTTTGTTTGAATCATGAGGTTATCACAACTGACATAAATTTTTTGTTTGAATCATGAGGTTATCACAGCTGACATCATAATTTTTTTGTTTGAATCATGAGGTTATCACAGCTTACAGTCTGTGTAAAACTTTGATATATTGAAAAGTTAGATTTCTTAAACATAAGGGGGTAAGTTAGTAGTAATATATAGGAATGAAATTTTGGACAGGACAAAAACCTTGATACATCGAGGAATTTGAATCATCAATGTTCGATCAGGTAGGTGTGACTGTATTTAAAAATTCAGTAGCTGCAATCTTAAGATGTTGTGATAGAAGGATTCTGAAATACCAGCAAATGTGAGATAGCTTATAGGAAATAATAGTTTAACATACCTGCTTGGTGTTGACAACATCACCGTTGCCCTGCGTAGTGTCAGAGGACAGATAATAATGAGCCACCACACAGGATGTACCCTTGATGATGCCAACATCATACCACTGGTGAGCATCCTTCTTCACAGGTGTGGTTGGCATCTTCACTGAAGGACTTTCTGCCTTATTCTCCTAGAAATAAAAATTACTGGATATACAGACAGAAGTCAAATCTAATTTTCCATTTTCTTCGCATTCTTTACTATACATGTATAGAGTCACTTCAACAGAGAAGTAAATCTTGTTTCAATTGTTATTTTAATACATGTATGCTAAATTTGCAATGGACATTAAAGTGAATTTCATAAATGAAATCTGGTGAAAAGACATCATGTTAGCTGGATATCTAAAACATTTATTGCATTTAGACAGATGAGCTTTAGTTTGTGTACAGTTCTGAATTAGGAAATCATAGAGAGATATCTATGTTCATTGTACCTGGGATGCTGTAGGGTGAGTTATAATCTTTGTGAACTGGGATGCTGTAGGGTGAGGTATAATCTTTGTGAACTGGGATGCTGTAGGGTGAGTATAATCTTTGTGAACTGGGATGCTGTAGGGTGAGTTATAATCTTTGTGAACAGGGATGATATAGTGGAAGATATTATTTTTGTTAATTGAGATGATGAAGTGAGAGATATCTTTGTGAACTGGATTGCTGTAGAGAGAGATACTTTTGGGAGAGATACTATCTTTATGAACTGGGATGCTGTAGTGAGAAATGTTATCTTTGTAAACTAGGATACATTTGGGAGAGATACTATCTTTATGAACAGGGGTGCTGTTAGGAGATATATTATTTTTGTGAATTGGGTTGTTGTAGGGAGAGACAACATTTTTGTGAACTGGGATGTTGTTGGAGGATGTCATTTTGATTGTACCTCTGTTCACAAAAATGATATCTGTTGAAATGACAATTTCTTACAAATTAGTTTGGGAGAAGTTGTTGGAGTAAATATACTGGCATTTGTAAATCATAGTGATGTGCAGTGATGGTGATATCAGGCCCTACAAAGTGATAGTGAGTATGTATGCATGGTGATACATGATGTCAAGTCAACATAAGGATGTTAATTAACTAATGTAGACTTAATGTACATGATGTATATCTTGAATGCACTACAATAAAACAAAAAGTCTGTATCAAAAATGTCTGTGTGACTGACCTGTTTCAGATCTGGATCAGCTTTCATGTTCATAGTACCTGGTTCCACTTTCACCTGGGGAGTTACTGTGCTGGCTGAGGAAATAGCTGCACTTGCCAGAGTAGCTAAAGGATCTAAGGAAGAAAGAAAAAAAGACATTTTGAGAGGTTTATTAATGAGTTCACATTCCAATTTAATGTCTTTTTTACCTAATCAACTTCATTATATTAAGACTTAATATTCTTTCTCCAATAACAGTTCACACCAAATTTGGTTGATATCCACTTAAAGCTCTTATTAGAAAAAATTGTGTGTGCCTGGTGGATGGCGCATGACAACCGATAAAACATGCTTGTTTTAGGTCATCCTGACTGACCTTAATACCATGATAATATCCGATATTGTAACAAGTTGGATCTAAAATCTTTAGTACTTTTACATTCATACAATTTTCACCATCTTCACTTCTAAATTTCAGAATTTCCAAGAGATAAATTTCTAGTGAATAGATAAGTAAGAACTAATTTTTTCCTGTGATTTTTTGATGAGACATGCTGTTATTTGATAAGAATATACATACTACAATATAAATCTGGTTGATCTTACCTGAAACCGAGTTAGCAACGGCAGCTAGAGCATCCATGCCAGCGAGGGTATTAGCAGCAGCAGCAGTGGCTAGAGAGGCTGCAGTGCTGCTTTGGGACAGGACACTCAGGGGATTGCTGTTGAGGGTAGGAGTCGGTAGAGACAGACCTACTGTATTAGACAGTGTGTCCATAGGAGTTGGCAGAGACACACCTACTGTGTTGGACAGTGTATCCATAGGTTCCTCCTTTGCCTCTTCGCTAGGAGTCGCCTGCAGCAGCTGAGCAGGAGGCATGGGTGATGCTTCTGTGATTGAGGTGTCCATAACTTCAGATTTAGTGTCAGACTGTAGCAGTGCAGCTGGTAAGTGCTCTGGTACATTAACTGTAGATGCATCTAGTGCAGCCTGACTCAGTGATGTTGAAGTTTCCATTGCAGACTGGCTCAGTGATGCTGTAACTGTTGAGACATCAGTAGTTTCAGTGGCTTCAATCTGTGGGACAGAGTCATCTCCTGGACAACTTTGACTGTCCATACCACTACCCATCCTGTGTGAAGCTAGGACATCCAAAGGATTTTGGCTGTCCATACTTACACCTGTCGTTTGTGTAGGTGGATCATCACCTGGGCAATTGTGTCCATCTGTGCAAACACCTGTCGTTTGTGGAGGTGGATCATCACCTGGGCAATTGTGTCCATCTGTGCAAACACCTGTCGTTTGTGGAGGTGGATCATCTCCTGGGCAATTATGTCCATCTGTACAAACACCTGTCGTTTGTGTAGGTGGATCATCACCTGGGCAATTATGTCCATCTGTGCAAACACCTGTTGTTTGTGTAGGTGGATCATCACCTGGGCAGTTATGTCCATCTGTGCAAACACCTGTCGTTTGCGTAGGTGGATCATCTCCTGGGCAGTTATGTCCATCCGTGCAAACACCTGTCGTTTGCGTAGGTGGATCATCACCTGGGCAATTGTGTCCATCTGTGCAGACACCTGTCGTTTGTGTAGGTGGATCATCTCCTGGGCAGTTATGTCCATCTGTGCAAACACCTGTCGTTTGTGGAGGTGGATCATCACCTGGGCAATTGTGTCCATCTGTGCAAACACCTGTCGTTTGTGTAGGTGGATCATCACCTGGGCAATTGTGTCCATCCGTGCAAACACCTGTCGTTTGTGTAGGTGGATCATCTCCTGGGCAGTTATGTCCGTCCGTGCAAACACCTGTCGTTTGTGTAGGTGGATCATCACCTGGGCAGTTGTGTCCATCCGTGCAAACACCTGTCGTTTGTGTAGGTGGATCATCACCTGGGCAATTGTGTCCATCCGTGCAAACACCTGTTGTTTGTGGAGGTGGATCATCTCCTGGGCAGTTATGTCCGTCCGTGCAAACACCTGTCGTTTGTGTAGGTGGATCATCACCTGGACAGTTATGTCCATCTGTACAAGGTGCTTGTTGAACTGGTCTTACTGTTGGAGTGGTTGTCAATGACTGAGAGATTATGACTGGACTCTCTGCTACTTGAGTAGCACTCTGAGGTGCAGCAGGAGTGATGGTTATCTGGACTGGCTTCTGACCACTGGGCACAGCACTAGCTGCAACTGCTTGAGTAGTCATGGTAACTGGTGCATGAGAGATGGATGGCTGAGCAATAAGGGAAATAGTTGGAGTGGATGGGGTGGCACTAGGGGTGGTTGTGGTGTACAAGAGACTGGTGGCTGCTGTGGTGGCCAGGGCTGCAGGAGATGCTGTAATAGTCTTCAAAACTGTACCACCAAGTTGATTTGCTGTAACATAGATATATATATAAAAAACTTCAGTATCACATACTACAGAATGGTAGAAAACACTAAAGTTGGCAATGAAATGGCTTAATTAATCAATCTATTTATAATTTAATAAGAGATTCCATGGGTATTTCAGTGACTACTAGCATATGATCTTTATCGGTTTTAGAGTCAAACCTGTCATATGTGGCCTTCAAAGGGAGACAATAAATGATGTCACATATGACAAGGGGTCTCAAAACAGGTTCAATAAGAAAATAAAAAAATATCCATTTTCTATCAACTAGTTATGGCACAGGTTGTTAATTTGTAAATATTTGATAATTCTGATAGAAGCTGTACTTAATTAGATTAAAACTCTACAATAGAGCAAATGATGTTTTTAATGACCGAATGGTGCTCATTTCCACCCAGAAACCCTGTATTCTGGCCGCAAAATCAATGTGCCAAAAAAACAGCCTGAACTGCACTCTAATTTGACAGTTGGTGCTTAACATAATACTGCCTTCTTATACTCGCAATTCTTACAATATTCCCCAAAGGATGCTTCTGACCAGTTTTGATCAATATCTCTTCAGTTGTTCATGACTAGTAGTGAATTTCCAGTACAGACACCGGATGCCGCGCCATGGCATAAACACACCAGTCCTTTGAACCAGGTGAGCTAAAACCTTTTGATATATCACAGTGCTTTATTCAACTCAATAAGACTATGAACTTAATCGTGAATAGGACAAGCCGTAAAGGCTTTGATTGGAACAATGACTGACTGTACTTTGCTAAAAGCAAATCTTTTAGAGTCCACTTTTCCAAAATTTTAGAGATGTTGGAACATTAAATTTGGCAGTTTGTAAATGATGGTTGTGTTGTGGTGTCCACCTTTTGATCTACACTAGACTGGTTTAAGTTGGACTTAACATTTTGAGCAATATCTATATGCAAACTTTACAGAGAAATGTTGAGGAGGAACCAGCCGATATAACTTTTTTTTTTGTTGCAGGAAAGACAAAAAGTGATATCCTCACATTTGAGATATTCCTAAAATAATTCCTGTTCTATTGATCTAATTTCACACATTATTTATCAGCTAATATTCATTATTTTCATTTGAATCCATTTGATGTACTCGAGAAAAAATCTTAAATAAGGGCATTGCAATTTATAATGAAGTTTGTTAGTTCAAGGTTTTTATGATACTTAACCAATATGTGAAATTTGATCAAAATCTGTTGAGAAATAAAGTTGCTAGTGATGAAATCAAGTGAACATACGTACATATTCACAAACAAAATGCAATATACCCTCCATAGTTGCTGTGATAATAAAATCCTGACAATGAATGGTCTAGGCCATTCTACCACAATTTTGTACTTGCCTGAGCATAAATAATGGTTGTTCTGCATCAGGTAAGAGGATTTTTACACCGGTGACCAATGCTCAGCTCATATAAGGTATAGAACTTGATGTTATGATAATGTATGATAGATATGAACCAAATCTGTTATTGATTCTGAATTAGACAGATGGAAAATGGTTAACACTATATGCACCCCCTTCCCCCTACCAAATAAAATTATTGAAAAAAATTATCTTTATCTGGCATTCATTTGAAAAAACTTTTACACATACCATTTGATGAGACAATATTGACCATGGGTTTGGCTGCAATAGGAGACATGGTTGCGGAAACCACCTGTGGTGCACCAGTGATGTTGAGGGCAGCAGCTGAGGACACGGGCAGGGTAGTCACTGTCAATGGTTTACCTCCTGTCATACAAAACAACTTGTCAGTGATCAAACAATATATGTCATGTTTACAAGACATTTTGTGTCAGTATAAAGACACCATCAAGAAGAGTTATTGAACACTTTCTCATGCTGGTAATTAGTCTTAACATTTAATTAATCAAGTTGCACTAAAAAATACACCTTGGTAATTTCTTACGGAAATGGTTATTATCTTTCTTGAAAATTTCATCACCTTTTAAATTAATGTTAAACTTTCATTGACAAAATATAGTTTTGATTACTACAAAAGGTCTATCTATATCTCTAATGCTTCATAATTTACATACTCACCAGCTGTGAGAGTGGACATTCCTTGACCTACACTTGTCTGAGGGCTGACAACAATGAATTGAGTGTTTCCTGTTCCGCCACCAATTTTTGGCACTGATGTAATTATTTTTGTTGGGGTCGAGTGCAGGCCACCAGTAGATCCCTTAGGAGCAGCAATGACAATGGTCTTTTGACCAGCTTGTGTTGTGATTGTGGCAGAACCAGAACGTGCCATTGACAGCATGGATGAGGGGATGGTCTTAATGATAGTTTTAGTTACTCCTGTCTGTATGTCAGAAAAAAAAGATACAATGAACCGATTTTAGTGCTATTAATCAATTGTGATTACAATATTATTTACAAGTTAAAGCTAAGTTCACAATGAAATATGAAGTTCAACAGTAATACACAATTAGACTGAATTTAGGTCAAAGTTACCGAGAATATTCTACCAGTAAAAATATTTAATATTTCTTACCAAGAAATATCTGTAAACTTACAGACAAGTTATCAACAATAGGGAAGCATGTATAACAAAGATTATTTACAGAAATTTATACTGAAACAAAGAAACAGCTCACAACCTGAAATGTCACAATTTTTTAAAACTAACCCTAAAGCTTATACATTGTTTAACACAGTGCTGCTGCATTGAATATGTAATAAAAGATTATTGAAGTTTTCAAATGGTGACAACTTTACTGAAAGTACTGGTGTTATTCAAATGAATGTAAGGGCTATTCAAGTAAAACATCTATCCCAACCCAAGACTCTTGGTTTTGTTTTGGGGTATCACCTATATAATTAATTGGTAACTTGATTGGAAATAATAGGCAGGAAATCAGCTTCTAATAAACATTCTATTGGAACAGCTTTTACAATGTAATTTTCCCAATTGGGTTCTGACCCTTCTACTCCAGAGTGTTAAGACCAACCCTTTATAAAAAAATTGATTCCCCCTTCATCCAAGGATGCGACTTTAGTCCAAATGGATAAAATCTGACTCCTCCCAAAGAAGGTTTTTGAAATATTTACTTTATTTTCCATTTTGTTCTCTGCCCTCAGGGAATAAACAGTAATTTCTTTGGTGAAAAGTTGATGACATGGTCCACAGTATGGCATGAGCCAATAACGTATAGAAGGGATAGTAACCATCATTTAATTTCCTGTTACAACAATAAAATGTAATGGTAGAAGGACTTAGGACAACCTAGCTTGATGTAAAGATTTACCCATGGGGCAGTACCCATGTGGCTGTACCCTGAGGCTGCTCACTACTGACGCCAAGTATAGTAGGTGTCTGGCCAGCCTAGTTTGACGTGAGGACTTACCCATGTGGCTGTACCCTGAGGCTGCTCACTACTGATGCCATGAATGGTAAATATGTCTGGCCTCCCTGACTTATTGTGAAGTCTTACCTATGTGGCTGTACCCTAAGGCTTCACACTACTGATGCCAAGTATAGTAGGTGTCAGGCCCACCAGGATGTGAGGACTTACCCGTGTGGCTGTACCTTGTGGCTGCACACTACTGATCCCTAGTATAGCAGAAGGTGTTTGGCCTGCCAGGATGTGAGGACTTACCCGTGTTGCTGTACCTTGTGGCTGCACACTACAGATCCCTAGTATAGTAGAAGGTGTTTGGCCTGCCAGGATGTGAGGACTTACCCGTGTGGCTGTACCTTGTGGCTGCACACTACTGATCCCTAGTATAGTAGAAGGTGTTTGGCCTGCCAGGATGTGAGGACTTACCCGTGTGGCTGTACCTTGTGGCTGCACACTACTGATCCCTAGTATAGTAGAAGGTGTTTGGCCTGCTTGGCTTGTGGTGAGGATGGCTGTTGGCTTCCCTGTACCCCCTCCCTGGGTTGTCACCAGTTTTACAATGGTAGCACCTTGAGGCAGAGGACCTTTTGTCTATAAAACATCAGAATGTAAGCCAATGTGAGATAAAACTTACACAGTAAGTAGCTGGATAAACATATTTTTATAGTGAAACATATAAAACCGCACATTTAGTGAAAATGAAAGTGGTAATCTATGTATTTGTGTCCTTTCAGTGGTTCAATTCATATCAGAGGGGTTGCTTACCATGAATTCGGTACACTGCATATCCCCTTAATATGCACCAAGTTTCATGGTTCTTGCTTACTTGTGGGCAAAGTTATGCTCTGGACACACAAGGATGGATGGACGGCAGGGTGCAAGGACAGATGTATGGGGGAATGGACTGACTGACACTCTAACTATGTGTACAAAACTTCAGCAGTAACCAAGAAAATATGCTTTGATAATAAGTCATAGATATCGAAGAATGAATCATTGCCCATTTCACCTTCCTCTGGTTTTATTTGTCATTTTAACAATGTACTCATTAGAGATGAGGTGACAACCATTCTGGGCAGGCAACTATCAGCATTGACCTAGATTTTGGAATTTGTTATGTTATAATTATAACTTACTCAAAACAATTTACCTTTTTAAATAAATGAATATTCTTGGGGAAGATTAAAACATTTCTGGTCCCATTGTCATGAAGCAAGCGTAAAATATTAAAAAAATCTTGTTTAAAGTATGTAATTATGTTGAACTAGCTCATAAGCGATACCCTTGATATGTATCATGGACATATATATAGAATATTGGATGAATGATTTACACCTGTCCACAACGACCTCAACAACCAAATACTTACTGTAGCAACTTGCATGCCTTGATTAGTCTTGACTAGGGTAACAATTTGTGGTTGACCAGTGGTAGTGCCAGCTCCTGCCTTGTGAACTGTGATGATTTGCTTGCCACCAATGGTCTGCTGGATGCTTCCAGGTGTTTTCAGAATAGTAGACCCAGGAGTGGCCACACGTACCGTCTGTGTAGCTACAAACAGAACCAGATCATCAACAACAGAAATCACAAAGGTGAATTGAATAGATATCATATATCCGTTTCTGGTAAATGAAGAATTTCACAGGCTACCCAGTTCTGAATTTTTTGGGAGTTGCCTTTATAGATATTTTGCACAAATAAGATTTCTCTTGGTCATTACCCACCATTACAAGATCTTTATTGGATCAATATATGTTTGTTGTATTCTCTGCTTTTTATTTGAATCGATTATAGATTTCAAATTTGTCAAATTTTACTAATTTTAAAAATCTCTCTTCCCTCTAATAGCTTTATTGGTTGATATTGAAACTAATAACAAGCAAACAGTTATATTTCACATACTATAGAATATATGAGTAAATAAGTAGGAATCTTTTCTAAAACACATTTAAAATGCCTATAATGCCAAGTGTTTCAGTTGTAAAATCACAACATTCAATAATTAAAGAGATCCTAATATGATTTTGACACTTATCGATGTTTGACCTTTATTTTCTTTGAAAGTTGGATATTTTTCTCTTTGCTCTGTTTTTGCTCTTGATTATGTGTAATTTGAAAATTCCTCTACAGAAGTAGTGATAATAATCTTTTACTGTCTAATACAAAATGGTTGCCTTTCAACCATCTTTTTCTGATCCGCCCCAAATCAAAAGCACACTACTAGGTGTAAAGGTAGCCTATGTATATATATTTGAGAAAGAGCCACTTGTATTTTTCCAGAAATTGCAATAACAAACTTCAATTATCAAAATCCAAGATGGCCGCCTACCAGCTTTGATATTAAACATTTCATCAGCAACGCAAACACCAATAAATTGGGATTCACATCATTCTATCATTGAATAATCCACACATAATGATAAAACAATTCATCTAACAGCTAATGCATCTTCAGATTAAAATGTGTGACACAATATCTAATATATTACCTAACTTTCCAGGAACTGGTGTGACTTTGACACCTTGAGGTGTGACAATTGTTGGGGTCACAACTTTGATGCCAGAAACCGGTGTCGTTGTGGTACTGGATGTGCCAGGAATCTTCTGTGTAGCTGCGGCTGCAGCTGCCAGGGCTGCTATACCTGTCATCTGACCACCACCCTGGACACACAAAATGGCATATCAAAATTTTGTATTATCCTATTGTTGAATAACTATTTCAGTAATTTTGGATCAATTTCATGACCAATGACTTCAACAATATGTTAACAAATATCAGACATTTCTTAATATTTCTACACTGAAGTATCATATCTATAAACAAGAAATCCAAGAGGGATCTTGGCACCCATCATTCTTTGATCTTTAGTTGTTTTTAAAAGTTGGATTTTTTCCCTTTTTTCTCTTCTCTCCTCTGTTTTTGTACTTAATCATAAGAAATTTGAACATTTGAAATATAGAGCAATCCTTCAGTAAAATGAAAGGAATTTGAACTGTTAATGTGCTCACTGTGTGACATATCATAATTTATCACTCATTTGTAGCCTTGTTTTTTGTTGCATGTATAACTTAAGCATGCAGTTGTTAATGGTTGAAATCTGTTTTTCTAGTCATCAATGCCTCAAAAATCAAAAGTAGAATCAGAGTCCATTTGAAACAACTGAGATTACCCTCATTATTCTTTGTTTGATACTTATTACTGGCAGCATTTCGTCAGCCAATTCCAAGACACTACCATGTCTGACTGGTGAGTAACCCAACAAACATATGTCATAACATCTCATGTCGAGACGTCGCATGATGTCATAATGAATACAGGAGCACATTTCAGTGACGTCTAAAGATGTCATAAGTATGGAAAGAGTAATTGTTAACTAAGATATCGATTTAAGTCTTCTCATAGTTCTGTCATGCACAGATCAAAATGTCATCTAGATGAAAGGTTTGAAATCTACCTAAAAAAACATCAATTGATAGAAAGATGAGAAAACACAGCAGTATGGATCAACTCGCTAGTCCTGTGGACAAAGTGAGCCAAAATCTTGCTTATGTATATTTTTGAGCTCATTACCGTTGATACAACAGTTGGAACTCTCTGACCAGCCTGAGTGACGACTTGTGGAGTAGCGACACGAATGTTACTTGTTGGCGTCATGGTTATTGGCGTCTTCTGGCGAGCAGCAACAGCAGTAACTATAGAAAAACATTGTAAACGAAAACAGGTTAGTTGTTTTTGCACACTCTCATCAATAACCTACACCAGTTATCTACTGTCTGACAAAGGAAACAGACCTAAAACAGTAAATAAAGAGATTTTATCTTACATAACACAGAAATTGTATTTTTAAGTGTACATTACTGTCAAACCCACTTAATGGATGTAATGAGAAGAAGCCCAGTGGCCTTAACGGTACCTAAATACAAATACAAATGTATCTATATAGGAAAGAGGCCAAATATGCTTTAATTGCTTGATTAGCATACAGTCGGATCGTGTCTATCTCGTGATCCACAACACTGCTTAATATTGTTAATGGATCAGGATCTCAATTGCTACAAAGATATAACAATAATTCTAAGCCCCTGGGAATGGGTAAGGCCCCAGCGATGATTTTTACATCATAACTGTGTTTATCTCTTGATGCCTTGCAATGTTATATGTTAATAAGGGCTGGTGATCTCAACCGTTTCAAAGACATAACCATGAAATTAAGTCAAAAGGGTCAAGGCTGGTGATCTCAACCGTTTCAAAGACATAACCAAGAAATTAAGTCAAAAGGGTCAAGGCTGGTGATCTAAACCGTTTCAAAGACATAACCAAGAAATTAAGTCTACAGGGTCACAATGAAGACCAGAGATATCGAGTTGAAATAACTTCAATACTGAAGTATGTTTTCTACTGTAATGTTTGCAAGAATAACTGATTGTGAGATGAAAAGGATATTATCAAAATTCATTTCCATTTGTCAAAATTTTCCCCTTTTTTCTTTTAAAAGACTAGTTAAAATAAAAATTTCTTAAGACTTGTTTCATGAATAAAATGAAATTGAAATTCCTGCAAGATTCTACTTATATTGCTTATATCTATCAAAGACATTGTTGGCTCAAATATATCTGATTTTAAAATCTATCAATTGAACAACAAGATGGGCAGCAATGTTTAAATAAATAATTTCCATATTTGATTGCATGTCCATGTATTATAGTATGTGTAGTCAGACATTCCTTTCCTAAAAAAACATCTTAATCAAAAAACTTCTGAAGGAAGCAGGAAGTAAGACATGAAACATTTCATATATTACGTAAATGTCAGAACTAAAACAGATTGATATTGCTCCTTGAGTAAACTTAGCTTGCCACAAAGTTTTGTTGGTCATGTTTAGCCACCAGTCACAATAATAACATCTTTTAATGACAATAAAATGAAGAAGTTAACAGATGGATAGATTTTATTGCCATATAAACCACACTAGTCCTTTGGACTAGGTGAGTTTTCATAGCCTCTGATTACATAACCCTGAAAATAAATAGGGATCTGTTAAAACCCCATGCGATCTACACAAACTTTCTATTATTTTTACAAGTATATTCTACACAAGCAATTTCTTGTAAAGAAGATGCTTAAACAGGAAAGTATTGCCAATATAAAGTTGATAGGTGATGCTGTCTGAGTATGACGGAGCCTCAATTGCACATTTGTGATGTTGCTGTGTCAATACTACAATGTAAAAATTAGCCAAGATTTACCTTCGATCGCTATGCATTTTTAATTTGGTTTGTAAATATGAATTTCATGAGATATCTTGTACAGACATACATAGAGACGTACACAGTAAGTCTTTGAGCTTGGACTAAGTAAAGTTACACACATTATTATATAATCAAGTATTACTATCAACGCTTTTTTCTTTTGCAGTTTTCAAATCATGAATCCATTAACAGTGAAATATCACCAGAACATAACATCTGAAATAAAAGTGAAATTTCACCACAAGAACATCAAACATTCCTGGACAAACATGTACATGTAAAAATGCATTCCAAAACAGCGTTACAACAAAGGGATAGACTACCAACTGCTTAAAGAAAACATCCACATACAGAACTAAAAGCAAAATTATATAGGATCACAAACCAGTACCTGTAAAATATCACGAGCTGCTTCAACACCAGATTTAATGAAGCAGGCATCACATAGGCATTAAATAGCAAATAAAAAACAATCTTCATTCCCAACTTAAATCTACAAAGCGATGTCAAACGCTGTCACCAATGACACTTCATAGAGCTATGAAGACATTTTGTGACATCTTTTGATCTGCAGCAGATATGTTTGTCGCGTGTGAGGTAGGTTACGGCAGGAAGAAGTCATGGCAACACTCTCTAGTAGATGGAGGCCCATGGACCTTAAAGACCATCTGGCAGTAAAGACCTATATATGATAGAGGCCAAATAGGACTAAATTGCCCAATGACTCAACAGCTTACAAAGAAGACATCAGCTCACAAAAACATTGTCTGCAAACTTGAAATTCTTCTCCTTATACTTGCTCCTACCCAAAACCATGACTACAAATCTATTGCTTGTTGAAAGATGAAATCTTCAGTTCCAACACATTTTTACCCCTGATACCTTGAAAGTAGGTGAAGGTCAACTATATCAATAAATTTGGTAGCTCATCATTCAATTATGTTACAGAACCAATATTAATAGCCTGGAACTTTTTGATTGGAAATAAGCTGTTTAAAGATCTTAATATATTTGACCCCTGTGACATTGAAAAGTGGTCAAGTTAATTCCTTTTAACAGACTAGGTCGTTCTTCATCCCAGCATGCTACAGGCCCTATAGTTTTTTCATGAAAAACAGTTGTGCAATGATATTGCAGAATGCTTCTCTGATTCTTTTCATTAACAAATCAAACCACAAATATTTTTCTCATTGGTGCGAATGAAACGGGACAAGTGGTTCAGACTGCTTGTTCTAGATGAGTTATATTGGATTTTGAACCAGACTTAAATATAAAATTTGGTCAAGACAATCTCAGGATCACCCCATGCAGGTCTGATATTGTCACCCCCTATTAATGTTTCAGACTAAATTTGGGTGAAAACAACTCCAGCATTAAAAATGCCTAATTAGAGGCCACATCTTTAAGTCCCTTGGTATTGAATCAACTTTTTAGATTAAGAATTAATTGCCGACACCTAATGACGTTTCTGACAAAATTTGACTGAAATCAATTCCAGCATGAAGGGAGAGTAGCACATTGAAACAAACTATTGACTATCTCTCCCTTTCTTGAGGCCCTGCCCCTTGAACCTTAGCAGTTGAATCAATTTCCTGAATTTAAGAAACAATTATCTGTCTGCAATGATGTTTCAGACCAACTTAGAATGAAATCTACACAGGAATTAAGAAGGATTAGCATTTTCAAGCAAAATACTGCCTAATTTTCCCATTTGGGGCCCTGTCCCTAAGTCCCTTGTGGTTGAATAAACTTTCTGAGTTCATGTATTAACTGCCAACACCTTATGATGTTTCAAACAAAATTAAAATAAATTCCATTGTAGCTTTAAAGGAGAGTAGTGTTTTGAAGTAAAATATTGACTTTCTTTCCCTTTTGAGGCCCTGCCAACAGGTCGAAAGTTTTATTCTAGTTTTCAGTTGTGGTCAAAGTCTTGATATCTGGTATATATCATCAATGATTTTGATACTCTTACAAGGTCACAGGGTCTAATATTAAATATGTAATATGTTAAGGTAATTTACTATCAACGTTATTATAATGAATGACATTGCCTTACCTTCAGGATCATGGGGGACAAATGTAATGAATTTTGATTTAAGGCCAGTGGCAAGTTGGGATGAAGGCCTATCAAATATGTTCAAATAAAGTACCCTGACACTTTTAGGGTCAAAGGGGTCAATGTCGAAGAATTGCCTGATTGTGTTTCAGTACATCTGTATTTTGATATATCAAATGAAGAGGTAATATTATCCTTGTAATCCTAATGGTTTCAGGCCATGAAGTTAAACAATGTTGTGAAAAGCATATCCTGTTGCCAGCCTATCAAATCTTATAAGTTCTAACGAGAAAACATAAAAGCCTTCAGGTAATAGGTTAAATGTAGGTGAAAAAAAACATTTAATTGTTAGCCAACAAATTAATCAAGAGGCCAAAGGGGCCTGCATCGCTCATCTGGTTATTTTAGTGATTCAGCCATTTAATAGCCTTGATTGCTCACCTGTTTATTTAATAGATTCAGCCATTTAATAGAAAAATTCAAATAAGACAAAAAATCATTTCTGATATAATTTCCCATTTGGATACCAGTCTTGTAGTCAAACAGAAGTCAGATTTTACTATCTATAAGAACTACTTCAAACCAAATTTGGACTATATCCTTTTATGAAAGAAGGATTTGAAAGAACTTACATTTCCAACATTGTGCCAAACCCTTCCCACTCCACGGGCTGAGGCCTCATGTTTATACAAGATTAAATCTCCTTCACACAAGAATGCTTCAGTCCATTTTGGGCAATATCTATTCATTTCTACAGGAGAAGTAGAATTTTAAAGAACTTGCAAAATTTTCCTGTTTGGGCCCAACCCTAGATGCTCACAACCAATATTTAAACAAACATAGTTTCTCTTCCCCCAAGGATGCTTCTGACCTAATTTGGTCAAAATCTGCTCAGTTGTTCATGACTAATAGCATGACTGATGATGCTGCACTATGGCATAAGCTCAGCAATCTTTTTGGTCTGGTGAGCTAAAAATGATTTCTATTTTCATAATTGTAATAGCATTTTGTGTAATAGGTAACATCCTTGTATAAATTATTAAGACAATGTATGGACAAACAGTAAATTAGCTTGCAACTTGCTGTTCACTTCTATGTAGGTCCACTATCAAGTTCATATATTCATGTCTTTTGCATGTTCAATATCTAGTTATACATGAAAAATGTCCACTGAATCTATATTGGGTTCAGGATCGATCTTTGTTTACATTTTTTACATTTTAGTTTCAATTACAAAGGCAGCAATACATGGATTTGTCATAATTTTTTTGCCTTTCAAGGAAAGTTACATCTTGTAGCCTTAACTCGTTTGCAGTAATCAATTAAAATCTAATTCAAACATCCAGTTAGTTGATTATCTATCAAATGATTGTAAAATCTAGTACCAGCAGTTTCAAACAGGAAACACAAAGGCAAAAGATTTCCCAGCAAACATAAAAATGTGGCTAGAATAAATAAACTACCAAATGAAGATTAAAAATAATTATGCTCTGCCAAGATTAAACATCAGACGGTTTCACATCCTTACACCCAACTAAAAATGCATTTCAGACATGCAGATGAGGAGTAGTAGGGTGTACCTCGGATAGTCTGCGGGGAGTTGATTGCCACAGAACCTAGGGCTGAAGCTCCAGCCACAGAACGGATTTGAGTTATCCCTAGTACAGAAAAGCACAGAAAACATGAAGACATCATTCATTGTATTGGAGTAAAGAGGATGGCTGTCTGTTTGTCCTTCAATGTATATAGGAGTATAGAGAAAGGCGTCTTTCATTCCTTCAATGTATATAGGAGTATAGAGAAAGGCGTCTTTCATTCCTTCAATGTATATAGGAGTATAGAGAAAGGCGTCTTTCATTCCTTCAATGTATATAGGAGTATAGAGAAAGGCGTCTTTTATTCCTTCAATGTATATAGGAGTATAGAGAAAGGCGTCTTTAATTCCTTCAATGTATATAGGAGTATAGAGGAAGGCTGTCTTTTATTCCTTCAATGTATATAGGAGTAAAGAGAAAAGCTGTCTTTCATTCCTTCAATGTATATAGGAGTATAGAGAAAGGCGTCTTTCATTCCTTCAATGTATATAGGAGTATAGAGAAAGGCGTCTTTCATTCCTTCAATGTATATAGGAGTAAGGAGTCTTTTATTCCTTCAATGTATAAAGGAGTATAGAGAAAGGCGTCTTTTATTCCTTCAATGTATATAGGAGTATAGAGAAAGGCTGTCTTTTATTCCTTCAATGTATAAAGGAGTATAGAGAAAGGCTGTCTTTTATTCCTTCAATGTATAAAGGAGTATAGAGAAAGGCGTCTTTTATTCCTTCAATGTATATAGGAGTATAGAGAAAGGCTGTCTTCTAATTTTAGGAGTTATATCATTTGAGAATGTACCATAGCACATGAAAGGAAATACTTGTTGATCTGCAAATATTTTACCTCGTATCCTAACAAGTTGGGGCAATTAACACCTATCTTACCTTGTGTGGGTGATTTACACCTATCTTACCATGTGTGAGCAATTTACACCTATCTTACCATGTGTGAGCGATTTACACCTATCTTACCTTGTGTGAGTGATTTACACCTATCTTACCTTGTGTGGGTGATTTACACCTATTTTACCTTGTGTGGGTGATTTACACCTATCTTACCTTGTGTGGGTGATTTACACCTAACTTACCTTGTGTGGGTGATTTACACCTATCTTACCTTGTTGGGGCGATTTACACCTATCTTACTATGTGTGGGTGATTTACACCTAACTTACCTTGTGTGAGTGATTTACACCTATCTTACCATGTGGGTGATTTACACCTAACTTACCTTGTGTGAGTGATTTACACCCATCTTACCATGTGTGAGTGATTTTTCGCCTATCTTACCATGTGTGGGTGATTTACACCCATCTTACCATGTGTGAGTGATTTTTCGCCTATCTTACCATGTGTGGGTGATTTACACCTAACTTAACTTGTGTGAGTGATTTACACCTATCTTACTATGTGTGGGTGATTTACACCTATCTTACCTTGTGTGAGTGATTTACACCCATCTTACCATGTGCGAGTGATTTTTCGCCTATCTTACTATGTGTGGGTGATTTACACCTAACTTACCTTGTGTGAGTGATTTACACCTATCTTACTATGTGAGTGATTTTTCGCCTATCTTACCATGTGTGGGTGATTTACACCTATCTTACCTTGTGTGAGTGATTTACACCTATTTTACTATGTGTGAGTGATTTTTCGCCTATCTTACCACGTGTGGGTGATTTACACCTAACTTACCTTGTGTGGGAGATTTACACCTATTTTACCTTGTGTGAGTGATTTTTCGCCTATCTTACCATGTGTGGGTGATTTACACCTATTTTACCATGTGTGAGCGATTTTTCACCTATCTTACCATGTGTGGGAGATTTACACCTATCTTACCATGTGTCAGTGATTTTTCACCTATCTTACCATATGTGAGTGATTTACACCTATCTTACCTTGTGTGAGTGATTTACACCTATCTTACCATGTGTGAGTGATTTTTCACCTATCTTAACATGTGTGAGTAATTTACACCTATCTTACCATATGTGAGTGATTTACACCTATCTTACCTTGTGTGAGTAATTTACACCTAACTTACCATGTGTTGGTGTCCTTATGATGTTGGGAGTGGTGGGTGAGGCAATGGCCTTGACCAAGGGGTTGGTCTGTGGAACAGCGGTAGGAGTCATTGCTTGGGCAGGTGGCAGGTCATATTTCTGAAGCTGTAATAAATATGCATCGGCTGTCGGCACACCACCCCAACACACTTCCAGTGTATTAGTACTCGCTCGCACCAACTGTACTCGTGAGGGTGCCGGTGGTTTCTCTGCAGAGATAGTACAATGTCAATTAATTTCATTACATGGCAACAATGTAAAATGCAACTAAACTTTTTATTGTCAACTCCATATTCTTGCAATATCTGATTGTCAACTGCACACTGGTTATATTGAATTTTGACCATGATTTGAATAATAATCTATATCTCTTATTTGCTCAACCTTGTAAAGATTTTAGCAATATTTTACAAAAAAAACCCAAAAATATGTGTTAGGAACATATGTACCTGTTTCGAGAAACCATAGATCCTTGAAACACACCTAAAACAGAAACAGACACCATAACAAAAATTAGTGATGTACACACCCCAAAAAATATATATATAAACAAAACAATTGTATGTATGTCAAACAACAAACACATCTAACAATACACATACACCGAGCAATACACATATATCAAGTGGAAACCACTTAATGTCATGATTGTTAATGTCATTTTCAAGTTAATATCTTGTTTTCTTGAAACATTGATTTTTTCCCTATATATTCAACATCTGATGATGTCACTTGTTTTCATGTGGTCAACGTTTAACATCATTTCATTTTGGTGACTATCACAACAACAACAAAAAAAACCCCCACAAAACCACAGGTAAATCACAAGTAAGGACAAGAGCTATAGATTCATGCATCCTGGGTCTTGCGTCACACTGGGACACCTTACGTAAACATTGTCACTGTCATATAGGCCAACTTCTCACACCTCGCTACTCCTGAACAATAGATTGACTTGCTTAATTATTAAGGTCCAGCTAGGTCAAGGATGTCTTGTGCATTTGTTTTTTCACTGGCTAGCACTATCATAGCTTTAAAATTGGTTTTAAATTAAAACCCTTGGTTATTTGGAACTTGTCACAATAATTCGCTATGTGCAAGTTTTCTGATATACTGCAGAAACTTCCTGAAATTGAGTCTTTGGTATGAATACGTGGATCAAATTTTAATCAAAATGGATTAAATTTCAAAAGATCTGATGAGAATCAAATGTATATTATCACACATGCCCCAAGCTTCATGAGGGCCACATATACTTTGCTGAAAATCATCTTTCCCAAACAATTACATATCATATAGAACAAATATTGAAATTCCATTTGGTCATATCAGATTATCAATGTTTTCATCTTTCTTTCAATCCTTTTGGGCCCATCCTTCCCATCCAAAGGGAGATGATGTTTACATAATAAGTCTAGGTATGAAGCATAGCCCTCGAAGTGTTTTCCCCCCCTTATTTACCTGTAATATACTTGTGTTTATTGTGATCGTTGCTGAAATGAAGTTATATTAATCCTTGCCTCGATTAAAATAAGTGAAATTATCAGATGTTATATTACATAGAATTACAGGGGAAAAGTTGGTATTTCAAACATGACATTAGCAGGAAAGTGACATTTACCAACATGACACGAAGTAGTTTCAAAATGAAGTAACTGTGTTACAGTACTTATTTGATGTTAATGTTGGATACTTTGATAATTGTCAGGATTTGAAAAATCTAGATTTCCTCACTTGGTTGTTCCAAGCCTTCCTGTAGCCATCCCGTCCACTCCAAATGTAGAGACGGGAGTGGATAGACACAGAACAATGGCCTGCCCGGGCACGTGGTAAGGCATCTTCAAAAACTTCCATGGCAAGGGGTTCCCACATCATTGAGTCTGTAGGAAGAGACAAAAATGATTGAAAATCGATAATATAAATATAAATAAATTATATAACAGATGTTGTATAAAAAATTGAACATTCATTTTCTAGTTTCAGAAGGAACTTTTTGGTTGACAACAGCTTTTTTAAATTCCGTTGCCAAATGTTTGCCAAAAATTTTGTATTCTTTCTCTATATAACAGACTGATAGTTACCACGTCAATTATATGGTCAGACATTTTGAAGTTGTTTCTGTTCTGTCGTTAGCTACACAATCACTGCATACCTTTGTTTGAAACAGAAGTCACCTCACAGAGCCATTTTTTTTTATTTGCATAAGAACATGAGGTCTATAGGGCCTGTATCTATCACAGTGGTAATTGAAATTGTATCATTGAAACTAACAGAAAAGTATTTAATTCAAAATTCTTGTATCTATTTACTATCAAAGGCTCTGACCCAAGGGTGGGTAGATGCAATCGATCTACTGCTTGTACAAATTTGATTCTCCTTTTCAATACAATGCTTCAAATCAATTTTGATGAAAATTTAGTTATTTGAAAGGAAGAAGGATTTTTTCGCCTAATGGGCCCCTTTTCACCCAAGCATACTTCAGACCACAAAGAAGAAATAGAATCTTAAAAGAATTTTGCTCTATCTCCCCTTTTAGGCCCTGTTCTTCCCAATTCAGAGAGCCAAAATCTTCCATTTAAATGAAACTGATTCTTTTACACAAAGGATGCTTTAGACTATACATTGGCCAAATCCTATGGGCCCCCTTATGGGCTGCCCCTCCTGTCCAACAATCGTTCATGGGTAGTGGCAATCTAAAGGAAAAGTTGACAGATGACTGACAGACAGTTGCTGGATGCCCCTTTATCCCTATAGCTCACTTAGTCCTTTTGGCCATTTGGACAATATCTTCAATTCCTGAAGATAGATTTGAAGAAATTCATAAATTTTCCCCATTGGGCCCTACTCCTTAGGTCCCTGAAGGCCAAGACACTTCACTTATAAAAACTTATTTCCTCTTTCCTCATGGAATAAATACTTTGGACCAAAATACGATAAAAATCTGCTCAACTGTTCATAACTAGTAGCAATTTATAAGGAAATATTAATGAATTTACTATATTTCCATTGCAAGGCCCCATCTCCTCCTGTCCAGAAGGTGTTCAGACCCACCATTTACATGAAACTGATTTCCCTTCACCCAAGCATGCTTCAGACCAAATTTGGACAATGTCCTACAATTTTTGATGAAGATAGATTTTTTAAAGAAAATTGATAGATCTTCCCTAATGGACCTAGCCTCTCCTGCCACAGGGGACTGATATGCATCATTTATACAAAACTGATTTCCCTTTATCCAAGCATGCTTCAGACCAAACTTGGAAAATATTCTGCAAGTCATGAAGAATAAGGGTCAAATGAGGTCAGTGAGTTACCCAGATTGAGAAAAGCCAGTGTATTACATAGATTTAGCAAAGCAAGTATTTTACCTTCACTGAGTGAGGCTACTGTGTTGCCTAGATTGAGTAGAGTCAGTGTAATACATAAATTGACTGAAGATAGTGTGTTACCTTAATCGAATGAAGACATTTTTTACGAACGATGGAGGCTAGTGAGTTACCTGAATTGAGTGACACCAGTAATGGACGTAGATTGAGTAAAGAGTTAGTTACCTAGATTGAGAGAAGCCAGTGTGTTTGTACATTTCCACTCCTTTTCATGTGTAGCGACCTTGACATCGTCCATCACCAAGGGTACCCAACCACCAAACACAAACATTCTGTTTCCAATGACTGTTGAGGAATGTAAACTTCTGGGCAGAGGTGCAATCCCTTGTACGACTGGCTTGGTCCATGTGTACGTATCTGGAAAATGTTAATTGTAAGTGCAAAGGTCAAATAACTAAATAAATTCTTCTAAGTCTCTTTATCACCTTATGGGGAGATAAGATGTCCTTACTATTTCTTTACAGTTAAGCTTGGATTAATTTGTTGTCCAAGAGGTAATAGTCATACAAATCTGATTAATTCCAATTTTTAAAAATTCCTAGAAAAGTATCAGAAACTCAGAAATGGTAGGTTTTGTTCAATAAAAACAGTTGCACAATCAAAATGGCTACTGTGGTTGACATGTTGAAGTTCTGATCAGATTGAAAAATAACAACATATCATCCGTTTCTTTTCCTCAATAAATCAAACTTCAAATATTTTCCTCAATGGTGTGAATAAAACTGAACAAGTAGTTCAGACTGCTTGTTCAAGAAGCTTTCAGTTGCATTTTTGACCAAAGCCAAAAAACAAGATTTGGTCAGTATCATCTTGGGATCACCTCATGCACGATGATATCATTGCTATTCCCTAATAATGTTTTCAGCCAAATTTGGTTAAAATCTCCTCAGGCATTAAGGAGGAGTAGCGTTTTGGAATAAAATATTATCTAACTTCCCCTTTTAAAGTCTTGTGCACCACCAGTAAGTCTCAATTGGTCAATCAACTTTCTGAATTCAAGAAAGTAATCGTCACCCACAATGATGTTTCAAATCATATTTGAGTGAAATCAAATAAAGATGAATAGCATTTTGAAGCTAAATATTGACTAACTTCCCCTTTTGGAGCCCACCTTAAACACTTTTACAGTAGATGACTATCAACAGTCAAATTTGAATTTTCCATACCAATATCAAGTTGCCAAAGGTCTCCTAGACGACAGCCACTCATGCCACCATAGATGATCAGGCGAGGTCGCTTGCCATCCTTTTCTGCGTACCCCACACAGGTATGGGATTCTCTTGGAGGTGGGGGCTGACCGATTGTTACAGGTAGATCCCATGACAGAGCGTAGGAATTGGGCTTCAGCTCCAGCACATACAAATCATTTAGGTATCTGTAACAATAACAAATAAAATTAGAATTGTAAGCCAATGGTTAACTAATATCCCCGACTTCCCATCACCTGCAATATACACTTACATAGTAATGACACTAGGATTTAATAGATTTGAAAATTTAGTATCAATTTTGTGTCCTCGTGGAAAACTCTTCAAAAATAATGAGAAACTAAATGTCAACTTTTGCACATCTATACATGGTGGCTAACATTCCTTTGTAGTTTCATTGAAATTAGGAGCTGTATGTGTCAAGTGTTGTGGTATGGGACACCCAGCATCAGCGAGACAAGTGTAAGGGATTAAAATCATACGGGTGTTAAGCCAGTGTGAGCTGGTGTTTCTAAAAAGAAGGATTTTAAAGAGTGTGCTTCATTTCACCAATTCTACCCACCCCGTTCTGCCCAAGTGGGCAGAGAACCACCCTTTATACAAAAAAGATTCATCTTCACCCAAGGATGCTTCATCCCCAAATAACATCTAAGAATACCTACAGAAGAAGGATATTGAAGAAGGCTTCTGAATGTTGTCAAAATCTGCTTTGTCATTGATGATTAATAGTGATTTGTTCAAAAAAAGAAAAGTTATGAAAAGTTAACAGATGACAAATGACAGACGCTGCAGTATGGCATAAGGTCACTGATTGTTACAACCATGTGAATTACTGACTAACATATTCTCACCTTGGAATATTATTCTTTGGATCTTCACTGTCATTGGCCAAGCCTCCAAACAGGTAACCACTGTTTCCAAGTAATGTGAAACAATGTCCTTCAAAAAAAGTTTTCAGTTAGTTATTTTTACAGACAATACTGGTGATTTTTTTCAGATAATATTGATAAAGTGCTACGTACTCTAATGCATATCAATTAATTTTCAACAAATTTTTCTTTTCCCATCCCTAATTTGTCTTGTTAGCATATATTTTAAACAATTTTGTTAATTGGATGATGTCAAGTGTACATGTCAACTTGATAGTTCAAACTCTAATTCCTTTTCACAAGTACAATTTTGTATAATTCAAACAGGTCAAACTCTCTGAGGAAGGCGAGTCAAAAAGCGATCTTTGTTATACCTTAATGTCATCTACTTTAAAGAACCTGCATACCATATGGTATGCTCCTGGGACAAAGTTCTGCTATGTATATTGACTGGACGTGGTTCTTTAGGGTTTCACCTACTTTGGGACCTACCCGTCTATTTTTACAACATTGATCTCATTTTCATTTGGGCAAAATCTGATCATTCCTACAGGAGGAATATCATTTAAAAATTGAATTTATTTGTCTCCCTCCCTTAGATTTCTTGGGGCCGATACCCACCATTCATATAAAATTTGTTCTTGTTTTCCAAGGATGTTTCAGACCAAATTTGATTAAAATCTCCTCGGGTATTCATGACTAATAGAGATTTATATGAAAAGTTGACAAATACCGGACACTGCAGTATTCCTATAAGCTCACTTATCTCTGTAAGCTATTAAATAAAACAAAACATCAATCTTATCCTCCACATTAAATCTACATGTAAAATGCTTTTTCATCTCAAACCAATGTGAAATCAATCTGGCATCATAATTTCTTTTCAGAATTCAATCATATATTTACCTAGTCTTGGACAGGGAGGAGCACCATTTTTTGGAGGTTTTGGTTTCAGTCTTTTCCATTCCCATCGACTGGCCTGAAGCTCATAAAGTTCATTTGAATACTTTCCATATTCCACCATTCCACCAAACACCAGAATTCTGGTACCATCACAAATGAAGCCATAGGCAGCACACCCAGGTGGAATATCACCCCGTACAGCAGGCACAAACCATTGGTTAGTGGCTACAAATTTTAAAATATGAAGAGATTGCTTTTTTTTGTGCAAAAACATAGTTACTGTTTATAATTGATTTGCATATGTAAAAGAAAACAAATAAAAGTAAACATAATCTGAAAAAAAAACCTGAACATTTGGTCCTGATTGAAAATCTATAATTAGATCTAAAATGATTTTTAGATTCTGGTATATGAATATTCTTTTTATGTACAGTACACATCAAGTGCTGTGGTACTTAAAATCAGACAGTCTGTCGATATGGAGTGTCATCTGTATGTAGGTGATTAATTATAGCCTATGTGCTCAACCTAGGTGCTTCAACTGGCCAACACCCAACAATAGCAAGACAAGTGTGGAATAAAATTATACCATAGTTGCCAATGTTCTCAGCTGAACATTGCAGTGATGCAGACATTAAGTGCTGGTTACATACAGGGTAATACATGTTTACAGGATACTGTTACTATCAGCAACCAGTTACACTTTAGATGTTTAGTTTTCAGAAGCTGTAGTTAATTAAAAATCAATGTTTGCCATCTAATTAATCATTAAATATGAAAGAATGGTGTTTGACATGCGTTTTTTTTTTTACTTAATTAGAAATGCAATAGGTTGCTGCTAATTTGGTCTGTGACGTAACTGAAACTACTGTGTTTGTAACCACAAAGGGTAACAAAAGCTCCAGAGAAAAGTATATATGACTGAAACACAAGCATTGCCATACCAAACTTTAGGTGTGAACTATGATAAATTTGTGGGTATAGTGTGCAGGTACGTTTTTGGGGTCAGATTAAAAAAACCCATATATTGATCACCAGTTACCACGGTGCAACAGTTGATGGCTTTGATCCATCGATAATTAGGAAACCACAATGAATGTGACCCTGACACATTTAATTACCTTGTGTGAACAAATTCATGCAGGTGCCTAACTTAACATGGAAGGCAAGGATAATTGGATAATCAACGGTTGTTAACAGGTAACACGTTGATTTATAACACTCGGCTTGGACAGAATTAAAATTCAATCTACTTAGATGTAAGTTATCATGTAATGTTACAGACTGAACGTTTTAAACAGTGGATATTCCAAGCTTACTGCTACCAGTACCATCAATATCGGTATATCTATTTGATAATATGTATTTACTTTAATTGATGATGAGGACATTTGGTCAATTCAAGGGGGAAATATTAATTATGACAACATTTGCAGTTTCTGACAATGAACATCATGACATCTCATTAGAACCTGCCAACAAATAACAGATTCAGTGTCAATCACTGCATGATGTGATAAATTCCAGAATACTGAATTTGATGCAACTCTGAACTTTTTCTCCTCTTGATCTAGTTGGACCTTAAAGTTAAGCAGGTCCAGTGTAAGCTAACCTAATATATCAAACTCTACCCAAATATTTTACCATTCTCATTATTTCACTTTGGTACAGTAGTTGTACATGTAGGGATGTCTAGTAGGAATAAGCCTTTCTAAAGTGTGAACACCATGCATAAGACTGTTGCTGTTAGCTGTAAATAAAGAATTAAACTGAAGCTACTGCATGGAGCCTTATCCCACAGGTAAGTGGGCAGTGGGCAGTGAGAAACCCCCTGTGACATACTACTGGCTGGTGTAAGCTTCAGCGCCACAACGAAAAAAATGTGATATAACCTAAAACATAGAATATAAACCACACCCGAGAGTAAGCCGCAGGGCTGCTTTTTACCAATTTTAGCAATTTTTTGTATTCACATATAAGACACACTGGGATACAAGCCACACCATTTCTTACGATATAGTAACTGTTATGTTGACCAAGTTCCTTGATATAATAGACAATGGGAAAGGCAATTTATCAAGACTGTCAGTGAAACATTTAATGTAAGTTTGCTAATAAATTATACACAGATAATCCTTGATTTCATTGCCATGTTTTCAACTTAAAATAATTATTGAACCCATTTGTCTTGGAATCCTTCAAAACTGTCTACGGACAAATACTGGGCCTGATGTTATGTACCTTTCACTCAAGAATACCTCCATCAATGTTTGTACCATTATTAGCAACAGCCCTTGAATGCTGACAAAATTCTTGTAGCCCCATATTATTTCTTTAAAGTTACACAAAGTCATCCATATCATAAATAATCATTGCTGTTGTTCTAGATTTGACCCCATGACCTACCAATCCCAGGATGCAACAGGCTATTGTAAACTTCTGCTAGGACTTCCGAAGTAACTATGAAAGTTCAGAAGATTTTATTGAGTTCATATTAAAAGAGTGTTATTTTTATTTCAATCTGAAAATCACCTAGTATAGTGTTGCAAATGATAGTTCTAGACTATCTATTCCACTTTTTTTTTATTCTTCCTCGGTGCGAGGTCACACAGGTTAAACACATAACCGTGTGGAATCGAAAAAACATAGTAGAATATAAGATAGCAAGTTGTGATGACATCAAATATTGTTGCATACACATTACATTTAGCATGGTTTGAGATGTGCTGTCAATTTATTTACAATTAACAGTACTGCCTACTGAATGTATTAGATTAAGTACCCATTATTTCATCAAACTTTTTCACACAGGAAAGATATAATGTAAATTGAAATTAAATTACATGTTAAATTTTTACTTTAGTCAGTAACACTTATGATCACAAGTAATTGAAAAAGTCTTCAATCACTAATTACTGTCAATTACGTGTAATGGATTACAATACATTATGATTATATGATTACAATAACCACATGCCTGATACTGTTAAGCTTGCAATACTTGACATAGAAAGAACATATTTTGTAAAGGAGTTGTTCAGTATGGAGATTCTACAGAAATGGCATTAAGTAGTGAACTTTTAAAAGAAAATTCCTCCTTAAAAATCAATAATACAAGAACACCTTGTTTAACATTTTCTTCGCAAATTTGAACTTCATTTAAAGTCTTTTATGGGACATTGTTTTAACACAAAATTTAATGGTTACAAAAATGTGGAATTTATTCAAAACATTTCTATTTTGACATGGTTGACATTTTGCTGCCGCTAGGCATCACAACCAAAAATGACCGTAAGTGTTTTATGGACTAAGAGATCAAAATGTTACTAGCATGAAATAATACATGATCTTGAAACGGGAGCACGGTTAACGTTCTTAGCCAAGTGCTATGCCAGGTGGCGCTTTCATTTGGATAACGTTTATATACTTCTTTTTTATATTTCAAAATATTTCAGAACGATTGCCTATCATGGGACTAACTTTTTTATTCTTTAAAACTGAAACTTGACGCGATCCAAGTAAATTAACATTTCAAAAAGTAAAATGTCTGATAATCTCGTTTGTCTTCTAAAATTATGGTCGAGATTTGGCGAGAACCGGTCGCCATCTTTCGCTTCTTTTGGCTGTCTGATTCGGCGAACATGTAAACAAAAAGTTGATTAAAACATCTCTTTCAAAACCATTGCATTTGATTTCAAGTGTAGATACAATTTACGTGTTATTACTTTGAAATGAGTTCCGTATCTCAAGTGTTACATTGGCGCTTAATTACAGCGGTTGTGTCAGTAGGGCGCCGCCATATTGGATCTTTCGGAACTAGCAAAACAAACACAATAATTCGCTAAGAAAAGGGTATAGCATTGTTATTATATGAAGGATTGCCCTCCAAAACATTTTGTTTTAAATTTTGTAATTTTTCGACAATGCTACAATTAATTTGATTGTCAAAACAAGAAAATAAAGGTGGCGCCAATGTTTGACATTTCGTTCAGTAATGGCGGCCATCCTAGAGAACAACAACAAACCCACCTGTATTATAAACGTGGAGCTCGTCAACGATTCCTTCATTTCCTCCGCCAAAAACTACCATTAATTCCTTGATTGCCACCGCTCGATGTCCGTGCCGAGGTCTTGGACATGGCCCAGAAACGTTTGTTAGGCGCTTCCATTTCAAGATGGGTGCCGCCATATTTGTTTTACCCACAATGCTGTACTATGCGCATACTATCCGCGCACGAACCTTGTGGTCGTCAAAACATAATTTACATATCACATGACCACTTTTTCCTGTCTAGTATTATTATAAATTTAATTTCAGACATCATTTGTTGTTCTACGCTATACAATGTTTTGGAGATAAATGACATTTCTATTTAATTGTTCTGATCTTGAATTTATTATTGGTTAGTGTATCATTCGTAAAGTCTTGGATTTTTAGGTTCAATGCACGGTGAAGACAAAATATTCCGAAAGAAAAGAGGCCGAGAAATGGGCAAAAGCAGACACTCATGCAGTACAACTCCTTGTTCGTCAGGTTGTTTAAGCTGGTGATTTATTCCTCAGAGGAGAATGTGCTGACTAACAGGAAATAATTAAAGGGGCAGAATCCTTCGAAAATTTGACAGTACTTGTCCGTACTGTCGTTATTATTAGTACGCATCCAACGAACACTTGTTTGTGAGTATCCTGTACAAATATTGGACCTTACTATCAACACTGTTTAATACATTCACTCTCTATATATAATATTTGCAAACACAAGAGTTAAGCATAAAGCGCTTGCAGACTGAGCAAAATGCATTCACGGCGATATATTTACGGTCGGCGTAATAATGTCGGATAATAAAACGGCCGACTAGTGACCTCTTATAGAAGTATATAACTCGAGATCAGTTCGAGATCTATTTTAACAAAATTTAAATAGATGACAATTTTCATTTTAGAGAATATACCATTCAAACTGAACTAATATGCATTATGTAGGAAATCAGATTCCTAGAACCAATCTATCATACATTTTTATTATATTAGGTAATTTTGCATAGAAATTCATGCAACTATTATTGTTATCACTACTTCTTTAGATGTACTTGAGAGACATTTCTCAATCTTCTCATGTACGCTTCCCTCCGTCTCTAGTTCTGTTTATTCAGTTTTGAATGTAATCACTCAGTGAAACAAAATGGACCACAGGCATCTTATATTTTTACAGATAAAGTTTGATATTTGTCTAGAAGTACAAGAGAAATTTCAGTTGTGCCCATTTCAGATTGGTCAGTATCCTTGTTTGTGACTATTGAGGTTTGTTACTATTGCTCAGAAAGTTAGTTTGATCTTTGATTTCATTGTAGGACTCCATTATTAAGGGGGAAAGTAGAGAAAAGATCAGTCTTGCGTAGAATTAATAAAGATCATTCAGTGATGAGCACCAATACAATATCCCTCTGGGATCTCTTGCTAACATTTTAAAGTTTGAAGTAAAAGTGATTGAATATATATTTGAAAACACAACTAAACAGGCTGTTATTTTCTTATGATGAAAAAATGAATAATGATGGAATGTCCATGTCTCTGCCCTGATGAAAACATGACTGGAGTAAATTATGCTCCTTTTGTCTGGAGCAGCTAAACAAGATTATATTCTCAACATATAGCATTGTGTGTATCCATAATGTTTCACAGTATAATTGTGTTGAATCATCAATGTTGGTGATTATAATGTATAGATTTAGCATATATTTACACTCACTTTCTTGTGTATTCTGCAGTTTCATTATTTTGACAAAGTGGCACATACGTCCCATAAAATTACATGTCATTATTGCTTTTATCTAGAGTGTCAATTACTTTATATACTTGTTTAATTGATGATATTATGATGGATGCTCACAATAGTCTATGTGATTAATCATAAGGCACAATAGGGAGTTATTCCCCTTAGGTCCCTTGATTTAAAAAGGAAAAAAAAATCAAATATACATTTAGGTAGCCTACTGGTAGTCTAATACTGTAATAATTACCTGGTAAACCTAATAGTTGCATAAGACACAAAATGAGGATATTTAATACATAGTTTGCTTACAGTCGCCTTGGGGTACAGTTATTATATAAAAACATCATTTGAACAGGAATGACATTTTGATGAAGAAAAAAATCATGGTGCGAAAATAGTGGACATCTATGTTTAGGTGTGCACCTTTTCTAAAGTCTTAGATTCAAGTTTTTATTGTTTGGTGTTTTTTGACTGATGAACCTTACTCCTTGGTATCTTAAAAGTTGCATGTCTCAATTTTTTGACATATATCACCTTGGTAGTTCCTAGAATAGATTTTTACCTCTTGATGAGGTTGTTGCAGAGGGCGTTCAGTTAATGGTGAATTTGATCATTTGTGATGTGAATTCAGCCACTAAACACATATTCATTAGTAGTGTTTATGAAGGCTGTGTACATTAAATAAGCATGTCCTGCACCATCAAACGACTAAGAGGTACAGTTTGTTATTAGACCATAACCGTTAAAGCTTCAAAGTACCTAAACAATGTCCAGTAATGTGATTCAGGTGATGAATCATATCATGACTTAGCTGACACTGACAAAAATAATAGGCATACAGTATTTCGATTAGTGGTAAGTCGAAATTTAAGGTATTTTGACTTCTTTTAGTTTACTGCACATCATTTTGCAAAATTTTTTCTTGTACTCACTTCAGCAATGTGAACCTCTTTTCACTTTTTTCCCCCTACACATTAAGTGTTTGTTAAATACAATAGTCATCTCTGTTAAGTCTGAGATGTCCTGGACTACCTAAGTACACACCTACTCTTTGCCAGGAACATGCCGGATGGAGGGGATTAGTGGTCATTGGGACAGAAAATAGTTAACTGAACTGTGAATTCACCTGCATAAGGCAGCAATACAGCTTGTATTACACGTGTAACATAAAGGAATGAATTCTTGGCTGACATTTTAATAAGATATATCAAAATAACAAGAGGTTTTTTGTCAGTAAAAAATCACTAAACACACTATTGTTTATGGCAAGTTTTATTCTTACTCCAAAATGCAAAATTTTGTGTTATTTTTATATGTTTTTACATAGTGTATAACTGTTTTGCTTTATTTCTGTAATTTTTTCATGCTGGGATGTTTCATTTGTGTTTTATTATACATGTTAACTTGTAAATTAGCTCTACAGACCTGATAATGTTTTTGCTGTACATATACCTTTGTCAAAAAATAAATCTTGTATCATACTCTCAGTGCTTACTACTGCTTAATTCTGCATAGCAAATATAGAACAAAAGTCATGATAAATAAAAAAGAAAAACACAGAGCATGACATTATGTTTAGGGCAAGTGTACAAATAACATAGTAACACATGAACATGTTCTTTACGACATCATCATCTTTCACATATATGACAATAAACATGCAAATATATGTATCATATAATCATCAAGAGGTTAAGTAACTTTTTGATAAACATGATCATAAAATTTGGTGTTTGATAATTATTATCCTCGAACAAGGAGATGTAAATCAATAGTGTAGTCTAGTATTAATGGTAAAATAAATGCATTTGTTGTAGTACATAGATGTTTTCAAAGATATAGCTTAGAATACCTTATAAATGAAACCATTGAGCAGAGATTGACTTATACTTATTATACGTCCCTGCAGTAAGTATTTTTTTTAGGCTAAACATAACATTGAGGTTCAGGTGAGTGATACACAAGCCCTAAGGACCTCTTGTCTTGGACCAATATTTCGAACTACTTCGTCAATTTCAATTGTACCTTAAGAACAAGAGGCCCAAGGGCCTAATGGTTACCTTAATTACATTGCTTCTTGTAAATGTCATAAAAATGATTTTGTTTAAAAAAATAAGATAACTACATTGTACACCTGATGTAAACTGTGTAAAACATTAACTTACTAAGACTTCTAACCAAGTTTGAATTTAAACAAATTAAAGTCAAGAAGTGAATTTTCCTATATAAAATCTTCCATCCATGAACAGTAGAACATCTTTGAAATTTTAGTTTAATTGACCTATTTTGGCCTCTCCTCCCCTTTCAGCCCCGGGGAGTTGGCCAAGGTCTCTATGTGCATCTCATCAAACTGTCAGCTTATACTAATAATTCTATCCAAGACTGAATTATTTCTGAAAGAATAAACAGATCATGCTCAAAAATCTGAGTTTCCCATATAATCTATAGTAAAATTTACCCCTTCCTCAAGGGAGAATGCAAGACCCTGGGGTCATGAATTTGCTATTTTGTTAAGCCTCTGAAGGCCTTTCTATCCATGAAGAGAATTTGATTCTACCATACCTGGGTATTGAGAAGATTTTTGAAGTTTAAATCAATTCGACCCTTTTTTTTTGGCTGCCTGGGGGTTAGGGACTAATGATTTACAGTATTGGTGTGCCTTTAGCCATGGAAAGTTTTTGTAAAATTTCATTGAAATCGGTCTGGAAGAAGTGGAAAATGTTAAAAGTTTACAATGCACAATGCCATACAAAATGAGATCGCAATAGTCACCCTTAGACTTTGTTTCAAATGACCTTAAATATTTGTTAAGGGAAAGAAGTGAATGATATGTTGTTATTTTTCTACCTTGTAAATAGTTAAAGTTTACATGTTACCCACAGTAGCCATTTTGTAACATGATTGTCCAGCTATTTTTAGCTCATCTTGCCTGAATGGTCCATCCATCCATCTGTTTGTCAACTAGTCATAAAACACTTACAGGTTAAGGGGAATTAATTTTGTCTAAATGATAGGTCTTGGCCCCCATTGGAATGGGATGTGCACAACCCAATTGGGGAAATAGAACAAATTATTTAAAATCCTACTTCTCCTGAAGGAGTGATTGTACTTTGCCCAAATTTTGTCTGAAGCATGAGTGGGTAAAGGGGAATCAATTTCGCATCAGGGATTGACATTAACACTTGTCTGGTACCAGACAAAATTGCTGTTGGACAAGTCAAAACATTGAAGCATTTGTCCAGGAGGACAAGTAAGGAATATTTCTCTGTATTGTTTATTTGTATTCTGAAATCAACAATTACTTACTCAAAGTAAAATAAGTGAAAACTCAGTTTATATTACAGGGAACAAAAATGACGCTCTACAACAAAAGTAGCTTAATTTGTAACTGCATACAAATGTTACCTTAACTTCCAAGGACCTTTGAAAATATGCAATCATACTCACTGATGTGTTTGAAATAAAAACATGTATGAAATGAATTTATAAGGCACTGCATCAACACTGATGAGACAAAATGTCTAAAATGGATAGTACTGTTTAAATTTGGCTTTGTTAGCAACTGGTCAAACTAGCAGCAAAAGTATGGAAGAATAAAATCTATCTAAATAGAGCAGAAAAAAAGTATGAGAGAAAAGCAGTCTAGGAACTTACAGGGATCTGGGATAGTGGATTTTTTAAGGGTTGTCTTATGAAGATGAAACGGACATATGACCAGAAGTGAACATAGAGCTTATCCGATCTGACAAGGTTTTATAATGTCTACATATACCACAATACATCACACTTACTAAACCACCATAGCTAGTACTTCACACCTTACTTCTGGTCATTCCTAAAATCCTTTCTCTAGGTGACTGATACAGGCCCTACAAGCCTCTTGTTCATGAACAAAATCTCCTGAGTTTGCCTTTTGTCTGTGATCTGTCCATGACTCGATTGTCAGATGACTGTTAAGGGTCACGGCTCTCTTATAATGTTTGGTAAGGAAATGGGGCATGACAAGGAAATGGCTGGTATAGATGAGATGAGAGAATGGCAAAATTCAAGATTATATATGTATATATATATATATATGTACTTTGCATTTAGGTAACTGGGACTGAAAACTAAAACAACTGATGTATGGACTCTTTTCATCCTTGGTATTAGTTTTCCTCAAACCAGAGTTGAAATGTTTTCTCTATTTACTCTTTCAGATCCCCTGCAGCTAATTTAATAAGACACTAGGAGAAGAATAGAAGACAAAATTATGGCACCAATATTCATTCGAGCTTTAATGACGGTGACCATTTCCACAGCTGTGATCTGTTTTCTTGTTTTTGATGGTGGATTTGATCGAGTACACACAGAGACAGGACTGAAACACTATGCTGAAAGAGCCAGCCCTATTTTGAAAACAGTGCTTCCAAAATGGCTGAAAATGCCATTGAATACTCTTGTCAACTTTGGCTATATCGTAGTAGGATCTTACTGGTTAGCAGTAATATTTTACCGTAATGGACAGGAAAATATCAGAGAAGTTGATGCCTACACATTCTATGTATTCAATATCATGGCTTGCTTTTATGGTCCAATTCAGATGATGCGAATTGTGATGGATAAACATCGTTTGGCGATTTTGGATCAGTGGGTCACACTTCCATTTTTTATGTGGGTGTATATATGGGGTAAATGCATTTCCAACAACTGGAGTAACCTGAGAGCTTTCATTGCCACAGCCATATCAATGTCCAGCTACACTCTAGCTCTATATTATGATACTGGGTTTGAAATTGCACTTGGACTGCACATTGTACTAGCAATCGTTGGAGCTTTCTTTTCATATCAAAAATACCCAGTAATCGAGGCAAAAAAATCATTTATATATGCTATGCTTTGTTGTACAAGTTTTGTTGTCTTAAAGTTATTAGATCTACACCTCCCAAATATTCATCCTTTCTTTCTGAGAGTTTCTGGGCATTTTTTATCCAAAATAGGGGATGTTTTACAAATACATTACACGAACAAATTTTTTATGGCTTTAACTTGTGAAAAAACAGCAAAACAGAAAAAACTGAATTGAACAAATAATGCATTTGATATAGAATTATGTCACAAGTAACACAGTATATCGTCTACACCAGTCTCTCTGTTTATAATTTTTGAAATTTTTTGTCATGTTTTGATTTTACTTTTTAAGCTCATCTGATTCCACTTCAATACATTTGTATATATTGATTATATCCATGAAAATCCAAGAAGATCTGAACATTTTCATGTTTAAATAAAAATATTTACCAAACATGCCTTCAGTTTCCAGATACAGTCAACAATGACTGCATAATACATTTCAATGGAGAAAGATTTGATAACCATTTCTTACGATTGTACACATGCAAAATTATCACAAGAATGTATAGAGTATAATCAATTTACATGAGTGATATAACATCATATAAGACAAGAAGTCCATAGGGCCTGTATCGTTCACCTGGACCTTAAAGTCCAGCAATGGTATACATGCCTATAGGTTGAGTATTTCAAATATTTCCAAATTACAGCTCAGTCACTTAACCTCTTTGGTAGGGCAAGACCAAGGAGCAAATTTTTATATCATGATTGTTTTTCCCTTTGATGCCCAGTAAGTGTTTGATTAATCTAATTACTGATTTATACAAAGAGATATATAAAGAGGTTGATTCATAATTAATTATAAAAAGGGAATCCTTATTCGTCAGTCAAAAGTCTTTTTACGTCATATATGATAACACATGCACACAAAACAAATGTGGCCTGTAAGCAAAAATGGCTTAACATCTGAATTGGTTACTACAATGTTGGCGATTAATGTCACTTATTTTATAATTCTGAGTAACATTTGCTACACCCATAACAAAACTTACTGTGTCACTACTGTTGCTGTCAATTCTGCCCATCATTATGTGTTTGTGTTTTCAAAGTGAACTGTCTTGTTTTCAAAATTATTTTGTCACATCAGTGCTATTTTGATTTTTTTTTTACCGAGCAAAAGAAGTGGTCAAGCTGGGAATTGGCATCAACTGTGATTATCGGGATAGCATAGAAACAAAAAGGAAATATATAAACTATGTACAATCAATATCAAAATAAATGTGTTTACTATGATGTCCATTTAATCTTACCATGAGGATTTATCATAAAAGCTAACTCTACACTACTCAGTGTTGTTTCATATTAAAGTTTTTATAAACTTTTCAAATGATTTATCATCATATAATTTACAAAAGTGGAAAGGATTTCAAATGTCTATTTGATAAATCATGTACAAAGCTTGATCTTGGAGACATGATGGTACCAAGGACTTGGATATTAATAGGAGTCTTTGGTGGCAGACCTAAAGTACTGAAAATTGAACTAAAATACAAACTTCCAGTTTTAAAATTATGTCGGAAATCAGTCACTATTTCAATTATTTATGGTCATCTATGCAACATTGATATAATTGAAAATGTTTAAACATCTTTTTAGTTACATCGTGAAACAGACCTAATGAAAAAATAACAGGGATAAGAAAGTTTGAAAGTATGGACAAAGGGAGATAAATCGATATGGTTCCTCGTTCCCAAAGGATGAGAAAAGACTATCTTTATTGATAGCTCTATGGGAGTACAAACTGTAGTAAAGCCCATAAGAAAAAAGACCAAATAGAATCAGACATTATTACAAAAATGCAGAGAGGAAGGTTGGCAAAGCTAGAACTTTCAAGGAGAAACAGGCAGCGAGACTTCCCCAAACAGACTTGTGGCAAATTATCTCTGCATTTAGAGAAACCAGTAGGAACAGGTGATCTGCAACCCAGATAATGTCCTACCTCTGATGCATAGAGATCACAAGTAAGAATCGCTGTTCTGAGACCTGAGACTTCCAAGCAAGGGATCAAAACGCATGAGGTGGGTTGGCCTCAGATGAGTGTGTCTGAAGTATTGCAGTAATACAATCACTTCTGTATTATTTTCAAAAATCTTCAAATTACATCCAACAAATTTGTTTTGATTTTTGTCAATAAAAGAAAAAAGATCTTGGGTACTTTGGTGATCACCGTAATATGACCATTATAGCTTCTATGTTAATTTGATCTTGCTCTCAATTTCTTCCAGTGTTGTGTTATGTTAACAAATGAATGGCATTATCAAACAAAAGAGCCTTGCATTTGCTCCATCCAGCACTTTGACAAATAGTTATGACATTCAGATACCAAATCCAAAATGGCCATATATCAGTCATTTCACACAGTTAAAATGCAATACCTTAAATTTCCACATATAATGCACACTTTTTTAAGCTAAAACTGTTGGGTCAAAAAGAGGATGCGCACTATACGCAGTAACATGCCATTCCTGGGGTTATCATTCCTGAGTTCTGCGTCCGCCACATTGGATTACCTCCCTTCGCATAGTTATATGTAAGAGTTGTCGGTCATATATGATAGTTTGGAGATAAAAACAAACAAATCAAATAAACTTCGAATGTTTCAATACAGCTGAGTTTTATTATCATCTATATAAAAATAATAACATCTGTCATCATAAATCACAAGTGTACAATAGCACTAACTAATCATAGTGTAATAGGTACCATGGTACTTAGGATAAATAATCCATAGAGCACTAACTAATCCTATTGTAATAGGTACCATGGTACTTAGGATAAATAATCCATAGAGCACTAAGCAGTTAATCCTATTGTAATAGGTACCATGGTACTTAGGATAAATAATCCATGGAGCACTAAGCAGTTAATCCTATTGTAATAGGTACCATGGTACTTACAATAAATAATCCATAGAGCACTAAGCAGTTAATCCTATTGTAATAGGTACCATGGTACTTAGGATAAATAATCCATAGAGCACTAAGCAGTTAATCCTATTGTAATAGGTACCATGGTACTTAGGATAAATAATCCATGGAGCACTAAGCAGTTAATCCTATTGTAATAGGTACCATGGTACTTACAATAAATAATCCATAGAGCACTAAGCAGTTAATCCTATTGTAATAGGTACCATGGTACTACCATGGTACGATAAATAATCCATAGAGCACTAAGCAGTTAATCCTATTGTAATAGGTACCATGGTACTTAGGATAAATAATCCATAGAGCACTAAGCAGTTAATATCATTTACTTTTCACTTAGCACAGTCCCTGATCACTATACAAGCAGTCACTAAAACCCTGCAAATTCCTCATCACTAGGGAAAAAAGTTGTTGGATCGAAGTCCACCTCAGTAGTTTTCTTGTCGTAATAGAAGATGTCACACTCATTCTCCATGTCATCTTCATGTATATATATACACATATGTATATATATATTTAAGTAAAACATGCCTGTACTGCATGTGACCTAGTGATCATTGATGTGTCTATAAATACTTGGCATACAAATTAGCTAAAAAAACTTTGGGACTGTGTACTTAGGAACAGCACTTCATTCACCTTCACATATAACTGCTACTCAGAATCTGATGCACCAGAAATATAACTTTTCCTACTAATAGTGTACCTAGAAGCCAACATGCTGTTTTTTAATGCAACTCGTTCGAGTTGTTTGACTACATGTGTAAATGATCTTGGTGACTCAGTTCTTGTAATAGGATTGTCATGCTGTCGTCTTGTGCGGGGTCGCAGAGGGTATCTATGAATTGTATTGCTGGTACTCTGTAATGGAAAAATGTAAAGGCACCATGTATTAAAAAAGGCCATAGTAAATTTTCTAATTAACTCCAGCACGTGAACTCTTTTTGGAAATTTTGCCTAGGCAATAGCGAAATCACATTTCACATATTCTACAAGTATTGCTTAGTACAGAACTCATTATATAAAACAGAGTGAAAGAAATCATTAACCTTTGACATGGTATTTGTTGTAAATGGTGCACTGTGCACTGTAGGAGAAATACAACTATATGTGTAGTGATATATGGTTCTTAATGCGATTTCGTTATGAATATTAATAATTCATACCACTACCACACTAGGCTATTGTTACATGTACGCTATTGTATCTATTGCACAGGTAAAAAGAACAGGAATATCACTTTTGTCGTACGTTTTGTAGAGGTATGAAACAGTCTACTGGGTATAACCAACCATCTTGTCTGTTTAAATTAACATCATTCACTGGTGGATAGTAACTGGGAGAAATCTGGCACTGTCCATTATAACAAATGATATGGTGCCAGGTTCTGATGTATATAAAGGGACGGTGACTGGTCAGACTGTGTGTGAGTGGTTTATCAGAAGTGATGTGGTGCCATGTTCTGATGTATATAAAGGAATGGTGACTGGTCAGACTGTGTTAGAGTGGATTATCAGAAGTGATGTGGTGCCATGTTCTGATGTATATAAAGGGATTGTGACTGGTCAGACTGTGTGTTAGAGTGGATTATCAGAAGTGATGTGGTGCCATGTTCTGATGTATATGAGTGGATGGTGACTGGTCAGACTGTGTTAGAGTGGATTACCAGAAGTGATGTGGTGCCAGGTTCTGATGTATATAAAGGGATTGTGACTGGTCAGACTGTGTGTTAGAGTGGATTATCAGAAGTGATGTGGTGCCATGTTCTGATGTATATGAGTGGATGGTGACTGGGCAGACTGTGTTAGAGTGGATTACCAGAAGTGATGTAGTGCCATTTTCTGTTGTATATAAGTAGATGGTGACTGGGCAGACTGTGATAGGGTAGATTACCAGAAGTGATGTGGTGCCATGTTCTGATGTATATAAGTGGATGGCGACTGGTCAGACTGTTAGAGTGGATTATCAGAAGTGATGTGGTGCCATGTTCTGATGTATATAAGTGGATGGCGACTGGTCAGACTGTTAGAGTGGATTATCAGAAGTGATGTGGTGTTGTATATAAAGGGATGGTGACTGGTCAGACTGTGTTAGAGTGGATTACCAGAAGTGATGTGGTGCCATGTTCTGATGTATATAAAGGGATGGTGACTGGTCAGACTGTGTTAGAGTGGATTACCAGAAGTGATGTGGTGCCATGTTCTGATGTATATAGGGGATGGTGACTGGTCAGACTGTGTTAGGGTGGATTATCAGAAGTGATGTGGTGCCATGTTCTGATGTATATAAAGGGATGGTGACTGGTCAGACTGTGGTAGAGTGGATTATCAGAAGTGATGTGGTGCCATGTTCTGATGTATATAAAGGGATGGTGACTGGTCAGACTGTTGTAGAGTGGATTACCAGAAGTGATGTGGTGCCATGTTCTGATGTATATAAAGGGATGGTGACTGGTCAGACTGTGGTAGAGTGGATTATCAGAAGTGATGTGGTGCCATGTTCTGATGTATATAAAGGGATTGTGACTGGTCAGACTCTGTGGTAGAGTGGATTACCAGAAGTGATGTGGTGCCATGTTCTGATGTATATAAAGGGACGGTGACTGGGCAGACTGTGTTAGAGTGGATTACCAGAAGTGATGTGGTGCCATGTTCTGATGTATATAAAGGGACGGTGACTGGTCAGACTCTGTGGTAGAGTGGATTACTAGAAGTGATGTGGTGCCATGTTCTGATGTACATCGAGGAATTGTAACTGACAAGAATCTGGTACAGTGTATTATAATTACTAAACAATGGTTGCATATGCTGATTCCACAGATACAGTTGAAACGTATTTTATGATTCCAAAAATTTACTATTTGAATGAAAATGAGAAAATACGACTGTATGAGAAATTTCTAGTGTAATAAGTTATTGTGTGAGAAATTATCTGTTGTGAGAAGTTAAGTCAAGTGGTAACTTACTTTTAATGAGAAGTTATGCTGTGCAAGAGCCTATCTGTTTTGTGAGAACATGTTCGTGGTGTGGAAATTTACCTGTTGCACAAGAACTTACCTGCTGTGGCGTCGGTGATTTGCCACGTATTCTCCTGGTGGATTCTGCTATTGACGAATCACGATCAGAATCATCTTTTTCTACAAAATAAACCAAAACCAAGACCTTTGAACAGTTAATACGAAAAAATTGTCTGGAAATAGAGGTAATAATAATATCAGAAACGTTTTCATGAACAAATTTATGGGGTTGTCGGAATTGTTAGCTACAACTAGAATTATGGTTACAATTTTGGTTAGAATTTGAATCACTTTTAATGTATCATGTCAAAAACATGGAGAGTTCTGGTATAGGGCCAACACCGTTCATCCTATTAGGGTGGGTTGTTGTTTCCTTCAATCCTCAGCTGGATACCCTAGGGGTATGCAGGGCGATTGAGCAGTAGAACAAATCAGATAGATACGTCAATCACAACAGCCTCGGGGTGTAATACAGTGACACCTGTCAAATCCGACACTGTACCGTATTCCCGTGAAATTGCATTATTTGTCAATGTATTAAAACACTGATATTTCCGGTCACTGTCAGTTCCGAATTCCGACACATATTTTTATGACGGCAGGCTATCTTTATTAGTTAATTATGCCTGGTAAATCCGACATGTAAGTCATCATCGCACCACAGATGTGTACACAACCGTTCCGCTTGACGTGGCAATAGTCGGTACATGTGGTGGGGTTACAAAGGGGGGATTATTGTACTGTACACATGTTTACCGTGCCATAGTGAGTATATGTCAGTTTTTTTTACACATACATGTATCTATAACAACTAAAAAGTCGAAGTAGTGTTATATTCTTGCAGTGTTTGATTTTGATATCGTTGTCTACGGACGTTAAAAATTTACCATGACATCTTCACAATCGTGTAAAAAAAGACTTTTTAACGGATACAAGTAGTCCATCACCAGAGGCATCGGACTGATTTAACTTTGGAAAAAAAGATTCAGTTAATTGCAAACTCTGAGAAATTACCTAAAGTTTCTCAAAAAGAACTCAGCGTAAATAAACGTCAGTAAATTAAAACTTCATTGTTTTGTTTTATTTTTAACACCAGAGCGTATTTGTATGCACATTAGTTGTATGCTTAACGTATCTACCGTCGGTAGCATATATTTTTGTGTACAAAGTGAAGTCGACAACAATACCTGACTTTTCCGACACCCTGTCTAATCCGACCAAAAATGTCCTCCCCATGGTGTCGGATTAGACAGGTTTCACTGTTTTTTAAATTTTATTCAGTGCTTTTGGCCCAAAGGGTCTGTATTGTTCACCTAGTTTTGCATAGCTGAAATTGCTTCATCAAAGGAAAAGAAATTCTAGATATCCAAGTACAAAAAATATAACATACAGGTATCTATTTTCCCATTGTGCCCAACCCTCTGCCTTTGGAGTGTCAGCAAAACTACTCGTGCTTCAGACAAATTAAGACAGAATTCTGTCATTCCTATAGAAGGAGTAAGATTTTAAAGAATTTGCTTTATTTCCCCTATTAAGCCCCACCCCTGTTACCCAAGGGGCTAAAACCAATCATTTATATAAAATTCATTCACACAAGAATACTTCTTACCAATTTTGGGCAAAATCCAATTATGCTAACTGGAGGACTAATAGTATAAAGAATTCACTCTATTTCCCCATTGGACCCTGCCCATCTCACTCCAGCGTGCTAAAACCCACCATATACACAAAATTGTTTCCTCTTCCCACAACAAGAGTGCCATGGACACAATATACGCTGCCACAAAATATTAAGATCAAGATAAAATGGCATGAATCTTACAAAAATCAATGAACCCTAAAATCACCCCTTCATGCTATCCAAATTATTGTGTTAGTGACATTGAGCAAGTTTTGTGAAAATCTAATTCACAAGGCTCCACTAAGAGCAAGCTACAGATATAAAGCTAAAAATGGCATAAATCTTACAAAAATCAATGAACCGATAAATCGCCCCTTCATGCACATTGAGCAAGTTTCATGAAAATCTTGGAGGAGTTGCGTTCTGGTACAGTGTATTATAATTACTAAACAATGGTTGCATATGCTGATTCCACAGATACAGTTGAAACGTATTTTATGATTCCAAAAATTTACTATCTGAATGAAAATGAGAAAATACGACTGTATGAGAAATTTCTAGTGTAATAAGTTATTGTGTGAGAAATTATCTGTTGTGAGAAGTTAAGTCAAGTGGTAACTTACTTTTAATGAGAAGTTATGCTGTGCAAGAGCCTATCTGTTTTGTGAGAACATGTTCGTGGTGTGGAAATTTACCTGTTGCACAAGAACTTACCTGCTGTGGCGTCGGTGATTTGCCACGTATTCTCCTGGTGGATTCTGCTATTGACGAATCACGATCAGAATCATCTTTTTCTACAAAATAAACCAAAACCAAGACCTTTGAACAGTTAATACGAAAAAATTGTCTGGAAATAGAGGTAATAATAATATCAGAAACGTTTTCATGAACAAATTTATGGGGTTGTCGGAATTGTTAGCTACAACTAGAATTATGGTTACAATTTTGGTTAGAATTTGAATCACTTTTAATGTATCATGTCAAAAACATGGAGAGTTCTGGTATAGGGCCAACACCGTTCATCCTATTAGGGTGGGTTGTTGTTTCCTTCAATCCTCAGCTGGATACCCTAGGGGTATGCAGGGCGATTGAGCAGTAGAACAAATCAGATAGATACGTCAATCACAACAGCCTCGGGGTGTAATACAGTGACACCTGTCAAATCCGACACTGTACCGTATTCCCGTGAAATTGCATTATTTGTCAATGTATTAAAACACTGATATTTCCGGTCACTGTCAGTTCCGAATTCCGACACATATTTTTATGACGGCAGGCTATCTTTATTAGTTAATTATGCCTGGTAAATCCGACATGTAAGTCATCATCGCACCACAGATGTGTACACAACCGTTCCGCTTGACGTGGCAATAGTCGGTACATGTGGTGGGGTTACAAAGGGGGGATTATTGTACTGTACACATGTTTACCGTGCCATAGTGAGTATATGTCAGTTTTTTTTACACATACATGTATCTATAACAACTAAAAAGTCGAAGTAGTGTTATATTCTTGCAGTGTTTGATTTTGATATCGTTGTCTACGGACGTTAAAAATTTACCATGACATCTTCACAATCGTGTAAAAAAAGACTTTTTAACGGATACAAGTAGTCCATCACCAGAGGCATCGGACTGATTTAACTTTGGAAAAAAAGATTCAGTTAATTGCAAACTCTGAGAAATTACCTAAAGTTTCTCAAAAAGAACTCAGCGTAAATAAACGTCAGTAAATTAAAACTTCATTGTTTTGTTTTATTTTTAACACCAGAGCGTATTTGTATGCACATTAGTTGTATGCTTAACGTATCTACCGTCGGTAGCATATATTTTTGTGTACAAAGTGAAGTCGACAACAATACCTGACTTTTCCGACACCCTGTCTAATCCGACCAAAAATGTCCTCCCCATGGTGTCGGATTAGACAGGTTTCACTGTTTTTTAAATTTTATTCAGTGCTTTTGGCCCAAAGGGTCTGTATTGTTCACCTAGTTTTGCATAGCTGAAATTGCTTCATCAAAGGAAAAGAAATTCTAGATATCCAAGTACAAAAAATATAACATACAGGTATCTATTTTCCCATTGTGCCCAACCCTCTGCCTTTGGAGTGTCAGCAAAACTACTCGTGCTTCAGACAAATTAAGACAGAATTCTGTCATTCCTATAGAAGGAGTAAGATTTTAAAGAATTTGCTTTATTTCCCCTATTAAGCCCCACCCCTGTTACCCAAGGGGCTAAAACCAATCATTTATATAAAATTCATTCACACAAGAATACTTCTTACCAATTTTGGGCAAAATCCAATTATGCTAACTGGAGGACTAATAGTATAAAGAATTCACTCTATTTCCCCATTGGACCCTGCCCATCTCACTCCAGCGTGCTAAAACCCACCATATACACAAAATTGTTTCCTCTTCCCACAACAAGAGTGCCATGGACACAATATACGCTGCCACAAAATATTAAGATCAAGATAAAATGGCATGAATCTTACAAAAATCAATGAACCCTAAAATCACCCCTTCATGCTATCCAAATTATTGTGTTAGTGACATTGAGCAAGTTTTGTGAAAATCTAATTCACAAGGCTCCACTAAGAGCAAGCTACAGATATAAAGCTAAAAATGGCATAAATCTTACAAAAATCAATGAACCGATAAATCGCCCCTTCATGCACATTGAGCAAGTTTCATGAAAATCTTGGAGGAGTTGCGTTCCCAAGCAATGGACTTACGGAATGACGGACAGACGGAGAAGATGACGCCAATATACGGCCGCCTCCGGCGGCGTATAAAAATGCTTCAAACAAAATTTGGGCAAAATCCAACCATTCCTTCAGGAGAAGTAGGATTTTAGATCATTTCCTCTATTGGGCCCCACCCCTCTGGCCCAAGGGGTCAAAGACCAAACGTTTATACTACAAGAGGACCATAGGCCTTAATGGTCACCTGAGTTGATTTTTTGTATTTAACAAATGACAAGCAAAAACTTATCAAGAGGCCTAGCAGCCTCCACAGTCACCTGAGAAAAGCAATATTGAAAATAAAGGCTAAAGGGAAAGTAGCTTTCAAGTGTCATGAAAAAAAAAAAAATACATTGATGATAGTAACCCAGTGTCAGTATATGAACATCATCAAGCCTTCATCTTATACATGTATTAATAAATCTTACCAAGTTATTTCCAGTGGGAAATAAACAATGCTATGTTCAAAAATGCAATTTTTTCTATGTAAAATATAGTAAAATTTACTCCTTTCCATTGGGAAATGCAAGACCCTGAGGCCATGAAATTCACAATTTTGAAAATGGTAACAAATCCAACCCCTGTGATCTTGAATAAGGTCATTTCTTTTCTCTAAGTTCATTGGGCTTCATCTTAGGAACCTACTAACTGAGAACCATATTTCTGCGCCTTATGGTTAGTCAGAAGTAGTTGTTTTAAGGTTATAACAAATCTGACCCCTGTGACCTTGAATAAGGGTCAAGGTAACTCCTTTCCACTAATTTTGTCGGGCTTCCTCAGAAGAACCTATCACCAAAATATTAGAGTTAAGATATATTTGAGCCAAACAATGAATTAAACTGCATTATACAGCTGTTTCAACCTTCTCACACTCGTCAGTGATGCTGAACAAGAATTGTTAAAGGACAGACAGACGACACATGACAGGCCATGGATTGTGGGCAATTTGAACTAGCCATCATTTGATCACCTAGCAATTCAGATAGAACTGGTGTATGTCAATAAACCAAACAAGTTTGATCAAGTAAAACATACTTGGTGTGGGATGCTTGTAGAAACCTGTCTTGGCCCATGTTTCGATATTCAGGGATGGGTCAGACGTTGGTTTTATGACATCATTCTCCTGTTCTGAAAGCCTGGACAAGTCAGACGACAAAACAGAAGAAGAATTTCTACTCTCCAACTCGTCCAAGTCACTCAATGCTGGCTGAAAGGTGTGGTCAGTTTCCATAGAGGAAGTATCGGTGCTGCAGTCACTAAGAGCTGAATCACTTTCACATCGTGTTGCTAAATAAAGATATATCACATTAATCATTTTATTTTAAATTTTGCAATGAAATTTGAATAAATTGTAGCTGTCTCAGACGATTAGACAAAAGCTGAAACCAATAATCTTAATGTTCATCTCATAAAATTTTAAAGTTGAAAAAAACTTAAATGTTAAGAAAAAAAAGTTTTTTAGAATGCTTCCTAGAAATCCATATTAAGCGAACAATATCTCCAGGTCATTGTATCTAAGGAAGTGACAGACATTTTAGTTTGAAATGTTATTACAGTTAATGAAAGCTAAGTATATTCTTTTCTCAACTGACATCTAACAAGATCTGCAACAATTCAAAAATGTCCATGTAAGATGTGATAAGACTGGTGTAAGTACTTACAATCTGCAGCTACTGCCAATGAAGTCGAGACTGTAAACATGTCGTTTTGCTCACCAGGTAACTGTTCTTGATTTTTCAATCCAAAATTACCTGTACAAATATATTCAAGAGATTAATGTTTTTCTTCATTGTCTAGAGCTTGTACAGTCCATTACAATCTTTCATTTCCACATGGTCTAAGAACACAATCAATATCAATCTATGTTCTACCGAAGATAAATGAAAACTACAGACTTATTGTATAAGTAAATATATTTGCTGCTTTTGCAGAAAGAAGTTTGGATGTGTAAAAATAACGAGATGCCAGAGGGATCTTGGTGCCCACCATTTAGATGTTTTCCCTTCTTTTCTCCTCTTTCCTCTGTTGTTTGTTCATATTTAAATGAAAGTTGAAAATCCTTTTACATTTAAATTTAAAACTTTAAATTAAAAATGAAAATTTTAAAAAGTTATTTCAACTATGCTAATCATTCTTGTTGGCCCTGATATAAGTACTGTCTTACTGTGGGAGGTAACCTGAGTACGGGGGAAAATCAACATGGTCGGGCAGGTGACCCCTTACCTTTCACATCCGTTCCGGGAAACAAAACCCCAGATGGCTAGGTGAAAGGCAAGTGTTTTACCACTGCACCAACCGACCATCCATGAAAATTCCTTATAAGAATACATAAGCATTAATATCCTTTCACTGCCATATCACTAAGAATGCTTTTATAAGCAGAAAGAATTCAAAGCTACAATGGTTTTAAGTAAGAAATATTCATCATTTTCTAGTTACTAACACTTTTCTCTTCAAAACTACTCCTTTATGTAATGTTTTCTATGTAAAACGAAAAAATTGTTCAATGTTTGTGTGTATTTAAAGTACAGAATCTGAAGTAGAGAGACCTGAATCACATATTTCTTGATCTTCTCTAAATGATAATGCTGTTGATAATGAAATCTTAATTATTATTAAACATTATGTCTATAAGACCAGATGGATAAATGCTCTCCTTAATGTAATTAAGGATCATTTCAGTGTACAGAAATACATCATTTCTAGTAAAAAAAGTAAATTGAAAAGGACTTGAGCATAACTGGAAAATGCATAAAGCCATTTTAGAAAAATATAGGATCATACTAGAAGCCTTTTCCTGACATTACTTTACTCTTATCTTATTTCCTTTTCCCACTTTTAATCAAAAATAAATTAATTCTGTATGTAATGAGGTATATTTTATGTAATATGGTCCTCCTGATTCGCTCTACTTCCCCTCCGCCCCCTCTCTATCTCTATCTCTTTCTCTTTTCTCTCTCTGTGTAAAAATGTGTCTGTGAAGTGTTTGGAAGTGCTCTTATCAAAAGGACACTACTAGGGCAAATAGGGAACCTACATATAAAATCTGAGAAGCATCTATCCAATTTTCCCCAAGAAATAGAGATACCAAACTTCAAATGTCAAAATCCAAGATGGCTGTTTGTCAGCACTGTTTTTCTTATCAGTCTCAAAATCTAAATGGCACAACAAGAGACAAAGGGGAATGTACATATGAAATTTAAGAATGATTAATCAAATGCCTTTCATGAAATGAAATAGTAATCATAAAATTGAATGGGTACAACTAGGTTCATGGGGAACTGCATATGAAACTTAACGAAGATCTTTCCTGCACCTCTCATGAAAATACAATAATAAACTGTCCCTGCAAAAATCCAAGATGGCCACCTTTGAGCCATCTTGTTATTCTTCACAAGTGATCCCCTAGGAATCTTTGAGCCCATCAATGTCTGATCTATATTTTTTCTTTCAAAGTTTCTTTTTTCTTCTTTGCTCTGTTTTTTCTATGAAATTTAAAAATTCCTCTAAGAATAAAGCATGAATAATCTTTATCTGTCAAATCCAAGATAGTTCCAGCCATATTTGATTTCCACTCGGTTCAAAAATAATCAAAGTACTGAAAGTACTGGTATGCTAAGACCATTAAAAAAACAAATTCTTTGTTATTAGCTTGCTATATACTGAAACCAACTATATGCAAGCAGTAAATCATTACAGCCCATAAAATGACCAGCAGATATCAGAAATAACAAGCATAGTAGTATTACTTATGTAATACATGTCCCAAGTAGACTCCAAGATGCAATGATAGGGAAGTTGTCCATTTCTTTGGATACATTGTAGGAAATGTTGATCTTGGACACCATATTATCACTTTAAAGACTGCGTATCTTATTGGTTTAAGACCATTAGTTAGACCATCATGCAAATAACATGCTACATACAAATATTGGGCAGCTTCATTTTCCAGATTTTCTGTAAATGACTGCATAAGAGTGCCAATTTTCTAAAACAAACATGATATGTCACCATATCTTAAAATAAAAGATGTCTGTTCTTTCGGAACACCTGGTCTTATTCTCCTTGTACTTTTTCAGGGAATCTTCGAGTAGATATTGCCTTTGTTTCAATTTTACACTTATTTTACTGGTTCTACAATTCTGTTGACATGTTTATATATTCTTTGTTCTATAAAACTTGTCGCAAGATATTTTATTCCTCTTGTATTATAATTTTTACATACTAACAGTGACCTTGAACCTTGAAATTTGCAAGATGTGAATATCTTTTAGGTTGTGAAATTTGATAGAAAAATGAGGGTAATGCAAAGAACACCCCCATGCATCTATCCGTTTTTTGACTGTGACCTTGATCTTCGACATCTGACCCTGAAGTTCTAAAGAAACCGACTTCCCATAAGGGATACATGTTCCAAATTTGATTAAGGTATACTGTCTTAGTCTCAATGCGTTTACAAGGTAATCATATAGTACTTATGCAAGTACTGTGACCTCTACATTCAATCCTCAAAATCATTACTATATCCTCTGCACATTGCCCAGGGATAACTGAAACTGTAATCCAAATGATAACTAATACCCCCCCAACACCCACAGCCTTAGCTATCTCCCCATGGTGACCTTTTGCACAGAAACATCCTCTGAAGCACAGCGGCATGTGCACATTCCCCTACATTCCTGCAAAGTTTTGTTGAAATTGGTCCACAGGTTTAGAAGTTGACCGACGAGCAAAACCCGTCTATATTGACCAGTTGCCATGGCAATGAATATTTCGAGGGAAAATGGTGCATGCACATCTACACATTGTCCCGAATATTACTGAAAAGTTTCATTGGAGTTGTCCAGACAAGATGTGTCTACAGACAGACAATCAGATGGATGGACGGATAGACAACCTGATTCCAGTTTACCCACCCTTTTGGTGGTATAAGAACGCACAAGAGTGCTTACAAATTCCATGTGGACAGACATTATGGAAAAATAATAATAATAATAAAAAAAACATGATACAGATGCTTATATCTTGTTTTATTAAGTTTTTAGATACAGTATTCTTTCCATGCTTTGATCAGCAATGTAATCTTGTCATGTCGATATCCTAGTACAAGATTGAATACACAAAATTGCTGTAGGTAGACTTTTAAGATACATAAAAAAAATACATGCCTAAGTTTAAATGAAGGTTTTAAACAGAAGTCGTATTATGTTCAGTATACAGTGATTTTTCTAGACAATTGTAAACTATAAACTCTGTATACAGCGATCTTTTCTACACATTTGTAAACAACAAACTCAGTATGCGGTGATCTTTTCTACAAAAAGTTTTTTTTATATATCGTATACACTAAACTCAGAAAAAAAACAAATAAGTAAACCTTTCTATGTACACTACAAACTCAGTATACAGTGATCCTTTCTACACAAACTTGGTATAACTAGTGAATCTTTCTACTCAAGTAAATTGAAGATTGTATACAAATTTACTACAAATGCAGTATACAATGATCTTTTCCACATTTTTTTAGTTTCCGCCATTTGTTGATTCTTCTTTTGTGAACTACGCCATTATCTTCATGAGTAAGTTAGAAACTCGATTCCTTGAGCTACAGCCACTTTCACCCTTAGTATGGTGGAGATTCATAGATGATATCTTTATGATCTGGACGCACTCACGCGAGGAACTTTTATCCTTCATGGGTCGTATCAACGAATTTCACGAGACCATTAAGTTCACCTACGAGATCAGCACACACCAGATAAACTTCCTCGACACCACAGTCCAACTTGACACACTAGGGCGGATTAGCACTACCCTATATACCAAACCCACGGATGCCCACTTGTATTTACATTATAGTTCCAGCCACCCGAAACATCAGATCAAATCCATCCCCAAAAGCCAGGCACTGCGAATCAGACGTATCTGCAGTGACTTGGTGGATTTCGATAATCAGTGTGAGATTCTCAAAACCCATTTTCTACACAGAGGTTACCCTTTGAAACTATTAACCAACAGCATTATGGAAGCCAGAAACACGCCCAGAGATTCCCTGCTCAGGACCGCCAATCTTGTACAAGATCGGGCGGTTCTCCCTCTTGTTATCAAGCATAACCCCCGCAACCCACAGTTCCAAAAAATGATAAATAACCACGTTAGTATTTTAAGCAGTTCAACAGACACGGCTTGTATCCTGCAAAAACGCTTGATAGTATCTTACCAGAGAACTACTAACCTGAAAGATCTACTCGTGCATACCTTACTGAAACGCACTCCGCTTACAAACGGCACCGGCCCGTGCGGCGGAGACTGCTATATATATGCCCGTATATGACCAGCAGAACAGAAATAAAAAGCCATAGTAACAATCAAGTAGTGAAAATCGTAGGCAACATCGATTGTGAAACCCGCAGCGTTGTTTATGTTATCCAATGTAAACAATGCGGAATCCAGTATGTAGGACAAACATCTAATACCATACGTGAACGCATGAGAGGCCATTTTTATGACATAAAACACGCCAATGCCGAGAAACCGGTTTCACGCCATTTCTCAACGAACAACCACACAATCGATGACGTCAGCATAATCGGTGTAAACAATACTCATAACAACGTGAACATCAGACTCCGCACGGAGGAAGCTTGGATATTGAAACTAGGAACAAGAACACCAGCAGGCCTTAACCTTCAGTAATGGCCAGGACTAAACAAACCGTCCGGAAGGATACATGTACAGTAATACCTGTTAAGTCTCATAAAACCCGACCTGCTAAACATATTAATTGTATGAAATGCAATACTAAGGTCAGTACAGTCGCGGCCCTGAAACGGCACATGCAACTTAAACACAGCCTGTTTGTCAGCAAATATGAATGCCAAATTTGCCTCAAAACCTATTGTAGGATTGATATAGCCAAGAGACACATCAAGTCCATTCACCCTACGGAACCTATAGACAATACCACCTTACGTCAAGTACAATACCGGACACCTAAGGAAGCAGCCCAAATCCCCGTCAACTGGACCCCACCGTTTGAATCCACAGGCCAGACCAACTTTGATAATGTGAAGTTTAGAATAATACCGGCCACAAAACACCCAGAAAAGAAACCACTTGAACCGATTGATACAGACACATTGGCAGCAGATTTATACCTATCTGACACGGATGATGATGCATGCAGCTCCAACATGAACACATACAGTGACCATCTATATGTACATGAGAATGAAACTTCAACCATGAATGATAGCTTTAGTAGTATTGCCACATATGTACAAGATGAACTACCGATTACTCTTCATAACCGGACAATAAGTGTACACAGAGTGTACGGTATTTTTCAGAATATGTAATGGAACTCTGTAGCTATAATGACTCATTGTAATGTAGCATTAACTGTGACGTCATAATAATTGATGTACCGCATTTGTATACCTTAGATGTCTTTTCAAAATAAAAAATTGTCCTGATGACGGCCGCATAGCGGTCGAAACATGTAGACAATGTTCACATGAAGTCTTTGTGGTGTTGAGATTCCTTTTTTATTGTTTTATGTTTCTTTTGTGATGGTAAATATATTTCCGCCTTTAGAGAGTACTGTGACATTAAAAGGCAACATGGTTGTTAGCATCTCCTCAAGTGATTAATCATCTTCAACATCTAATTGGAGGCCGGAAAGAAGGACGTTTTTCTCCACCATAAGGTCCTCAAATCCATTGTTGGTCACCATGGCCAATTCCAACTTAGAAGAGTCAATAGAGATACCTTCTACCATTCCAGATTTCATTTCTTCAGGGACATTCACTTGCTGAAAGAGAGTAAGGGAAATAAATAACTATATTTCATTATTGCTATGATTATGTGCAAAAAATACACACTTCTGTATAAGCTTATAGTCTTCCCAATAGGAGTCTATATTAAATATACTGTAATTAATTACTTTGACATTCAGGACTGTCAAATTATTAAGCGATGGACAGCTAGCAAAATGATAATATCTTGACCATGGTCATTCAGAGATTGAATCATAAAATTTAATTGGTGTGATAAATCTGTGCAGTATGATAATTTATTTTGACATTTGTATTTCAAAAAAAATCATTTTGACTTGAAAAGTAATGTATAATTTAATTAATTACATTGGACCGTCATGTAATGGTTATCTAATTATTTTGAAAATACCTGTAGTGGCAATGCCATTTTCATAATGTAATTGTAATTTAATTAATTACATCATCATGTAATTGAACCCATGCCTGTTACAAACAGTAGCTGTCCTAACTGATCCTAAAATTAACTTTGGCTACATCTATCACAAAATTAACTTTGGCTATGTCTATTACAAATGCCACATTTAGCTACAGTAGAGGTATTTCAAAAATGTACGTCATTATAGCTGAAAGGACATAATTAATGGTTACTTAACCAGAACTACAGTTCTGAACAAACCACTACAAAGCCTGGTTATCTGTACAGACAATGTCCTCTCAATTAATCAATTTCATTGATTATCAACATCTTATTGTTGTACTTCCGGTCACTTGAATTTCTTAAAGTTTCAATTTGACTTTTAATAAGGCCCAATGTGATAATACTGCAATGTCTTAATAAGCTCTTGAGGGGTATTGGTTAGACTATTTATCCCATTTCATTCCATTCACCATGGAAACAAAACTCAATCAAGTGTTGAACTGAAAGTTGACGCAGTTGACATAATACTGAAATTTCTGAGATGAACAAATACAGTACATATATTAAAAGTTCAGGCATAATAAGAATTGTACCAATGGGACCTAACACTTTGCTAGGTTTATCCTAATCTTCATTAAAACACTTTCCGGGATTCAGATGTTAATTGACATCTTCATTATTCCCAATCTTCATATTGTAATCGTTCACATGCATCACTCTTCAACAGAATCAACGAGACATCATGTCAGAAAGACAAAAACTAAATTTAAGCTAAAACTATATATATAAACTTCAATTGGCATAGCTGTAGAGTTCCCGTACGATTTCATACCCTGGACTTGGGGTACTTATAAATTATCTCCGATCAGAAATTTGAAAGAGCTAGATCTACAATAGCACGGACAGTGACCGATATTTTAAAGTAAAATCGATATATTACACAGATAGATTCCTAGATTTATTCACGGTAGCGTAAGTAGTACAGTACAATATTTTTTCTGTTTAATTTCCGATCTGTTGGGCCACTCACGATCATTCAAAATCAAATTTATTTCAAAACACTGAAATACTTTACGGAAGCAACAAATGCTTACATAACATTTTTCAAATGCATACTGCTTCAAAGGAAAAGTCTTGAAAATATTTTGAAAAAAGTGCCATGGCGGCAGTGCCCAGCTTGAGCGTCGCCGTCGAGCATAAATTCAATACATGCGATAGCTCATTTCAAATGAGTATTTTGCAAAAAATGCAATTGCTAGTTCAGTTTAAGTATTGACTTTAAATTCAGCTTATATATATATATAGTGATACTTACTTGCATCAAATACCCGCCATCTTCTTTCTGCCGCCGTCTTCTTTCAGGGTCCAGCAGCAATTCCGTCAAAATTTTATGCTACTCTAAATCATTCTTATTTTAGTTTCATTCTTATTTTCAACTACATATATCAGTATTTTCAAAAGTTTTCAACAGTATTAAATGGGATGAAAATTTTCGAAAAAGAAAAAAAAAGAAAGATATATGACACCCACAATGCATCGCGCGGGAAAGAAAGTTAAGCCGCCATATTGGCATCGCCTCGCAAAATTTACCACCATAAAACGTGAGTCTTCATCACTGTATTTACAAATTTCGATGTCTGATTATCATTAATACACAACACAAAACGTTTTCTTGATGTACAAGTAATGAAGAAAATGTCGATAAGGTTGTTTCATTTAATGACTAGGATCAGCAACTTGTAGGGGCGATAATCCAATGATTACGGTAATGTCCGGCAGATGGAGTAGGAGTAAACTTTCGATTTATGAACCAATGAAAACGAAGTACTGATACTCAGGGCCAGGGGCGACAGCAACATGCTGAAGAGCATTGAAAATGCTCTTAGCATAAAAAGGGCACAACTAAGGACCAAGAGGAATCTACATTTGAGTTTGAGAAAGATCCATTAAGTACTTCAAGAAATAGCACTAACAAACATTTATTGTCAAAATTTTGCAATAATTTCTCTAAATCTTAAGTTTTTAGTGACTGAAAAGTACCCAAAAAACCACAATTGATATAATGGTGAGTGAAGTTAGATCTCTTAACTAAATATTACAGATTGCCATGTCACTTTATCTTTATGAAAACCTGTACAAAACTTTAGTTCCCCTATATGGTCACACCCCTCATCCTTCTTTGGAGACCTAACAATCCATTTCCCCTATATGGTCACACCCCTCATCCTTTTTCGAGACCTAACAATCCATTTCCCCTATATGGTCACACCCCTCATCCTTTTTGGAGGCCTAATAATTCATTTCCCCTAAATGGTCATGCCCCTCAACCTTTTGGAGGCATAACAATCCATTAGCACAAGTGAGTCCCCTTCAATCAATTAAAACACACACTGTTAAAAATACTGTGTGAAGTGCAAAACCTTAGGTCTCCTAATGCCACCTTCCCCAACTTCTCTCAGTGGGCTCATATCCTATGTTTATACAAAATTGAGTTTCCATCTTCCAAATATGTTCTAGGCAAAATTTGCCAAAATATCCTAACAGAGTATGGCTACTTTTTTACTATTTTTATTAAAGTAAACCTATTTTTTGTCAGGATAAGGTATTGGGCATTTTTACTAAAATATGACTGTTTTTAATATTTTTTATTAGAAAAAGACTATGAAATCACAATAACTGACCTGAGAGAGTTGTGTTTAACAAATACTGCCTTAGCTCCGAGTTTTGGCGTTTGATGTCCATAAGGAGTTCATTATTGGCAGCATCAAGGTCACGGTAGCGATATGCAAATATCATCAGGACGACCACAGCGAAACTCCCACACACTTTCCTACACAGCCATTGGTTACTGTATACAAATTCCTTCAAAACACAAACCATTTCTTCATGTGTAATTGTATTAGGTGTTATAATATAGCAATGAAATATAATGAATTATAAAGATGGTGCTGTTTTGGTGTTAATTTGGAAACAAAGAAAAGTATACAATTAATTTGTAAATGATTTTAGTAGAACGATGCAATTTATTGCTATGACAGAGATCCCTAAGAGATATTAGTGCCTACCCACATTTGATCTTTATTCGTCCTTTAAAAGTTGGATCTTTTCCCCTCTTCTATTCTCTTTTTTTGCTCTTTATGATACAAAATGTGAACATTCCTTTGCAGACAGCGATAATTATGTTTAAATGCCAAATCCAAGATGATTGCCTAGCAGCCATTTTGTTTTTCTGATCAGCCTCAGAATAAAACAGGCATAACTAAGGATGTAAGGGGAACCTACATATAAAATTTGAAAGAGATCTATCTAACACTTCTCAAGAAAAAAACATAACAATCCTGATTACTTCGTAAAATCCAAGATGGACGATAGTCAACATTTTGGTTTTTTATCAGTCCCAAAATCAAATCGTCAAAACTAGGGTCCAATGGCAACCTACACTTGAAATTTGAGAAGCGAGATCCATTCAGAAGTCTTCAAGAAATTGCAATAACAAACTTTGAAAGTTAAAATACACGATGGCCATCTGTCAGCCATTTTGTTTTTTTTTAATCAGTCATAAAATCAATCAAGTCAACTGGGGACCAGGGGGAACCTACATTGAGATTTGAAAAAAAAGATCTATCCAGTACTTCTCTAGAAATACTCATAACAAATATGGACAGACCAATGGCAAGGACCCACTGTTTATATGAAACTGATTTGCCTTCTCCCATGCATGCTTCAGACGAAATATGGACAATATACTGCAGTTCCTAAAGAAGAAGACATATTTTATAGAAAAAGATAGATTTTCCATATTGGTCTATGCCCTTCTGGCCCCACAAGGCCAGGACCCACTATTTATACAAAACTGATTTCCCTTCACAAAAGCATTCTTCAGGCCAAACTTGGACAATATCCTGCTATTTCTAAAGAACAAAATAGATATTAAAGAAATTGATAGATTTTCCATATTGGGCCCTAGACCCACTATATTTACAAAATTGTTTCCCCTTCCCCCAAGGATGCTTGAGACCAAATCTGATTGAAATCTACTCAGTCAGTCATGACTTGTTACGATTGATGGAAAAGTTGACAAACGACAGAAGGATGGCCTACGGATAGGGGACGTTGCAGTATCCCTTCGGCTAACCAATCATAATCAATATTCTACTGTTTTTATTTCTTGAACCAATTAAAAAACACCAACAATCAATACCTTTAAATCAATTAAGACTTAATAAGTATTGGCAGAGGTGACCACAATTTCACAGGGAAGTGTTGTTATCATTAAGTGATATGATCTGTACCATTAATTGGTGCCACTGAATGTCACCAAGTGTATATAAAAAGATACTTACAATGTCAACCACTATGAACTTGAAAATATTACCAATTAACAAAAAAAATTATGAGACCTTAATATTTACCAACTTGTTTTTTGAAAGAAGTATAAAGACAGAGAATGTACAGTGTGACCACAACATATATGTGTCACTTAGAACATTTTATATTTTACATTGTTACATGTACCTCTGAGCCTGATAAACATCTACAGTTTGGTATCAATTGTGCAGCTATTTGGTCTGTATCAGTTATGTGGGGTTGTAATGGGTAGTATTGGCTTGTATTGGATGAATTAAGAGACTCTTCATGGATATAGAACTTTCTTCCAAAGCATTATCCTGTATACAAATTTCACATGCAAATTTGGCAAGCCAAAGGTCACAGAACTCGTTGCCAAGGACTTGCAGAGCAAAGGGCTCTATGTCAAAAAGCATGAGGATGGCCCATTGCAAAAAAAGGGAAGACAATATTAGCCTATGAACCATTGTCATTAAGTCTGTGATGAAATTAAAAATTCACTACAAAACATTTTACCTCAAGATCAATGCTTGACATGTCAAAATAATGGGACAATGCTCTGTTGGAGATTGAAATCAGGGCTCTCTCAGCAATTATCCCAATGGTGAGAATACCAAACAGCCAAAAACGAGCACTGGAAGTCCTTTGTGTTGAAGTTAACAAGTAGGATATTATCACAGACACTGTGTAGTATATCATCGAATAAAATCCTGAGAATTCTCCAAGCACCATAGTTTGTAATTTTGTAACTTTATCAAACATGTCATTAATCAAAAGCTTTTGTTCAATTGTAGATTTTTTAAATTCCATATAAAGTGTTTGCATGCTTTCAGAAGATGTTGATATAATGTCACTTAAGTTAACAGCTTTTTCCAAAATTATTTCCTGGTTCTGTATTGTTAAATTTTGTTGGTTGATCATAGATTCTTGCATTTTACTACTTTCTTCTAGACGATCTGCCACATCTTCAGAGCTGTGTGCCAACCTTGTTATTGTTTGTTCTGTTTCCTGGTGCCAAACCTGGGATTCTAGGAAATAACAGATGTTCTGAGTGTATGTAAAAAATGTTGTGAAAGATCCCCTGTCAACATCAGACATGTATTTAGTACAGGAAGCAACTGATTGATCCAGATCACAAGGATATATCGGGCGGTCTTGGTCCGCAAGAAAACAGTTCAAATAAGACAAAGCTAACCTGCTTTGTACGACATGTGTCAGTTGTTTGCAACCTTTCTCAATCACCGTTATAGCACCTCTCCAACACTGTCCATATTTGGGTACTCTCGAGTGACTATCCATCATTTCAAAATGTGATTTTCCTTGTTCATATTTACTTCTGTCAATGTCAACAAATCCAGGTCCACACTTGCACAAAGCGAAAATGTTCGAGAACATAAGAATTAAACAAACTTGGAGCATGATGCCGTCTTACATGTCCGATTCCGACGACAACTGATCTGACGTTTGGTGTAATCCGATCTCCCCTAAAGCTTTATAATACTCACGAACTTCAATATTTCTATGTCTTCATGTTATCAGAGACGTATATATGTGATATATACGTCTCTGATGTTATACTTTTCATACTCATGTATACTTAGCACATCGTGAAAACCCCGCCCGTTGTGTTGTAACGATGCTATTTCAAAAAATGCAAATTGAATAAATCTATATATCTCTTCTCTAATACCGACGTAAGTTTGTCGAACTGATTATCTACGGTGTCATCTAAATGATTACCACTGGTCAGTCAGCAAATACTCGTATGGACTGCAGATGCAAAGGGATTTCCAAACGCTATATATAGCTCTTCGTCGATGCAACGTTGCATATTTACCGCCAAGCCACCTTAAGTAAACCAGAGCACTCCAATACACCTTTAACTTACCCAACTCACATAATACCTATCAAAAAAACCCTCGAAACACTTCAAACTCGCCAAAAAATTAAAATGTAAATAAAAGTAACAATTGAAGATCGCAATAGAAGAAAAATCACTGTATATGAAATACTTTTTATGTGAAGGGAGATAACTCGTAAAATGTCTTCGTAGTCGGTCAGAAGATTTACCGAAACAGACCCAATTCCCGAAACAAGACCGAAAGAAGCCATTTGTAGAGGTTTTATTACTAATATGTCTATTAAATGTCAATCAAATATACATCTCTAGGTAAAAATTTAAAAACATATTTGACTATAGTTTTATTTACACTGACTTTAATTACGAAATGCTTAACCGAAACGAGACGAGAACGCTCTGTAAATGCAGGGACGTATATGACAGATACGTCCCTGGTAAATGGAAAGAAATCCTTTATACCGTTATCCCCCTCATGTGAATAACAAGACAGACAAAACTGACTATGTTAGAACTCCGACTGACGTCATGGACGAAATAAAAGAACTTGCAAATAATGACCTGAAACCAAAACAAATTTCCCAAAGACTAATGACTAAATACGATGAATTGTACGCTTCTTCTTCAGTTAAACAAATCAAAGACGCAAAAAGACGCGAGAAAACTAAAGACAGAACTGAAGAATGGACAGACACATGTAGGTAACATGGCTGACCATTTTGGACATTTAAAGACCTTAGTGAAAGACGGACATCCATTCGTAAAATCAATTGTGCATACTTTAGGGAAGACTCCATGTGTTATCCTTTTTACGGACGAACAAATTAAAGACATTATAACTTTACGCTGCTCTGGACAGACATTGTTAAAGTTTGACAAGACTTTCAACTTGTGCGATATGCACGTAACAGCTTCCTGTTTTAAACAATTGAGTGTGGTACGGACTGACACAAAACAACCGTCTTTATTTCTAGGACCTCCATGACAACAGCGACTATGAGACCTATTACACATTATTTTCATATCTTAGATCTAAACTAGCGGGAGTAGACAAGTCCAAACTCATTGCAGGGACAAGGTGAACGCAATCATCGACAACTTTCATGACGCAAGACACGTACTTTGTACAAGACATTTGAAATTGCCAAAAGGAAAGAAAAGAGAAGAAAGAGAAAGAAGAAAAGCAAAGAAAAAAAGCGATTTCAAAATAAAAAATATAATGAGAAAAGTAGAAAAGATTTGTGATAAAAAAGAAATCACTTGTGTAAATAGAAATAAATAAATTCTTTTGTGGTAGGATAAAACAAATCAATCAAGATGCAATGCTGCCTTTTTGAATTGATAATATTTTCTGTGATGACCATTATCAGGGACGTCCCTGCCATTATTACTCAAAATTTGATGTGACGCATAAGGACACAGATCATTGTGTGATGCGAGGACGACGACATCAATTTAATAGCATATCAATCCATCTCAATTTATGTAATATCGATCTTACAAATATTGTCATAATTTCAAAACAATACCATGTCATTTTAACATGAAAATATGAGAAAAATGACTACTGCAATATTTTAGGTATCAGAATGTGTATGATTTAGTCCGAAACTTTCAAAACCTGAATTCATCATGAACAACTAAATACATGACATATAAACGGGTTTTCTATAATTATGCACTTGAATGTTGAATTACAGAGTTAACTCTACATAAAATGAAAGTAGACTATGAAAATACGCAACTATGTCTGAAGTTCACATCAGACTTCCGCTGTGCACATAATATTTTGAGCGGAAGTATTTGTATGCCATCACGTGACAAGGAATGGTTTTCGGCTAGTTTCACATTTGACAGATGATGGCAAACAAAACTCTGCAGTTTGCTCCATTCAACAGTTTCCTTGATGCTGGATTTTGGCATAACCTCTCGGACAAAAAATTGAATATTTATGGACTCGACGAAACGCCGAAACCTATACATGGATTTTATTTCAATGGTAAAGCATTTTCATATTACTTTTTGTATGGTTATTACCTCAGGTTACCTCAGGATATTATACCGAACACAGGTCTAGGAGACCTCTCTATTCGGCACCTTCTTTCTTATTGTTCCGGATGGAGCAGCTCTATACTCGTAAATAAATCCTCCCCCACCCCCGCCAGAACTTGTCGAGTCTAGACTCAAATATTTTGAGATTTGGAACATTAACAACATTTTCAGACAGACTATTCCAGGTGTTGATGATTCGAGATGCGAAAGAATATTTTCCAGTGTCTTTCTTAGCTCAATGAACTGCAAGTCTCTATTCGTGCCCTCTAGTAGTACTAATGTTCCGCTGGACAGTAATTGTAACATCCTGGTCATAAATGTTAAATAATTTATATGTCTCAATCATATCTCCCCTTAGACGTCTGTAAACTAGCGTTGGAAGTAGGAGTTTTCTCAGCCTGGCCTCGTAACACTAGTCTCTCAAACCAGGAACTAGTTTTGTTGCATGACACTGAACATTTTCCAATGATGTGATTTTGTGAATTCTGTGCGGGCTCCATACCACATAAGCATACTCCAAGAGGGGTCTAACAAAGGCTTTGTATAGAGGAATAAAGTTGTCAGTATCCAGATATGTGAAAGTTCTTCTAATGAGTCCCATAACACTGTTAGCTTTATTAATTTTTTCCTGTATGTGATGTTCAAACAATAAGTTGGAGTCAATGGTTACTCCTAAGTCTGTTTCTCTATCAACTTGGCGTAGATTATAAGACTCTTTCATATCCGTGTATGTAGGATAGGGATATTCCACCCGAGGGTCACAAAATATGGTGAAACCCGAGGCTCTGCCGAGGGTTTTACCATATTTTGTAACCCCGAGGGAGAAAAAGACTCTTTCATTATGTGAGTATGTAGGATAGGGATATTCCACCCTCGGGGTTACAAAATATGGTAAAACCCTCGGCAGAGCCTCGGGTTTCACCATATTTTGTGACCCTCGGGTCATATCTTTACCAAAATTTTGGGAAAAGGACAGTCGGTTGGTCATTATTTTCATTTTTTAAAATTTTTTCAATCCAAGGTTTTTATAAAAAATGAACTGGATATTCTTAATGCTTCAAAGAAATCAACAAGGAACAAATTTTTATAATTCAACATATAGTTTTATCATCAAAATCACATATTTGATCATTTTAAGGAATATATCGATGTATCTTTTTACTGTTTTAACATTTTTTCAAAATACTGTGACGCTGACATGACGTCACCATAGTCAAAGGAATTCCATCCATAAATTCAAGGTGTGACATCACACGATCTCCTATTCCGAGTCGCTGTCGCTCTCGATCACCATGATTGGACGACGTTTGGGTGGTGGAACATTTGTGGTGATATTTACAGATGACAGCTGACAGATTGATGTAAACAAGCAGACGATGCTGTAAGAGTTGTCTTCCCTGAACACAGATTACTCACAGATTTGCCCATGTAAGATAGAATTTTCTTACATAGCTATCTTACATGGGCAAACTCTATCCAATATGGCGGGATATGAGAGAAAATGCGTCTCATCACCAGAACTCAGGAAATACACAGGTGTATCATTAATTGTGTCTTTACCAACTGTTAACACAACACATTTATCTGTGTGGAATCGCAATAGCCATTTGTCTGACCAGTCTTGAAGTGATGTTAAGTCATGCTGTAGCTGGAATCTATCCTGATAACAAGTTATCTTCTTGAAAATTTTTGTGTCATCAGCAAATAAGTATGGTATGGAGTTAGAAGTCACATCTGGGAGATCATTTATGTATACTACAAATAATATGGGTCCTAAAACACTGCCTTGGGGTACACTGCTAACAACTTCTCCCCATTTAGAGCTGTTACCATTGATACACACACATTGTTGTCTACCGCTAAGGAAGGATGAAATCCAACCTAGCACATTCTTGCTTATTATTAAGGGATAATATTTAAAAGCTTAAAGCTTGATGCATTGTAGATACATAATTTATATGAAAATACGTACATAAGTTATTGTGTCTGTGTAGATGTCTACCAGGATTATGTGTGTTGCTTTGTTTAGGAATTTTGTTAGCTTTGGAATGTACGTGTCATTGGCTATTTTGATGAGGAGAAAGTAATCCCTTATGAGATTCCTTGGTGTGACTCATTTTTATAGGATATAACTGAATCACCAGGAGGACTGCCAGAAGGGATTAGGAAGAATATTCCATTGTAGGAAGACTCTGTCTTCTCTCCAACTTTCCCGATTCAGTCAGGAGTTTCCAGATTTTTTTTATTAAGGTTTTACGAAACTTCTGTATGAACCAACAACATTTCACATAGAGAACAAGCATTTGGAATATTACTGATCATAGTGGAGTACATAAGCCTTTTTTCAAGTATTTTGGTATATAAAGTAGATTTTGTTGTTATTAATTGAAAGTCTGACAAATTTGTCAATAGACTTGAAATCTTACGTACATGACATGTACAAATCACAGTAAGAGTGCATCTATTCCTAATACTATTTCAGAATAAATGTTGTACATCATTCTTTCTACAGGTGATCCTGTTGGTGTCCCATGTCGTATGAATGTGGAATATACGGCATTTGATGAGTAAGTAAATGTACTCTTACCATCTGATGTTAATGTACAAGTCAGAGTTGAGATAAAGTAAGTCCCTGTATGTTCTGTGTATGATATCAGATATCTAACCAACAAATCAGAGTTAAAGTAACCAGTAAATGGAATCAGGTGAGGGGCCTACAAAAGGGCAAGATATTCAAAGTTGTAAAAATCTTCACAAGTACAAGACATCCTTACTGAAAAAATTACTGACAAGAAATATGCAAATGGCAAGAAATTGACCTTTTCTTAAATATCCCATTGAAACCAACAACATTTTTTAAACCATATTTTTCTGGTTTTGTGGCACAGTGATAATGCACTCACCTTTCACCTAAGTGTCCCAGGTTCGATTTGCAGAACGAACCTGAAAAATTATAAGAGTAACCTGCCCCACCATGTGGGTTTTCCCTGGGTTTTCCTGTTTCCTCCCACAGAAGACACATTGTGTGCTGGCCAACAAGAGTGATTAATATAAGCTTAAAGCTTGTTTCACAATTGTTGTAAAATAAATAAAGTTCATACTTATAAAATCATATTTGGTTTACCTTCAGGAAAATGACACATTTTGAAGTAAAATACACTGTACAGCTTCAGTTAAATAATTAAATGCAAACTTATTGAGGGTAACTTCAACATACACTCCCTAAAAATTTAGAATGATTTTGATGATTTCCTGACCGTTCCTTCCATCATTACTGCCGTTTTACTTGTTTTATAGTTAGTCAGATGACTGTAAGGGCCAATGGGCCTCTTGTTCTGATATAGAGTAAAAAGTAGGGAAAGTGTGATCATACATGAATAACATATCTGATTAACATGTCTGGCTGATTAAGCCTACTTTATCAGCATGTAGGACTGAATATTTTCAGGGATTTTAAAACTCCTGCAAGATGCTTCAAGACCTTAGGAACTCTACATACTACGAACACAATTGAAACTTTCAAAGAATGTGATAAAAAGAGTATGTTGGTGCAATCTGGCAAACAGGTAATTCTTTCTTCCTCAAGTCATCAGTTGTTATTTGTATCTGTAAAGTATTGATTTTGACCCTAATTCAATACTTGAGGTAAGATTATCCCTATTTAACAAACTTTTATATGATTATCTTTAATAATCTTACTTATAGGAGAGAATGAGCTAATATCTTTAAAGATGCAATGAAAAATCATACATATGTTTATTATAAAATTATCCTCTTGTGTATACTTGTGTATAGTTCAAAATCAGATTTATGAATTAAATGTTATTATAGGTATGGGAAGACATCATCAGTGGGAAAGCTTTGGAAGATCCCACTCTGTTGTCACGGTTTCTACTCCTCACACATGCAGTAAGTAGGGATAATTGTCTATTTCACACAAGATTTCTTTTGTTTATAAAGAAGATTTACTGGTCATAAAATATGTCAAACACATAATAATGTAATTGGTGTACAATAGTTTTATAGGATTGTCAAGACGTCTGTGATGTTGAAGTAACAAAACAACCATTTCAGAAAATAAAACTACAAATTTTGTCAATTTTATAGGACCTGAAGAAATATATCTACTATTACTGGTTTGCTTTTCCGTGCCTGTGTCCACCATGTGATGTCTCCATGGTAACTGCCCCAGTGACCTTGGACAAAGCATTTTCTTCAGAACAGGTTTGATTTGACATTGTTACAGATATAGACTAACAGTAGTGCTCACTCTTGCAACTTGTTTTCTCTTTCTTTCATTTTGAAATCACTATCCTTTATACTGATGCTTTTAGAATTTTGAGAATTAAAAGTGGTGATGTATAGTATAAGGTATGTCTGTCCTGTCATGGTCTCATTCCATATCTATGTTGTATCTTGAAAATCTTGAAGTATGATTTTTACCATTAAGATCATTGGTCAAGGTTGAAAGGTCACTTTGACAACTATATCAAACAATGATATTTATTCACATAGGAGTTGGGTCAATATTATTACATCATCAGAGACAAACTCTAAACTGACATTTTTTATTGCCTTTTTCCTGCTGTCGTGTGTTATGCCTCATGAGTCTTGTAAATAATTTATGTTTTTGATTTCTTCTCAGTAATCAGAAGGCTCAGAGTTCTGATATTGGGACTGTAATATGTGCTTTTTTTCCTTGTTTTCCTTGTTAATATTAACATCAATAATTTCTGTGAACATTCTTTGATCTATTTTTTTTCTCTTTTTTTTTTTGTCCATCAGATCAAAAACCTGGAATCCTCTTATGACAATTTTCAGTCATCACTTTCCACATTTGTTGGGTACTTTCTAGTTACCATGGACACAGATATTCAAGTTCTAAAGATAAAAAATATGGAAAAATATATAGCTGATCCGAAAAAGGTTTGTTTCATCTTTTGCTTCCACAATGATTTTGAAATATTTGTAAAACTCACTTGTAAAATGGTTACTGGGATTTCTGTCTGAAATTAATGAATAGTCCCATATTAAGTTTTTAACAAGAAATAAGACCATATTTTGTTTAAAATTTCTACTATTTCTTAATCCTTCAGTGGATTTCAACCAAATTCGGTCTGAAATATCATTGAGAGTAGAGAATCATTTCTTAGATTCAGAAAGTTGATTTGACCCCTAGGGACCTGGGGACAGATGGGGCCCCAAATGCGAGAAAGTTAGACAATATTTTGTTTCAAAATGCTATTCTTTATTAATGCTTGAATGGATTTTGACCAAATATGGTCTGAAACATCATTGAGATAGAGGAATCACTTCTTAAAGGAGCAGAGCTAAAGAGGGGAAATAGCCCCAATGGTGAATATAGAGTAAATTCTTTGCAATCCTAATCCTTTTGCAGGATTGATTTGATGTTTTTGCCAGAATTTAGTCTGCAGCGGTCTTAGGTGAAGGGGAATCAATTATGTTCAAACCTTTGATCTCCGCCACCTGGGACAAGACAGGAAACAGGGCTAATTCTTAAAAATCTTACTCCTCCTGTGGGAATGATCGGATTATAACCAGATTTGGTCTAATGCATTTTTGAGTGAAGAGAACTAAATCATGCTCGGTGAATGATACAGGTCCTTTATGCCTCATTATAAACAGGTGTTATTAGCCTTTGCTGACCCTTGTACTTTGGGCTGGGAGGATCTTATAGCCCTGGCTGAAGCTTTAACACACTTTGTACATGTGATTGCATACACTGTAAATGGTAAGTCTTAATTATATGCTGTGGGTCTGATGATTATTAGTTCACCTGGTCCAAAGGACTTATGCAATGGTGTGACATGCAAGCTTTCATCCATTAACACACATCATTAGAGGAAGGGGAACAAAGTTTACATAAGTATTGGTTCTCGACCCCAGAGACCAGAGGGACTGGGCCCAAAAGGGGAAACTGGAATTTTTAAAAAGTCCTACTCCAGTAAGTATGAACATACATTTCCCAAATTTTGTCTGAAGCATTCTTGGCTGAGGAGGAATCAATCTTCCAACAAAGAAACAAAGTAATTTATTTAAAATCCTGCTTCTCCTGAAGGAATGATTGGTCTGAAGTATTCTTAAGTGAAAGGGAATAAATTTTGTATAAATGGTAGGTGTCAGCCCCGTGGTGTAGGGTCAGACAGGACAAAAGAACTAATCCTTTAAAATCCTACTCTTCCTGTAGAAATCTTTGGATTCTAACAAAATTTGGCCTGAGGCAATCTTTGATTGAGGGGAATCAATTTTGTATAAAGATTTGGTCTTGGCTCTGTTAGGTGGAAGGGTCAGAGTCTAATAGGGGAAATAGAGTGAATTCTTTGAAATCCTACTCCTTGTGTAGGAATGATTTTATTTTGCCCGAATTTGGTCTGGAGTATTCATAAGAGAAGGGAATCCATTCTATATAAATGGGGGAACCAGGCCTCCTGGGATGAGGCCCAATTTGGAAAATGTAAGTTCATAAAAATCCTTTTTCCATGCAAGGATATTGTCCATGTTTGGTCTGAAGAATTCTATATGAATGATGAATCAGACTGCAAGGCCAGGACCCAACAAGGAACTTTTTTCAGAAATAGTTGGCCATATTTGAAATTTATTGTTAAATGACTGAATAGCTGAATAAGCCAGTTGAGTGATGCAGGCTATTTGGCTAGTCCAATAGTTAGTACTAGAAGTTTCTGGCTAGAAAATGCAGTCAGTTGTTAAAAGATCACTGGCATACCTTGTAGTGACCTTACTGTAGAAATATTGCTGTATGTTGTGATCTTGGCTTCTCCTGACTGTAGAAATGTTGCTGTATGTTGTGACCTTGGTTTCTCCTTACTGTAGAAATATTGCTGTATGTTGTGACCTTGGAATCTCCTTACTGTAGAAATGTTGCTGTATGTTGTGACCTTGGTTTCTCCTTACTGTAGAAATGTTTCTATCTGTTGTGACCTTGGCTTCTCTTTACTGTAGAAATGTTTCTGTATGTAGTGACCTTGGCTTCTCCTTACTGTAGAAATATTGCTGTATGTTGTGACCTTGACTTCTCTCTATAGATATATATATCAGCTGTTGAAATACTGCTAAATTGAACTGTAGGATAAAAGCAGGTATTCAGCATTAATTCTGTGTCACTCTAATATCACTGCATTGCTGTACATGAATATTGACTTTGAACGGATCAAGATTTGCAATGAAATGCATTGTTATGTTTTTATTTCAACACTTGATTGTCTTATGACTGTTAAGACTTTAAACAGTCTTCAACAGGAAAGCTTTACTCATTTCACTGTATGTTACAAATTTTCAGGGGAGATAAACTAGAAGAAGTCCAGGTGTTATGCTTTCGAGACCACTGTAAAGATGGTGTAAGAGATGTAACAAGAAGCCTTGTGTTTACCGTCAAGCTCACATCAATCAAGCAATTGACAGGTTTGTGAATGAATTGTTTCTGTCAGGTTCACCTCCATCAAACAATTGAGAGAGTGACTCATATCATTAAAAGATTTGACAGCTTTATGAATTAACTTTTTACAATCAAGCTCACATCTATTAAAGAATTAACAGCTTTCTTTTCATTGCACAGAATGTCCAAAATGTGTTGGGTGGGAGAAAAATGAACGACAAAAACTTGGACCCAGGACTGTGAATCTAAGCTCCAGCATGGACCCATCTAAGTATAAACAGAGAAATATCTTTGTATCTTTTAAGCCCTTGCTTATCAGTTGGTAGGCTATTGAAATTGTCTTTTGTCTGCTGTCCACTGGTTTTTGTATGGTCTGCCTTCCATCTGTTTAAATGTTGTTTGCCATCTACCCATCTGGTCTGCCATCTACTGTAAAAACCCACATAATGTGCACAGGTTTATTTGAGAAAATAAATGTCCAAAATGGGGGATGTGCTTATTACATAGATATAGGGTTTTGGCCAAAGGACCAAATGAGCTTATCCTGTGGTGCGTCATCTGTCGTCAGTCATATGGTGTTAAACTTTTTCCTTTAAACAACTTCTTCCTGACAAAGTTTGTGATAAGAAATGGCCTTAAGATATATTCAAGGTCATCTTCTCATGAACTTAAAGGGCATGATATTTGGCTGGTGTATTTCTATGATGAAATTTGACAAAATTTGCAAAAAGTAAATGACATTGACTTATGTTCAAGGTCATAGGAGTCAAAACATTTAAAGGACTTTTTTTATAAGCCATTTCTAGATTTGAAAGATTTGATATATTACCTGTGACCTTGAAAGTAGGTGAAAGTCATTAATATTTCCAACTTGATAGCCAATGTCCAGGGCTTTCTTGACATGAAAATATCAAGGCTGTAGACTTAGTAGAACCTGAGAAGAAATATTTCAAAGTTTGTTACCCAAAATAGTAATTATCAGCTTTGACCTTGATAGAGAATTGGAATGTGCATTTTCAGACAAGATTTTATGTAAACATTCATCAGCAGTTGATCACAGCATTCTTCTGACATAATTTCAATATTGTGTGCCTCTTTGTCATTGAAAAAAAACTATTTAAAGATTTTAAAGTAATTGACCCATGTGACCTGGAAAGTGGGTCAAGGTAATACATTTAGATACATAGCAACAAAGTTTAAATAGACTGTAAACCTATCTCTTACCGATCAAAAGATTTGGACATATTCTGGGAGGAGAAGAATAAGAAACATAACAACAGGGCTTTCACCATCACTATTCTTATAATAATACCAAGAAACCAAACAATAAGTCCTTAAATTAAATAAATTTTGAAGAGAATACTTTCAAGTTTTGGACTTAATATCGTTGATCCCCAAAAGTACCTGTGCACATTATTTGGGTGCGCTTATTATGCTGGATTTTACAGTACCCATCCGGATATGGTCTGTCGTCTACCTATCAGGATGTGGTACACCATCCACCCATCTGGACATGGTTACCTCTATCTGTCTGGATGTAGTCTGTCATCTATCCTACAAAAATGATCAGAAAAATGATGGACAGGTTTCCCTCTTCTAATTATGTCACCCTGTGATCAGTTGTCCTGTTGACACAACATTTAAAAACAAATAAGACAAAATACAAGAAAACTTCTAACTCATACAGAACTTGTGAAATCATATGGTGGTGAGCACCAAGATTTCAAGGCATATTGGTATCTCCTTTTGAATTTTTTCTCCCAAGAAAATGTATTTAAAATTTTAATTAGGTAACAAAAATATCAAAATGGACAAGTATATTTCCAATAGCATTGACAAATAATCCATTTGAGATGAAATTGACTTAAAGCTATCAGTTTCTTTAGTTTCATGGATGTTCAGAAATCAAATGCTCTTCATTTCGTAATCAGTTTGGTTATTGTTAGAAGTTTAATATTTGACAGGGGCCAGTTGAAAATTAACGTAATTGTGGCCTTTCTCAAATATTATTTTCTTTGCAATAGCGTCATCTCCATTTACACTTACAGAGTTTCAATCTTATGTTGTTAAGCAGTTGATTTCTCATGTTTCACAACAACAAACATAACAGTTTCTATAGAACAATATGTCTCTTGTTCTCAAAGGGATTTTAATTCTCCAGATTACCAGTAAACAATGCTCCTCTTTGACCTGTTTCTATGTTAACTTCCAAAGTGCTGAAATAAATTTTCTTTACTATGTTAATCTCTGAATGACAGGTTGTCGGAGTCAGCAGTTGACCTCAACCTGAAGCTGATGAGATGGAGGCTATTACCAGAGCTTGACCTAGATCAAATCTCAAGAACAAAATGTCTTCTGCTTGGGGCTGGTACTCTAGGATGCAATGTAGCAAGATGTTTGATGGTAATTAATGATATATCCAACAATATTTGCTTTTAGGTCACCTGAGACAAAATATCATTGTGACCTAATGATCTTTTGTTCAGAGTCATGTGTTGTAAACTTTTAATATTCTACCCCTGTACTGATTACAATGAAATTTTGCTGAAACCTTCTGTCTCTACAGGCAAACCAAACTTGTAAATTATATGGTACCCACTCCCCAGGACCCTGAGGGGCAAGGCAAAGAGTATTGATTTTTCTTGCAAATTTAAAAAAACATCTTCTTCTCAACCCCAAATATATTAGAATCAAATGATCTTCATGGATACAAAGGTTTTAATGTGCTCTTCCAAAATAGTAAATTTCATTATTTCAGGGTCTCATATTTTCTACCAGAGAAGAGGCAAAGTTTACTGAAGTTTATAGAGGAAAATTACATTTTTGAGCTTGATTTGTTTTATTTCTGTGGAAATGTTTCAAACCTAGTTAGAATTATTAGTATAAGATTATTTATGGGTACACCATATGTAATCTTATTTTCTTAGTTATTAACTCAAAATTGAAATGAAATTCAATGACCAATAGATTTCATGTTTCATTTCTGTGCACTTTAAATTTTCATGCTCTAAACTTCTCAAGTTTCAGCAGCATGACTCAGCTGAAATTTGCCTGAAAGGATCCTATGATGGTCCTGACCAAGTATTGTTGTATTTTGGATTGCTCCAAAATCCAAAACTGTTGTCATGCATTGCATCTTGAATAACACATTTTAAGCATCTTTTCCACTTGTGCCATTGAGCTAAGAACTGGTGGGAATGTAGTAAAGGAATTTAACAAAGTATTGTTATATTTTGACTTTTTCAAGAATTCCTTGTGGTTTCTATGCAACCGCTTTGTATCCTGTTTGTGCAATCATTGTTCTTCTTAAATTCCATGTGTGGGATTCAGCTTAAATTATCATGTTATCTTGTAAGTCAAAATCCAGCATGACTGCCATCTTGAAAACCATTATTAAACTTTGCCACTGCTGCTGGTGTCATTGAGTTGGAAATTGATAAAGATAAAAACTTAAACAAATCAAAATTATGCTTTTGTTATTTCACATGGCAAAAGTGCTGTTGAGCTGATGGTATGATAAAGAATCCACCTGTTTGTCTGACTGTCTGTTAGTAAACTTTTCCCCAAGGAAATCATAAATGAATGACCTCGACCAATTTTCAAGGTCGCAGGAGTCAAATATGTAAAGAAAAATTCGAGAATCTTCTTAAGTTCAAGAAACCAAGGTACTGATATTTAGTCAATAGGGACCTTGGATTGAATGCTACAAATGTTCCTCATATAAATGACCTTGACCTATTTTCAAGGCTACAAGGGTCAGATATATTAAACCTTTAAGAATATTCTCAAGTTTTAGTACTGATTTTTGACCAGTAGATATCACAGATGGAGTGCTGCAAAGTTGAGTCAGATGACTGTTGGGCCCATGGGCCTCTTCTTTGTTATTACCTGGTAAAGATTATATGTAACAATATCAGAAAAGGAATATAAATGATTTCATATGCTTTTGATAGCAGGACCAAAAATAATAATGACGATGATAAGAAGCATAAAAGACTCAAAATGTATTTTCTCTTCTTGTTGAAAAACTCCCATGATGCAGTCACTAAGTATTATACTAACATCGGAAAGGTGTTTAATTTTTGTGTGTGTCAAAACAGTTATCAGTAGATGAAAAAAAATCAAGTAAAATTTGATATATTAATTTTATTTCTGAGAAGAATTGTATCTTTGGTGCTGCCATTTTGTGATTAGCATGAAAATAACTTGTGTTGCCAGGGATGGGGAGTAAGGAAGATAACTCTTGTTGACAATGGTAAGGTGTCCTACTCAAATCCAGTCCGACAGAGCCTGTTTTTGTTTGAGGACTGCATGCAAGGAGGTCGACCAAAAGCCGAAGCAGCAGCACTGTCATTGCAGAAAATATTTCCTGGAATAGTAAGTGATGAATATTCTATCAAATTGATTTGGTCCAGATTGTGGCGTTCTCATAACAAAACTCAAAAGTGATGTCAGAAATATTGATAAGTGGAGATTGTAGGAACTTGAATTGTAACTTTTGAACTGAAACATATTTAACATGTATGCATATTAATGATGAGACGGTCATAATTTAGACGTGAGACGCTGGCACCAGCAAATCATTCTTCGGTGCAAAAATTACCCTCCCTACCTCCTACTTTTTAATTAACATCGGATATCATATATCTACATATGTATTGTACATCTAGCATATTGATGAATCAGATGATCAGGTATAAATGATCAGCATTCCCTATGTGATCTTAGGTGAGGGGAGGTTTTGGTGGCCATGTCATGAAGGTTCGCCTCAATCGGCCAATAACACAGGGGATTCAATAGCATACCATCATAACGGATGGCAGTGATGAATTTGTCATGATAAATCACTGAGATTAAAACAGGACATATCGCAAGGACCATTAGGGCCCATCATAGGATCACTCATGAGATGAGAGCATTAGGTAAACTTTCCATTGAATCAACTGCTTCTCAGTAACAAAAAGGCCCAGGGTGCTGATGCTGGGCCTGTAGCATGCTGAGATGAAGGGCTCTGAAGGTTTTTCATAATATTGACCCATATTCAAGATCACAGAGATCAAATTTGTTAATATCAAAAAATGAGCTTTTCTGATTAACAAAAGTTTCTAAGGACATGGATGAATCCCAACAAATTTTACAGAAAAAAATTACCTTGACATGTATTCAAGGCCACAAGGGTCGAATTTGTTAAAACCTTTAAACGACTTCTTTTGATGAACCAATATGACTAGAGAGATAGTACTTGACCCATACCCATGTTTTAGCTATAATCAGGGACATAACTGTCGATGTTTAGAGCTGACTATCAGAAACTTAAAGTTTCATGTGGAAATTGGTTGATCTGCCCACTTTGAATGCCAGTGGTGTACATGTTAATATTTAATGAACATTGAACACCAGGTGAGTGGTGCAGGCCCATTGGGCCTGTTGTTATCAAACAGTTTGATAACATTCCCATTAATCTTGTAACCAGCTTCTTAGTGAATCTGGTTCCTTATTACTATAAACAATATTGGTTGTACAGTATATTCCTACTGTTTTGGAATGTATCATGAACCTTCTATTTCATAGCACTACTGTAACGACTTTAAGAAAGATAATTTGCATGTCTTATAGATATTATATCATTTTATGTTATTAATTAAACTACATCCATAAGCTTATATGTAAGTGTATATGTGTACCTGTGTGTTAGAAGATGCGGGTGTGTACATGTGTATGTACTTGTAGATGTGATTATGATAATATATAAAATGTATATGATGTTGTCTATGCAAAAAAAATGAAGATAAAGAAAAAAAATTAAAGTAATGATAAGTAAAACTTGGATGATACTCGTCTGGTAATTAGTGGTTTAGAGCATAGCTATATTGTCTCCATTTTTTGACAGGATGCACAAGGAATAGCTATGTCAATTCCTATGCCAGGTCATCCAGTATCAGGTAAGGAATCATTGATATATCTGTATACAGTTCTGTACAAACATTTAGATCTTTGTCTAAAATAATCATATAATTTGGTCCCGGAAAATACTTCTTTGTAATAAAAGTGATTAATTGTGTGCCTATTCTACAGTTTGGCAGTGTTTGACAGTTCAATTTCTTCTATGCACTTCTAAACAGTCCTTGTAATTATGTCCCACAAATGAAGTGGGGAGACATATTGTGTTTGCTCCGTTTCTTCTTCTTCTTATTATTTATATTATCCTTATTTCTTCCACTTTCTTCTGCCGGCGAGGTTTCCGATGCGTTTCTCATAAACTATTGCATGGGATTTAACAAAACTTTACACACATATTCATACATACGAGGCGAGTGCAGGCCACTTGAATTTTTCCAATCGGTAATCTGAGCGGTCAGCTGTGGTCAAAATTTGGCCAAATTTTAAATATTGTCCGATTTTCGTGAAAATTTGTATATATGTATTAGGTGGCACTATAGGAGCAAAATGGCGTAGTCCATTTTTCATTCGGCCATTGATCGGTCATCTGAGCGGTCAGCTGTGGTCATCATCATAGATTTCTCTCAAATTTAAGATGCAGATTTCCCATAATTCCTAGCTGCACCTGCTTGATTTTTGGACTGATCAGAAAAACAAAATGACTGACAGGCAACCATCTTTAACTTCACCAAGTAAAGTTTGTTCTTGTTATTTTTTAAGAAGAACTGGATGGACCTCTCTCAGATGATCATTTGTAGGTTCCTCTTGGTCCCATGTTATGCCTGTTTGAGTTTGGGACTTGTCAGAAAAAGTTAGACAATAAACAATCATCTTGAATGTTGACTTGGAAAGTTTGTTTGTCCCTATTTCTTGAAAGCTACTGTATAGATCTTTCTGAAATTACATAGGTAGAATCCCATTGGTCCCTTGTTGTGCCTGTTTGATTTTGGGATTGATCATAAAACTTGATGGCATCAGGTGCTTCGAATGGTTGTTTAAAAAGTAGTTACCTGAAGGGTTTACCTTTGATGTGAACGTTACTACATGAAGTGATTATTGTTACACTGATATCCCTATCAATTGTTAGGCATACATAGTATCCCATGATGTCAGTGTTTGAGCAAGGATAGAAAGGATTCAAATTACCACTAGACAAAAAATTATTATTTTTACCGAAAAAAATCAAGTGCCTGCCTTTTCAAACTAACCGGAGGTGTACTGTAACCTTCAGATAGTAATGAAATGCTCCAATGTTGTAAAACAGGTGGATCATTACAAGGTACTACCTGCCTATACAAACTAACCAGATGTGTACTGTAACCTTCAGATAGTAATGAAATGCTCCTATGTTGTAAAACAGGTGGATCATTACAAGGTACTAAGAAGGATGTACAACAGCTTGAAGACCTCATCAAATCTCACGATGCTGTATTCCTCCTTCTAGACACCCGAGAAAGCAGATGGCTACCAACAGTCATGGCTGCTGCTCATAAGAAGGTTAAACAAGCTATTCAACAATATGTTATATGTTTTGTGTGTCAAGTGAGCTTTAGGGCATGTTGTGGTACCATCTGTCAACTCGTTCTTCAATTCACTTCTTGACAACAAAGTGGGACTAGATTTTGACCAGTTTTTTTCTTAAACATCCTTGGATAAAAGAGAATCCATTTATTTGAATAAAAAATTCCTCTGACCCACAAAGAGGCACTCAGCAGATGAGCAGGGTGAAATAAAGGAAATAGAGGCAATTAAGAAAATCTGTTGAATATCTGTTGTAATAAAGGGATTTGTCAGGGCTATAGTTTCCTCTAAATGTTAAGGGGCTTTTAAATGTAGATCCAAAATTGATATCAAACATGTTTATAAGGTAACTACTGCAATGAATGTAGCAATGGTGTAGATTTAGTGTAAATGGTAGGCCCCATGTAGAGAGGTTTTTGGGAAAATATTTTCTATACAGTTAAAGGTCCCATGTAGAGAGGTAATGGGAAGTTATTTTCTATACAGTTAAAGATCCCATTTAGAGAGGTACCAGTAATAGGAAGTTATTTTCTATACAGTTAAAGGTCCCATGTGGAGAGGTAATGGGAAATTATTTTCTATACAGTTAAAGATCCCATTTAGAGAGGTACCAGAAATAGGAAGTTATTTTCTATACAGTTAAAGGTCCCATGTAGAAACATAAGGAAAATAGATTGTGAAAAAGGTAGTTCTCATATAAGCCAGGAGAATGGGCCTCATAAATGCTAAGCTCTATGTGGAAAGGTAAATAGGAATTTGTTTGGTATAAATGGTAGGCCTAATGTAGCCAGATAAAGGGAATTTACCGGTATTTGGTAAAAATAGTAGCTTGTATTACAATATTAACTTAATTTCATCTTGTTCACATTTCTGTGTGTGGTATCCTTGGTTATCATTTTTTCAACTCAGAAAGTTAATTTGACCTCTAGAGACCTGGGGGCAGGGCCCCATATGGGAAAATTAGTCAATAATTTTGCTTCAAAACGCTGCTCTTCATAAAGGCTTGAATGGATTTAAACCAAATATGGTATGAAACATTATAAGGGAGTGGCAATGATATCAAACATGCATGAAGTGATCCTGAGATTGTTCTGACCAAATCTTATTTTTTTCGATTTGATCCAAAATCCAACATAACTCATCCTGATCTAAAGTCTGAACTACTTGTCCAGTTTTATTCACACCAATGAGAAAAATATTTGGAGTTTGATTTGTTAAGAAAAAGAAAGAGACGATATGTTGATATTTTTCAGCCTGATCAAAACTTCCAACATGTTAACCGAAGTAGCCATTTTGTAACATGATTGTGCAACTGTTTTTCATGAATAGAAATTACCATTTATAAATTTTAGATACTTTCAAGTAATATTCAGAATTTGAATTCATCAGATTTGTCAGACCACTGTCAGCAAACTCTATGGTTTGTCCATCCATTTACAACAGACATTTGTCATATTACAGATAGTTATTTGTGCTGCATTAGGATTTGACACCTTCTTGGTGATGAGACATGGTGTGAAGTCAGATACCGAGACAGACACGTCTGTGTTAGAACCTCTCTCTAGTTATACAACCATTCCTGGGGACCAGCTTGGATGTTACTTCTGTAATGACGTTGTTGCTCCTGGAAACGTAAGTGTTTTAATGGTCATTAGAGACCAACATCTAAATGCATTCATTCATCTCTCCATGTCTGTTCATCTGTCTGTTCATCATTATCAGATGGTGGGCTATTCAAATCACTGACATCTGTGGTACATCGTCCATCCGTGCGTAAATAAATTTTGTTGTGCTATTTCTTGAGAAGTACTAGATGGATTTTTCTCAAATTTCATATATAGGTTCCTGTTGGTCCCTAGTTGTGCCATTTGATCTTGGGGCTGATCAGAAAAACAAAGTGGCCGACTAACAGCTAACTTGGATTTCGCCTAATAAATTTTGTTATTTCTCGAGAAATACGTAATGGATCTCTCTCAAATATCATGTGTAGGTTCCCCTTGGTTCCTAGGTGTGCCCGTTTGACTTTGGAGCTGATTAGAAACAAAAAAATGTACTTTGGTTTTGAAAATTTGTTATTGCTATTGCTGTAAAACTACTTCATAGATCTTTCTCAAATTTCATATGTGTTCCTCTTTTTCTCCACTGAGAAACAGAAAGTGGCCAATAGGTGGTTGTTTTGGTGTTTGTTATTGCTATTTCTTGAAGTGCTGAATGGATACCACTCAAATTTCATGTGTAGGCTTCCTCTGGTCCTAGTTGTGCCCATATGATATTTGGTTTTACCAGAGAAACAAAACAGCCAACAACTAGTAATTCACTTCAGTCAACAGCCGTCACTGACCAATACCTGACACAGTCTGTAAAGTCAGAAACAAACCTCTTTAAAAGCCAGTAACACTGCAAGCATGATTATACTTCTCATTGGCTGTGATATTGTTACACTGGCAGAATCAAGTCATCCATCAGATATGGTGACACATTGCCTGGATTTTTGCATTTTTGCAAGAAGTCATATGACTCAAGGACCAATATTGGGACATAATTTATGGTACGATGGGCTTGCTTCTATGTCAACTTAGAACTCTTTAAGCTCAGGATAAGGTGATATTTAATTCAAAGTCAAACCTTCTTCAAAACAGATCATCCTTTGTTTAAAGGTACAAACCTCTCAGGAATGAGGAGATATCCAATTAGGGACAGCTCACACTGTTTCACTCCCTCTCACTACTTACAAGATTTGGAGCAATCTGGTTACACTACAACAGCCACTGGTCAGTCTTCTATATCAATCTGTCTTTTAAGGATTTTTTTCTCAGACCTGGAAACTGTTATATTTACATTAAATCCTTTTCTTCTGTTTTGTTGTTTCTAGAGTACAAGAGATCGAACTTTGGATCAACAATGCACTGTCTCCCGTCCAGGAATGTCTTTCCTAGCAAGTGCACTAGCTGTGGAACTACTTGTCTCATTAATACAGCATCCTAAGTGGTGAGTAAGATGTCAGTGCATTTAAGGCTGTATGTCCCAGTGTCTGACACATCATTCTAAGTAGTGGATGTAAATTTGGTATGGATTTGTTTATAAAATAAAAAGATTTTGTGTACAGTATTGTAGTAGAAATCCATATGATATTCCCAGGATTGGATTTAGGTAACACATTTGATAAGCTGTGTGTAAATTTCTGACATTTCAAATTCTTCTCATGTTCAGGAGATGGGATTTAGCTCAAACATGCCTGGAAGGATTTTGAGATGGTGTAAACAAAGTATTCCAACTTATAATATAGCTACCAAGGCCACCATAGCCAGGATGTCCCACTCCCCAACCCCTAACAAAGTTCGGTCATACTAGCTTTGATCAGCAGAGTGGTTTTTTGCCTGTTTGTAGAAAAATCATTGGGCATTGTATTCACTCAGTTTTCATGGGATTTTCTTAAAATTTCATGCACCATATGAAGTTGTGATTCTGCTTTTTTACAACTTTATAGAGTGTTATGGCTCTTTTCTATAAAAAAATGAACTCAGTCTTGTCTGCATTCATTTATCCTCAAATAGATTTTTAAACATTTTGTGTTAAGTGCCCGTACCATTGGGAAAAATTTTGGCATTTTGGCAGCTATGCATGTTTATACCAAGTTAGAAAGGATGTTGGATTTGAATCATGTGTACATGTTATTAAGGCATTGATGGATAAATGAATATATGACTTGGATTGGCATCAATTTATAGCTCTGAAGGTCTGGTGAACTTATGCCATACAACAGCATGTAGTCTTTGACAGTTACCTAATCACCATCATTATGTGGTGATTGACAGAATGTATTATGGACTGAAACCTCACTTTCATTTTCTTGGTTTCTGTCATTTAAGGCTTGAATAATGTAAAAGAACTTTCCTTGATTTAAAAAATAAATCAATTAATGAATATATCTATCTCAAAACATAGAAATTAAATTAATATCATTTTTGCTACTTTGTAAGCAGATGCTTACTTTTGGTCCAATAGCCATAATGCAGTAATTAGTTACACTACAGTCATAAATGGCAGCGAGTAAACCATTGAACTCTGTAATCGCAAGATTTTTCCGATGAAAAAGAAGATGTGTATGGTTGAATTTAGCAGTTTTGGGGTGAATAAATACTCCAGATTTTTGTATAGGTAAGGAAGGTAGGATGATACAGCAAATTTGTTTCATAAACAAGTCATTCATTTACTCTAAAGTTACCGACAGTTTGGCTAAATCACAGGACAGTCAAAACGTTGATCACTACTGATTATTAAAATGTTTTATCATGTCAATTTCACAGAATGAGTCTGAATTAATTCAACTTTATGTCGGTGAAGATTCGTAGTCATCTACCGTAATGTTATGTACAACTAGGTAACAAATTGGTCAACCAGGATGCAACCTTTTATGTTAGGAGTACTCTAGAATTGATGCATAGCTCTAAACTTGGAAGTTAAGTAATGCAAATATATATATAAATAACATTTTTGTCTAGAGCTATGTTAACCATAGCTTGTACATATTTAGTGATTTAACAATCTTATATATTGGAAGTACAAAAGGAAATTTTACTGAAGTTACAGTGGCTATTAACACATTATAAAGATTTAACTTAACCACTGGATTCTAACAAAAACTTGCTAGTCAGTAAAACTTAGTTTCAGTCATTACATTGTAATGTTTAGTTTACTTTAAATAACTTCAGTTCCCTTGGACAGATCAAACTAAAACTTTACATGTGTACTGCTTTCTTAAATGACAGTGCTTGTTATCAGGCTATTTTTGTACACATGAAAAACCATATCTAGACATTAATGTGCTGTTTGATTTATCACGTGGAATAAGCCAAATCTGAGAAATCACATCAGTACCTCAGCTAGTCTTAATTTACACACAAATATAAAACATAACATGCCAACCAACAAATGTAGAGAATTTCTTAGATTAAAGAACAAATTGTAAAACTTTCATGTGTCAAATGTAGAAAAAAATCTTATTTTTACGTGTCAAATAAAGAAAAAAAATGAAATTTTGATATGGCAGATTTAGAAATCAAGTAGAAGTTTCACTGACAACCTACATCTATTTATAAGTTGACTGAAGGTTAGAAATATATTTAAAATTTACTTACGGTGTAAGAATAACGTAACATTTTCTGTGTGGTTAGGGCTCATTAGGTATAGAAATCATGCATTATATTTTTACTGACATAACCTTGTATATAACTACTTGCATGATTATCCCTTTTAAAATTGATATTTTTGCAGCCTGATGAATCGATAACACACAACACTGAGGGAAAAGACTTCAGAGTGAAGTTATATCTGCCAATTTGTTCTTCAATCAAAACTAATTAAATTTATTGGAAACAAAGAGAAATGTATTGTTTGTTTATCATTTACCTTTTATGTGTAAATGTAGGATTGTATTTAATGGATTAAACTGAAGACGAGCACTACAGACATAGGTTATAGTTTTATATATACAAATTTCTTTACTGTACTTATTTACTTAAAAACAACCTGATGACTAACCAAAAGAATGGCTGATAAGTTCCTATAGAATGATGCCTGACAATGTTTGCGAAAAGAAATGACCTTTACCCATATGGAAGGTCACAAGAATCAAATTTGTTGAAACTTATAACAGACTTCTTCTGGTAAACCAAAAGTCCAGGCATCAGAATATTTAGTTGAAAAGTAGTTCTAGGTCAGAGCCTATCAAAAGTTAGAGAAAAAAAAAGAAATAGCATTTCCCTATAATCCAGGTCAGAACTGTTACTGTTTAGAGTTGATTATTAGAAGCTGTTTGTTGTGGTAATTGGTTAAAATTGATTGTGTGTGCCCACTTTGAATTCAAATACACGTACATGTCAACATGCTTGTGATATTAACACTGATTCTATCTTGGAATACCAGCTGATTGATGCTGGCCCCTTGGGCCTCTTATTGATGGTATCTTAACAATTTTTTTTTAAAGTTTGATTGGGGTTGAAAAAACCTAGCAACATTAAAAATTTACTTGTATTGTTACTATGCATTGATTTCTGAATGACATGAAGTGTACTTACATTTCATGTCAATGTACAATTATCTGAAAGATAATCATTTTAAATCATTTATACTCTGCAGGCTTGTGAACTGACAAGATACAACACTGAAGATAAACTTGTAGTGATCAGTTTACTTTGTCATGCTTGATCTGTATTCTTCACTCTATTGAAGTTATTGATATCAAATCACATGTTAAATCTTGAAATTTGCTACATGCATTTTGTCACACTTTTTACATATAATAGATTGTATCTCATCTATGGAAGATCAGTGTTGAAATAGATAAAGTTTTTTATATTGTGTTTCAGATTTCCTTGTTTTCTATATTGTGTTTCAGATTTCCTTGTTTTCTATATTGTGTTTCAGATTTCCTTGTTTTCTATATTGTGTTTCAGATTTCCTTGTTTTCTATATTGTGTTTCAGATTCCCTTGTTTTCTATATTGTGTTTCAGATTTCCTTGTTTTCTATATTGTGTTTCAGATTTCCTTGTTTTCTATATTGTGTTTCAGATTTCCTTGTTTTCTATATTTTGTTTCAGAGTTCCTTTATACAGTACTGACATGGATCTTATGATACTGAAATATCAGGTCCATTTGTAACTTTCACATATTTCAATTAGATTGAAAATGTGATATCAGAGGCTTTATAAATACAGTGTGTGATTATTAGACAAACCACTTATATTGATGAAGCAGGATTATTAATTCATTATGCCTATTAAACGATGAATCATATAACAGCATGCCCTGTAGTGTATGTCCTGTACAAACTCTGATGAAACTTCATAAAATCCCTGTACCTTCCCATACAAATGTAGAATTAGATACAGTAAAGCTATACCATAATTACAATTGCACATTCACCCGTTTCATCCTCTTACTGGGCTTCTTTAGGACATACATGTTACAATATCTGCCCCAAATCATTTTACCTAAAGAAGCCGAGAGGATAGTGAAAATGGTCCACTTGATATATAATGTCATTATGAATCTGTCCATTGGCCCGTTATTTGTCCTTACAAACTCATACAATATTTTCTATCAAGCATCCTGCACATGCTTGATTATCATATAGAATTGAAACATCATGTAGTCTGTTTTAACAAGTTATCTAGATATACCAGAGCCCAGTTTAAACAGGTTTTGGTGTGGATCTCTAGTGAGTATAGACTGAGTCTGACAAAATAACTGTATAAATTATGTGATATTTCAACAGTGGAAAAGCTGAGGCAGATACAAGTGCTAAAGATGACCACCTAACTAAGGATCTTCCTTGTTCTCTTGGATTAGTACCTCATCAGGTAGGACAGAAAACAATGTATTAATTACTTGTTTATAATCAACACATTTCTAATGATGATTTATGTCATCATGGTAATGATGTCTTAATATGTTATTCTGAATAATCTTGATACTGTTTACCTGTATAATGTTAGTTCTGACATTTTGATACTGTTTACCTGTATAATGTTGGTTCTGAGTGTTACTATAAACAGAGTTAAGCCTTGATACTGTTTACCTGTATAATGTTAGTTCTGAGTGTTACTATAAACAGAGTTAAGCCTTGATACTGTTTACCTGTATAATGTTAGTTCTGACATTTTGATACTGTTTACCTGTATAATGTTAGTTCTGACGTGTTGATACTGTCTACCTGTATAATGTTAGTTCTGAGTGTTACTATAAACAGAGTTAAACCTTGATACTGTCTACCTGTATAATGTTGGTTCTGATGTGTTGATACTGTCTACCTGTATAATGTTAGTTCTGCCATGTTGATACTGTATACCTGTATAATGTTAGTTCTGACGTGTTGATACTGTTTACCTGTATAATGTTAGTTCTGACATGTTGATACTGTTTACCTGTATAATGTTAGTTCTGACGTTTTGATACTGTTTACCTGTATAATGTTAGTTCTGACGTGTTGATACTGTTTACCTGTATAATGTTAGTTCTGCCATGTTGATACTGTTTACCTGTATAACGTTAGTTCTGACATGTTGATACTGTTTACCTGTATAATGTTAGTTCTGACGTGTTGATACTGTTTACCTGTATAATGTTAGTTCTGACATGTTGATACTGTCTACCTGTATAATGTTAGTTCTGATGTGTTGATACTGTCTACCTGTATAATGTTAGTTCTGACATGTTGATACTGTCTACCTGTATAATGTTAGTTCTGACGTGTTGATACTGTCTACCTGTATAATGTTAGTTCTGCCATGTTGATACTGTATACCTGTATAATGTTAGTTCTGACGTGTTGATACTGTCTACCTGTATAATGTTAGTTCTGACGTGTTGATACCATGTTGATACTGTTTACCTGTATAATGTTGGTTCCTGATGTGTTGATAATGTCTACCTGTATAACGTTAGTCTGACATGTTGATACTGTTTACCTGTATAATGTTAGTTCTGACGTTTTGATACTGTTTACCTGTATAATGTTAGTTCTGACGTGTTGATACTGTTTACCTGTATAATGTTAGTTCTGAGTGTTACTATAAACAGAGTTAAACCTTGATACTGTTTACCTGTATAATGTTAGTTCTGACATTTTGATACTGTTTACCTGTATAATGTTGGTTCTGAGTGTTACTATAAACAGAGTTAAGCCTTGATACTGTTTACCTGTATAATGTTAGTTCTGACATTTTGATACTGTTTACCTGTATAATGTTAGTTCTGAGTGTTACTATAAACAGAGTTAAGCCTTGATACTGTTTACCTGTATAATGTTAGTTCTGACATTTTGATACTGTTTACCTGTATAATGTTAGTTCTGATGTGTTGCTTTAAACAGAGTTTAGCATTGATACTGTTTACCTGTATAATGTTGGTTTTGATGTGTGACTATAAACATGGTCAGAAAGTCCTTTATTTTTGATAAAGGTTACTGGAAGGTTGATTGCTGATGTGTCTTTGTTAACCAGGCTTTAGAATGATTTAATGACAGTGAATGGCCTCCATTTTTATTTGGTGTCAGTATTGCATGCTATGAAATTTTCCCTTATACCAGATTATGTTTTGTGAAAGAATTTAAGGCTCTCTTTCAATTAGACTTCAATGTTTTTTATAAATAATTTTGCCTAAAAATTCAACATTTTAAAAAATTCTTACCCCCAATTAAGATATATTACATTTTGTAATTATATGTTTGATGTTAAATCTCCCGACGTTTTTATATTTTATTACAGGTCTTTATAAAGTACAGATTCTACCCTTCACCTATTCAGCTCCCCTCAAAGTGCCATGGGTTTTATTTATAAGTTATACATATTGAAATTTATCCTTAAAGTTACCCATGAGAGTATCCCCTGAGATTGCCCAAGTTTAGAAATACATGTATGTAGAATTGTTTTCTTTGTGTTTGTTAAATACAAATACAAGTCTGTTCTTTATCTTTGTGTTCTTGTGTAAAAGAAGGATATATTTGATGGTTGATGTTGCTGATCTGTGTTTTGTATTTTACCCAGATTCGCTGCTTTTTATCAAGATATCACCAGGTCCTACCAGCTTGTAGAGCATTTGACAAATGTACTGCCTGCTCCAATACGGTCAGTTTTGTAATACTAGTAAATGAAACTGGTCTAGAGAGTATTTCTCTTTGGCTTGTCGATTCTAAACTATTAAACCAGATGTCCTGTGTGGTTCACCCCCTTATGGTGGCATTATAATAAATATGAAATAAAAAAAAGATTTTACATTTGTATAACAAAACTTAGGTAAACTTTTTATCCGGAGGAGAGTATGTAACTCTAGCAAATACATCAGTCGCAATATACTGAAATATTAAAGAAAATTTCTCACAAGGTCATTTGGTTGAGCCAAAGACTACTACCAGGTAAGCCAAAGGTACTGGGTCAAATCCTAGCAGGGACATTGAAATAAAAATGACCTTAGTTGCAACACATGTACAAGTTTATGTTACTTTTTTATTTTAAAACTCAGAGGAAAAACATATATTTTGAAAATGAAATTTTAGGTCATCTGGTCAAGATGATCTATTGCTATCGTGCATTGTCTGTTGTCAGTAAACTTTCCTTTTGGAACACTACTCTTGCTTAAATGTTTTGGCAGATTTCAACCAAATTTGATCTGAAACATCATTGGGGTTGGGGAATCATTTCTTAAATTCAGAAAGTTGATTCGACCCCTAGGGAACTGGGGGTGGGGTCCAAAAAAGGATAGTTAGACAATACTTTGCTTCAAAACACTATTTTTCCTTCATGCTGGAATGGATTTCATTCAAATTTGGTCTGAAACATCAGGAGGAGTGGGCAATTAATGCTTAAATGTAGGAAGTTGATTTGATTTCTAGAGACCTGGGAGGGGTGGGGGGCAAATGAAGAAGTAAGTCAATATCTTGCTCAACAATGCTACTCTGTAATGCCTTTGTAGATTTCAACCAGATTTGGTCTGCAACATTACTATGGAGCAGCCATGATTTCAGGTGTGATTTAAGTGATCCTGAGATTTTCCTGACCAAATATTGTTTCTGCTTTGATCCAAATTCCAACATAACTCATCATTATGAATAGTCTGAACTACTTGTCCAGATTTATTCACACCAATGAGAAAAATATTTGGAGTTTGATTTGCCAAGGAAAAGAAACGGACGATTTTCAGTTTACTCCTGGTAATCAAAACTTCAACACGTCAACCACAGTAGCCATTTTGTGACATGTTTGCATAACTGTTTTTCATGAATGGAACCTACCATTTACGAGTTTCTGATACTTTCAAGGAATGTTCAAAATTTGAATTTTTCAGATTTGTCAGACCTTCATCAGTGAATTCTGTGGTTTGTCCATCCATTCATTGATTGCCAGATACCCTTTAAGGGCCATGACCCTCTTGTACTTGATTATTTCATGGTCACGTTGCTGTTTTCATAGATTTATCACCATACACACTGTCCAAAAGGGCCAAAGGGGCGAGGCCCAAAAGGGGAAATAATGTAAATTCATTGAAATCTTATTCCTCTTGTAGGAATGAATGAATATTGCCAAAATTTGGTCTGAAGCATTCTTGGATGAAGGGGAATCTATCATGTATAAACATTAGGCCCAATAGAAGAAATAGAGTAAATCTTATGAAATTCTACTCCTCCTGTAGGAATGATTAGGATTTATCCAAATTTGTTTTGATGTATTTTTGTGTGAAAGAGAATCAGATCTGTATACAATGTGCATTCCAGGCCCTTAGGTCGGGAGCAGTGGGTAAGGGGTGGGTGGTTGGGGCCTAATTGGGGAAAAATAAAAATTTTATCCTGCGTTATTCAATCATCAGCTCATTTCTCTTGGCTTTTCAGGTGGTGAATGCTTTCAAGAAGGAAGGTGTGGAATTTCTCCTTAGGGTATTTAATGAGCCGAGCAGTTACCTGGAGGACTTGACTGGTCTCACACAGATGCACTTGGAGACACTCGATACAGAGGTAGTTAATCTTCTTTTAGTCTTTAGTCTTGTTAATAGAAAGAATCTAAATTATATGAGAAATAATATCTTACATTAGATTGAGATTTTTGTAGAAGTTAACAATCTTTAGGTAAGGTGATATGAAGAATTCTTAGGCTTCTTCCAGTGTTATTGTTCATACACATGGAAACTCGTATAAAATTCTCTTTATTTTTATTTACACCTACACATTATTCAGTCTTTTAAAAGAAGAAATACTGGCTAATCATGCTTTGGTATTACAAGCATTTTGAATACCTATTTCTGATAGTAATACAGACCTTCCTCCTTGATACTGGATTCCTAAACTTCACATGAATCCATATAAACAATGTTTTATTGCTGGCTCATCTAGCTGTTCAACTGAACCTTTGTCACTAATCACCATTCTAACTTCTATCAAATCTGGGTTACATTTGTATTGTGATACTGTTTACACAAGAAGTGGAATTAATAGTATTGGATCTTTAAGAACTTCAAAGATCTTTTGACTAATTTTCAACATCCTCTTTAAATACATTTCTTCTATAAGAACATTTGGTTTTTCAACCATCTACACCTACATAGCCCATTCTAAACTGAAGGAACACCTTTGTTCCCTAGGTATGAGAGCTTTCTTCTCCAAGATAGATGAATGGCAGTATAAATATATGGTTGTGAACTATACTGAAGTGTATTTTGTAAAAATTACGTCCAAATCAAAGAAGAATTATATGGAGGACGAAATCATAACAATGATCAAGTTTGATGGTAAGATTTTCCAAGAGACTATTGACATATCTATAGGAACTAACTGTGCCCCTCTGTTGAATGACTTTTTGTTTTCATATGAGTCTTAATTTTATTGCAGAGCCTATCAAAACAGTTCAGAAAGACCTTGCAAAGTCATTAAATTTCACTTTGAGACATATTGATGATGTCTTGTCCATAAATTACAAGAAATTTATGGACCATGTCCATTGTATATCCCAACCAGGACTGGAAATCAAAGACACAACATTATTCTATATCAGTTGCGTATCGCGATCTTTTCCTACAACGAAACCAACATGTACAGCTTTCCACCAAGCTGAAAGATACATGTGATGATTTGAATTTCCCTATTATGGACTTTCCATTTCTGGATGGCAATATCCCTGCATCCCCCACCTATGGTGTTTACATATGTTGCAGTTGATTTGATATTCTAGGGCTTGTTTCCATTAACATGATGTTCGTGCAAGAAGTCGTCAACTGATCGACAAACTTGTAATACAGAGTTTCAAAAGATGCAGGTTGATGAAAATTAATCAGTTTTTGTGCTGAAGTTGTACTTTTTGTAATGGTAGAATTATTGTTTACTGTACTTTTTTATTCATCTCGTGAAGAATTCATTATGCTGTGTTTCAGATCCTGGATTTCAGTGATGAAGATGACAGTTTTATGGACATGTCTTGATTGCTCTCACAAGACAGTACTCAACCAATCAATAAAGACTTTAGATCAACCTATCAAAAGAGGTGTTGCATCTCTGAGAGGAGCGGACCAATCAAAAGAGATGTTACATCAATAGGAAAACCTATCAATGAAGGAGTCACATCTATGGAAGGTCCATTCAGTGGCAGTGTCATATCTGGGAGATATCTATGGGAGGACAAATAGATGGAGGTGTTACATCTATCATAGAGCCATATAACTGAACAGTTTGATACTCATATTGATGACGATGCTATCCAAATATCACATGAATTACCAAGATTAAAAATACTTTGAGAAGTAAATCGTATTGTGTAGTTTTAGTTGTATGGCATGGACTAATACAATTTCCAAGGTTTATTTAAAGGTGTGTGAACATTTATACACATAAAACATCTGTATGTGAGACTCAAGTGGATAAGGCTACCAATGATTATTTATCATTCTTTGATCAAGTGTAAAGGTTTTTTTGTGATGTTATTCTCTCAAAACACTCCCCATCAAAATTCTTGAAAGATGCATAAAAAATATGCACAATATGTTAGTATTTCCAAATGGTTGAAGCTAGGTTGTGAAACATTACACCTAAAACGTTGTGTACATTGTCTGTACATTTAGGTGATACTTCAACTAAACCATATACATTTTCCCCACAATTAGGCCATACTACAACTTAAGACCACAGGGAGCAGAGACATTCAAAAACTTCAAAACTGGTTCTGCTTCCCTGTTTCTCCTTTTAGTCCCAACCCTCTGACTCCCTGAGGACCCGAGATTCAGCATTTGGTTTTCTTTCCACAAGGATCCTTCTGACCAAATTTTGACAAAACACAAGATCCAATCCAAATGACAAAACACAACAAGATTTCAATCCAATAGACAACAAATAAATGCAAAATTTAAATCCAAGAGATGGGACACAAGATTTTAATCCAACAGACAAAGATTTCATTCCAACAGAAAAAGAAAACACAAGATTTCTTTTTATAACAATTACTCTTCTGTATTTATTCATATATACAATAGGTATTCAACATAAAAAAAGGAAATTAATCTTTCCATCCTATTGATATTAAAACATCTCATTTTGCAGGAGTAGGAATATATATATTTTTATATATAAAACAATGTACTAAATGGATTTATGCTTAAAAATGTAGTTATAACAAAACAAGATATATTTGAGTTACACGTAAGTAAGAATTCAAATGGTTGGATTTCTCAAATGAGCACAATTAATGTAAATTTGAGCAAGCAGAATGATAACTATAACTATGCATTTAGCATGCCTAATTAATGGAAATATGTACAAATATAACATTTTAAGTGTAACATCAGAAACGGTGTTTTTAGGAGTCGACAACAACTATTTATTACCATATAAGGGAAAATTTGTTAATATTGAAAAAAGTCCATACAATGTTGTGTAATTCAAGTACAAGTAAAATCCAGTACTTATATCATACATTAAATCATACATAACAGGCCATCTACAAAACCAGCATTTATCTTAATGCCAAATTTTAGGATCAAACCTGTAATTTGTCTTAATGACAAATATTAGGATCAAACCTGTAATTTGTCTTAATGACAAATATTAGGATCAAACCTGTAATTTGTCTTAATGCCAAATTTTAGGATCAAACCTGTAATTTGTCTTAATGACAAATATTAGGATCAAACCAGTAATTTATCTTAATGACAAATATTAGGATCAAACCAGTAATTTATCTTAATGCCAAATATTAACTAAACAGAAAGAACAGACCATATTAGTTACCACAAACACATATACATATATCTTTGTCTCATCAAAAAATGAACTCTGTTAGTTATCAGAAATACTAGTGTCTTTTTCTGCTCAAAAATGGACCCTGTTAGTTACCAGAAACACAAGTATCTTTGGACAATCAAAAATGGACTCTGTTAAGTTATCTGGTATGCAAGTGTTTTGTTTTTTCTGACCAAAAAAAGACCGCCTTAGTTACCAGGTACAAAAGTGTCTTTGGCTGAAAATGGACCCTGTTAGTTACCAGAACCACAAGTGTCTTTGTCACATACTATATGTAAATATGAAGTAAGATTATTTGGTAATCAGTCAATATAATAATGCAATGTATCTGTTTAAGGTGTATAATCATAAACCAGCAATCACTATCAATAACATACTTTGAGGTGGATTTTAATCACAAAGTCATGATTTCAGTTTGGTTGCAATTCCATTCCCTCAACTATTAACAGTGAACTATAATCTAACCATGTACATCTTACATTGATAGTACAAATAAAATGTCCTATTAGTGATATCATCCTAACAGCCAAACAAATGATATAATCACTGGAACTAGCCAGTTATATCATCAGTACAAACAAAATGTCTTATTAGTGATATCATCCTAACAGCCAAACAAATGATATAATCACTGGAATTAGCCAGTTATATCATCAGTACAAACAAAATGTCCTATTAGTGATATCATCAGCCAATCACTTTACTCACTTCATACATTAACCTATTCATCCAAGTTTCATACTGGATATCCATGTCAAGTGAGTTTATCATTTCTATAATGTGTTTGAAGAAGTTAAAAAAAAAACAAAGAAAAAAGAAAATGTACTAGAATATGTTCAAAGGAAAATTTGTTGAAACAGCAATCAGCCATGAAAAGCTACAAAAAGTGAGTGTTTTTGCCGAATGTAGCTCTGACCAACCATAGTCTTGTTTTATATCAAAATCTAAAATGTATGGTAAAAGAAGATGAACACTTGATACAATAAGGTGTTAGGAAAAGTTCAAAAATATCTCTCATATACATATCTACCACACTATTGTAGGGTAAAAATCATTTCAGAAATGATGAAGTGATAAAACACATTGCTTCACATAAGATATAGTTCTGAGTACTGTTTCAGTATACATAAGATATAAAAATGTTTTATCACGTTATCGCAAATGAAACAAGAATTGGGTTTTGGTTTATATGGACATATAAACATTTCAATCATTTACACCTTTAAAAATATGTCTTTGATTTAAATAACAAAGTTTACAATGTAGCCTTCTATTGATTAACAATATATAGCAGAAAACAATTCTATTGAAATACAATTAATGGAACAAAAGAAATTGATTGTGGGTTGCTATTTGTTATAGTGACTTTGAGTCTGTCAGAGTTCTGTCTTCACACTCGTATATACCACAAGTACTGTGCTTGGAGAACCGCTTTAGTATCACATACATGTTCTGTATACATATTGGAAGTATCACATCATTTTCTGTTAGTTCTCTTGACAGTACAAGACATTCCTTGGTGTTTTTTTTGTCACTAGTAAATAAATGCAGTTTGCATTTCAAATGAAGAAATCTCCAATCTTACATGAATTTCTTTTATACACATTCACCTATAAAAAAGTGTGTTCAATCCTTGACAGATGAAAGCGATGGATATCATTACCATTTTCATCCAGAATCCAGTGGGCATGTAATTAAGCAAAACATGTTAAATAAATACTTAAAAAATTCACAAAAGAATCAAAGGATTTTCATTCAAACTGTCCAAAACAGAACCAAATTGTGTGCAAATCCGCATAGCATTACTTGTTCTTAATCATCACGTGACATGAAAATCTAAATATCTACGATTATTCTCAGGTCAAGTATTTAAAACATCCTATTACATCCTACTCTCACAAAGCTTTGGCGCTTGTGAAACTGAAACCTGCAAACACACGTTGATCCATGGTCTTTAACAGATCTTTGTCTGGCGGGGTCAGATTTGGTTTCTCCGCAGTGAAGTCAGAGTCAAAGTTGGAGAAGTCACCATCACTTTTCTGAAAGTAATATATCATATTTCATAAGGTGGACTTTACAAGATCTAAATAATTTGTTTCAACAACGAATGAAAATTAAAAAGGTTTTAATAGTGTTTAATATCACAGTTATTTAATAGATAATAAATAAATACACATTAAAAAACAGACGTAAAAACTAGATATGATAAAACAACAAGACTGCTCTTGCTGGCAATAATAGAGAAGTTTAGAGCAGTTTAACCCACACCAAGGAAAAGATTGGAGCTTTTGAGCCCACACTAAGGGAAAGCTTGGAGCTTTTGAGCCCACACTAAGGAAATGATTGGAGCTTTTGAGCCCACTCTAAGGAAAAGATTGGAGCTTTTTAGCCCACAACAAGGAAAAGATTTGAGTTTTTAAACCTTCAACAAGAAGAAGTTTCGAGCTCTTAAGCCCTCAACAATGAGAAGTGTGGAGCTTTTTAGCCCCCAGCAAGGAAACGTTTGGAGCTTGAAAGCTCTCAACAAGAAGTTTGGAGCTTTTAAGTCCTGAACAAGGAAATGTTTGGATTTTTTGAGCTAACACCAAGAAAAGGTTGGAGCTTTTTGCCCACACCAAGAAGCTTGGAGCTTTTGAGCCAACACTAAGAAGTTTGGTGGTAGGGCAAAAATATGTGATCTGTCTGGAAAAATATTGTAAACAAATATATATATGTTTTTTTCTTACAATCTTTGGTTTGAATGGTGGCTCCACTTGTCTTCCCTCCATGCGCTCCCAATCAATGTTCCTGAAGAATGGCTGTGATTTGATTGGTCCAGAGGTACAACCAGGCATTCCCATTCGCTCATTAGGTTGCCTGATGAACAGCTGTAATCAATCAAAAATCATTTCATGTACATTATAATACATTATTATGGTCAAGGAATGGAGCTGCTAGAGTGCTGGCAAAATTTCAGAGATGTAGGGAGGGAGGGAAGGACACGGGGAAATTAGAGTATCCCCCAGTTTCACTAGTAGAAGACTAAAAAAATGTTTCCCTTCTTGGGTGTTACAACCCTTGCCATTTTAATACATGTATATGAACTGTTAGTTAGGAATTCATTTCAAGTCTTTGTGATCATAAAGACCCATGTTTTCAAGTGTGCATATCTCTTTGTTGATCAAAATCAAAACTTCATGTCATCATTCAATCACCATTTGTAAGCTATTTCTAACAGAACATATTAAACATTACCGCAACGTTTCATCACCAAACTGCAACTTCTACATACCAGACTAAGAATTTGAGCAGCTTCCTTCGGCAGCCATCTTGGATAGTGTGGTGTGTCATGTAGAATAGAATGGAAGAGGTCATCTTCATCATCACCATGGAACGGAGATTGTCCAATCATCATCTCGTACAACAGCACACCAAAGGACCACCAATCAACAGATGAGTTGTATCGCCATCCCTTCAGGATCTGTCCATCACAATGGTACAAGAAAACAGATTTTCATTATAATTAACATTAGTGACCAGTCTGAATTGATAATATCACCCTTGACATGTTTTCATGTTGTTATTTTGACAAATGAACAATTGTAGATATATTGTCTAGGACATGTGGCCAGAACAACAACTCTAGATATATTGTCTAAGACACGTCGACAGATTAACAACTCGAATAAGGGTCAAGGTCATCTATTTCTTTTCACAAACTTTATCAGGCTTAATCCCTGCAACTCACTAGTCAAATACATTGACATTTGGTCTATTGGATATTGAACAGGAGTTTTTAAAATAAAAAAGTTGATGCCGGACAGACAGACAGACAGATAGACAGATGACATATGCTGCACCATGGCATTAGCTCCTTGGCCCTTCTGACCAAGTTAGCTAAAAAAAAATTCATTCAAAATTGAATGAATCAAATTTTAGCAAGTCATTACTATCAGTTGTGTCAAGAAGTAGATATCTTAGTGTTGACTTTACCTCAGGAGCAATGTAATCTGGTGTGCCACAAAATGTTGTGGCCTTGTTGTCATTGAATATTGCCTCTTTACACATTCCAAAGTCAGCAATCTTTATGTGGCCATCTCGGTCTAACATCACATTGTCTAATTTCAAATCTCTGTCAAATAAAGATAAAAAATGAAAGTAAAACTAATAATAAAAAATATTCTTGATTCTATGTATAGAACAATGACCTCTGACCTCAGAACATCATTTGTGAGATATATATATTTGTATAGAACAATGACCTCTGACCTCAGAACATCATTTGTGAGATATATATATTTGTATAGAACAATGACCTCTGACCTCAGAACATCATTTGTGAGATATATATATTTGTATAGAACAATGACCTCAGAACATCATTTGTGAGATATATATATTTGTATAGAACAATGACCTCAGAACATCATTTGTGAGATATATATATATTTGTATAGAACATTGGGTATTTATGTATTTTCAGAACATCATTTGTGAGATATATATAGTTATTTGGATGTAAAGAACATTGGGTATTTATGTATTTTATGAAGAACAATGACTATATTTGTCCTAACAACTTAACATAGTAAGTAATGTTGATATAGATTACACCTACCTGTACACTATGTAAGTAATGTTGATACAGTTTACACCTACCTGTACACTATGTAAGAAATGTTGACACAGTTTGCACCTACCTGTACACTATGTAAGTAATGTTGATACAGTTTACACCTACCTGTACACTATGTAAGTAATGTTGATACAGTTTACCTACCTGTACACTATGTAAGTAATGTTGATGCAGTTTACCTACCTGTACACTATGTAAGTAATGTTGATATAGATTACACCTACCTGTACACTATGTAAGTAATGTTGATACAGTTTACCTACCTGTACACTATGTAAGTAATGTTGATACAGTTTACCTACCTGTACACTATGTAAGTAATGTTGATACAGTTTACACCTACCTGTACACTATGTAAGTAATGTTGATACAGATTACCTACCTGTACACTATGTAAGTAATGTTGATACAGTTTACACCTACCTGTACACTATGTAAGAAATGTTGACACAGTTTGCACCTACCTGTACACTATGTAAGTAATGTTGATACAGTTTACACCTACCTGTACACTATGTAAATAATGTTGATATAGATTACCTACCTGTACACTATGCCCTGTGAATGCAAATACTGAAGGCCGCTCACTATTTCTGCTGCATAAAATCTGAAACAAAAATAAGTCAAACATACAAAAATCATACAAGGAGATAGGTTTTACCACTTATTTGAACCAATATGAATCCAATATTGTATTTTTACTATATTGATAGTCATTATCAGTTCCATGACATCATTCTAATGACTTTATAATACAAAAGTCTCCTGAACAGTCACCTGACTAATCTCAACTGAACTGGAACTAGGATCTTAATGATACCAGGATTCATAACAAGTTTCATCAAAATCCATTCATATTTACTCAAGTTTTCATGTTCACAAGGTCCAATAGTGAAAAAAAATTGCAAAGGACCATAACTCTGTAAAATTACAATTGAATCAGTTCTACTCTCTAACTCATCTGAGATCTTATTAATATATGGCTGCACACCAAGTTTCATCCCAACCTGTTCCTATTTGCTAGTTCACTAAGTCAAAAAAATGACAAAGGGCCATAACTCTGTAAAGTGTAATTGAACCCATCACATTGCAAAACATTGATATAAGGCTGCATACCAAGTTACATTAAAATCTGTTTATATCAACTAAGTTATTATGTTCACTATGCTCAATGGATATAAAATAGCAAAGGGCCATAACTCTGTAAATAACATTTAAATCCAAGATTGTATTCATGAAAGGCTGTAGACCAAGTTTTATCAAAATCTGTGCATATTTACTCTAATTATCATGAGGTCAGGTGACCTAAAAACTGACTTGATATTATAGCAAATGTCCCACCATAGGGCCTCAACTGTTTAATACTCTTAATAAAGAATTATATACTATTGGGGAAAAAAAAAGAAACTTTATATTTTGACTGTATAATTCATAAATGCATATTCCAAAACCTTTCCCTAATTTTATTGCAATATCTTCATAATGACACAGTGAATCAAACAATTAATTAATTAGGAACATTAAAGCCACAGAAGGAAGGGAAATGCAGATCATCCAGTTTCACTAGTTATGGCATGTCCATTACTGGTGTTGATGTATATACCAAACATTTAGGACACATGAAACTGATCAAATTATAGAGTAGTGTTTGGGATTGTTCTGTCATTATGTCTAACAATATATAATGTAATATAACATAGAGGGTTTGGCTGCCTGCTGCAGATGTCACTCCATTTCATCCCAAACATGCTCAATTGCAGACTTATCTGGTGACACAGCAAGCCAAGTTAGCATGGTGTTTTGCTGCCAGAAATACTCCCCAACAACATGTGAAGTAGGACGTTGTGCTTTGACATGCTGCCAAATAATGTTACATTGACTTAATGGAAGCATGTGATGACGAATAATTTCGTCATGGTAGCACACGTCAAATAATGTTACATTGACTTAATGGAAGCATGTGATGACGAATAATTTCGTCATGGTAGCACACGTCTGTCATGTTGCCATCGACTATAACCAAAGAGGACCTTCCATGTGTTGTAATGCCACTCCAGTCCACAACACTTCCTGTACTAAACTGACAATGATTTATTAAATGTTGCTGTAATGTTCCCCCACCACCTCTGACCAGTCCCTGTCACAGATGTCTCATATAGCATGCTAAGTATTCAACTCTGTGATGTTGAAAAAAACTGGGTTGATGGCCAAACATCATGGGCAGATGTTTGCCTCTCACAATCTGTTTCAGCTCAGGAACTGATTTGTTTAAGTTTTGGAATGCTTCTATCAGTCAATGAATAGGATTTGAATTGGCTACACGAATGGGGCATCTGTATAATTGTATCTCGCCAAAATGGCATTACATGCAGACGATCTGTTTGTAGGCGGTTCCATACCATGTTCTTCTGTTGAAAACACTTCCAAAAAGCATTTAGTGCATTGTATCCCATTTTTTTTGCCAAATCATTCCAAGATATTCCAGCATTTAGCCATTACAAATGTTCATTTTCACCTTGAGTAGCACATTCCTCTTTTATGATAAAAATGTCTCTTTTCATTTAAACCTTTGTATTTTGGTATTTGTTGTGTTTATTCTAGTAAACATTGTCTCATCAACTATAGTAATGAATATAAAAATAATGTTATAACCCACCACAAATGATTCAAAGTATTGAACTTTGTCTGTATTTTAGATCTAACATGTGACGTTACTCATCAATGTATTGGAGTGCAGCTGTTTTACAAATGTTTACAGGTCATAATCTTTTCATTGGAGACAGAAAATTTCAATGGCTGTCTTCCCTAAAGTTGCAACTCTCTTTTGTCAAAGTGATTCTCGCAAGGTTTTAAAAATATTAATTGACTTCTCCAGTAGAAACTTGTGTCCCTTCTAATGGCTTTACCATGTATTGTTTAATTGACTTAATTGCTACAGTACTTAAATACAACTTTAGAATGAATCATTTGAAATATTATAGAAAGATGAAGTTTGCATTCATTTTTTTTTGTGATGTACGTCACTGTAGAGGAAGATGTTGTAGAATATGCAGGTAAATTTAACTTACTGAGCTCTAGGGATGTCAAACTTCCCCGACACCTGTATATGGAACATCAAGTCGCCACCATTGAGGTACTCCATTACAAAGAACAGATGACTCTAGAAAAACAACAATAGTTCATATTACATAAGGATTTTATCATGGTGGTACATTATAACAAACCAAAACCTGATGATACTAGGATCTGACAAAATTTAGAAGTTATCAAACCAATTTACTAGGACTATGATCTGAAATGATTCATGAATGAAACACAGAGTGTAAGGATTGTATTAATTTTGACACATGCACAAATATAAATCAGCCATATAGTTTGATGACATAACTACAGTATCCATATATGGATAACATTTAAATAAGTGTTCATGAATATGCATGAACTACATATGACCTAATGATTGTCATGTTTTGCCATTGTGATAGTATCACAATAGTCAGTCGACTATCACTATAACATTGCAATACCACTACTATTGTGATCGGTTTTTTGTCTCAGTATTCACCCCTACATGGAATGATAGAGAATTATTTATTTGACATTTTCTAAACCTTTACAACAACTTGTTACTGCTAAACCTCACTTGTTTTGTACTTATATGGACAGGCATTAATGTAAAACCATTTGCATGTAATTACAATTTAGGAATTGGAGATATTTTGAATATTGCATATGTTGTATCAGTACTTTTAAATATTCATGTATTATATACAATAGTATATTAAAAACCAGAAGCTGATAACATTTATGCTAATGAGTTGACTAGAGAAACAACTAGGCCACCGAAAGACAGAAAATAAAAACTAGGTATTTTGATACGCAGAGAGGACTTCAGAGGATTGTTCTTGATCGGGATTAGTCCCAGCCTATAATCGGTGTTTACTTACTGTTGTTTGGAAGGTGCTGTGGAGGTGGGTTAGATAAGGATGGTTACAACCAAGGGCCAACACTCGCTTCTCTATCAACGTACACTCCACATCATCATCTTCCAAAACCACATCCTTCTTCAGCACCTTGATTGCAAAGTACTTCTTCTGACCTTTCAACTCTGCTAACATGACCTGTCAAGAAGCAATTTTTCCAATTGTGACATAATATACTTATGTTCTAAAGTAAAGCAAATGTACAATGTGTCCTGTGCTTCTCTAAAGTAACCTAGAGTGTAATTACTAATGTGTCCTATGTGTTACAAATGTGTCCTGTGTGTTACAAATATGTCCTGTGTGTTACTAATGTGTCCTGTGTGTTACAAATGTGTCCTGTGTGTTACAAATGTGTCCTGTGTGTTACTAATATGTCCTGTGTGTTACTTCTGTAACACATGTGTTACTCTTGTATCCAGTGTGTTACCATTGTATCATGTGGTACTATTGTATCCTGTGTGTTACTATTGTACCCTGTATGTTAATATTGTATCTGTGTGTTACTACTGTATCTGTGTGTTTCTATTTTATCATGTGTTACTCCTGTGACATGTGTGTTACCAAATGTAACCTGTGTGTTACTATTGTAGCCAGTATGTTACTATTATATCTGTGTGTTACTATTGTACCCTGTATGTTGTATCTGTATGTTACTACTGTATCTGTGTGTTACTATTTTAACCTGTGTGTTACTATTGTATCTGTGTGTTACTACTGTATCTGTGTGTTACTATTTTAACCTTTGTGTTACTAATGTATCCTGTGTTACCTTTGTATCATGTATCCTATTATTGTAACCGATGTGTTATTATTTTAATCTATTGTATCATGTGTTACTATTATATCATGTGTTACTGTTACAGCCTGTGTGTAACTGTTACAGCTTGTGTGTTACTATTATATCAAGTGTTACTGTTACAGCCTGTGTGTAACTGTTACAGCCTGTGTGTTACTGTTATAGTCTGTGTGTTACTGTTATAGCCTGTGTGTTACTGTTACAACCTGTGTGTTACTGTTACAGCCTGTGTGTTACTGTTACAGCCTGTGTGTTACTGTTATAGCCTGTGTGTTACTGTTATAACCTGTGTGTTACTGTAACAGCCTGTGTGTTACTGTTATAACCTGTGTGTTACTGTTATAGCTTGTTACTGTTATAACCTGTGTGTTACTGTAACAGCCTGTGTGTTACTGTTATAACCTGTGTGTTACTGTGTTACTAATATAGCCTGTGTGTTACTGTTATAGCCTGTGTGTTACTGTTATAGCCTGTGTGTTACTGTTACAGCTGGGTGTTACTGTTATAACCTGTGTGTTACTGATATAGCCTGTGTGTTACTGTTATAGCCTGTGTGTTACTGTTATAGCCTGTGTGTTACTGTTACAGCCTGTGTGTTACTATTTTATCCTTTGTTTTTCTATTATATCCCATTTGATAATCTAGCATCAACAATTGTCTTCAAAACTCTCTCCACAATAAAGGTGACCTTCAGTAATAGCTACTAATTAGGATTTGTGAATCCTCAATCATGTTATGCTATTAACTGTGCTCTTTGCCTGTTCATTAACTGACACAAGTATCCTATGTTTTCTATAGCAATCATTGCAACAAAATCTTAAAACACATTATAGAAGATTTAGGTACATTTCATGTCATTAACTTAATTTCGTCTTCTCAAGGAAAATGTAGCTGCGATAATGTGTTTTTGCTTTCTCTCTTTTCTAATTCAGAAAAGAAAATTAATTAACAAAAGTCTTCCCCCTTTTTGTCATAAAACCATGGTTCAGAATGCTTTGATTTTCTGGGTGTTCTTGTCCTTAAGGGAAACTAATATTTTTTCACCTAATATTCTCAATAACCCTTATTAACTTCAGTTTTATGATAAGATCAGCCATTGTTTTAGTAAGTATCATACTGGCATATACACTACCCTTGTTAATTATTTACTAAAGCTTACTAATTACAATGGCAGATAGAAGTTTCAGAAAACATTTGCTGCCTGATGTTATGATTATGTGACCTAACTTGACCTTTCATAAACAACAACTGAAATGTAAACAGAATCTTAATTCAAACTCAGATTTGATAAAACTAAGGCAAAATTTGAACAAAAGACATGGAAAGTCCTTACAAAGAACACAGAAAATAACACCAGGTGTTCCACGAGGGAAAATTAAGTGTCTTCTGCTACATCAACAACACCGGCCTTATAAACCTTTGTCAATAAAGGAGTAATGTCACATTCTCTAATGAGAGCATTTGGAAAACAATAATAAACCATCACACTACTTCACATCGCACCAGGAAATATCTCCTTTTGAGATCATTTGGATATCTAAAATTCCTTCACAATCTTTATCAGCCTGCATGTATTGTGAGTTGGTCAGGTGCTGTCATCTTGCATGACAATTTTGATATTAGAATATTGAATCAACTGCGATGTGTAAACACCAAAGGTTCAGGATGCAGGGTTTTGCTATCAAGAAATGGAAATTTCACAAAAGGTGAATTGAAATCATCGTGCTTATCATACAACTTGGTAAAATGCTATATGAAAGATCAAGATAAGTGGCTGATGTAGAAGAATCTGTGTATTGTTCTTTATTTCCAAGTTGGGTTGATATATATGATGGAAATTGTCCAGGACATTTGACCCTTGTGACCTTTACAAAGAAGCAAGGTCAATCATATGAACATCGGTACTCCTTCATCCCAGCATGCCACAGGCCCAATATCAGCATACTGGGCCTTCGGGCTAAAAGTTATCAGAGAAATAAAAATCATGAAATTTCTTGAATTATTGGGCTAGAATCCTAAGTTGCCGCTTAAGTTGCAAAATTCAAGCCCTTAGCATCAAGTCCTTAAAGGATAAAACAGATGAATTATGCATTTTACTCACTGTTAAGCTCTACTATATCTAATTCTACATTTGTATAAGATTACATTCACTTGTATGCCTTTTTCCCAATACCTTTCCAAAACTGCCTTTGCCAAGAACTTTGAGGAAAGTGAATTCTCCAGGGGAAAACTTTTTCTTTGGGACACCAGCCCTTGGAGGAGGATCCAACGGAGGACCACCACTTTTATCCCAGATCTTCTCATAGCTTGGACTGTCTTCATCTGAGCTGTCTTCTGGAATTAACTGTCATGGAAAAAGCAAGGATTTTTTCATCAAGATAAACTCACAATCAACATAAATCATGTCAGCAGAAATCTTGAATACCTCACATTTTTTATAACACATTTAACATATAGGATGAAAGTTCTTACAACACAAACCAGTAGTAGACTTGAATGTAACTTTTCCATGAGTAAACTGCTGCCTTCATCTGACAAGTGACAAGTGTGGAGTTCGCTATCACTGACGTACGTAGTTGTATGGGATCAAAACCCAACTTTTACAGCTGTACTATGATCCTATGTACACTAAGGTTCAAATAGTGTGACGAGATGGTAAACAGGTATCTAGACCAAAAAATAAACAAAATGGTAACAATGTACTGTAGTCAATTCAGTCAAGCTTTGTTCAACACTTAGTCATTGATGTGTGAGAGTCTATGGCCCCCCTCATCCCTGTTTAGTACTGGGCCCTTGCAGTGTATCCAGATGGCGTCCTTAACCAGTCATCTGAAAAGGTTGTTTTCCCAGTTAACTATTTTGGAATTTTCCCAGTCAATGAAATGACTCCCTATGTCCAAGTGTTAAACAAATTATTCCAAATTGACTACAATAATATAGCACAACCAAAAAAGTTGGTAGATTCCCTACCATCTTGTAAACTATGTACGTCTGTGATAGTAGGCTCCACACTGGTCATTTGTTTCTAGTAGTTGTGTTGTAAAAACTTCTATTCTATTGATATAACCAACCTGAAGAAATGTTCTGAAACATCTAACATATGTCTGAGACCATGGTAAGTAGCAAGGTTTTTTCGACAATTGTACTAAAAAATATCAGTATTTAAGATTATTGAGGCTTGCTGACCACTTAAATTCTTTAAAAACATAAGAATGATTCCATGTTTAAATCATAATGGTATATAAATGTACCATGTAATTATATGTACATCAATACATGTGCCTGCCATATCATTCCTATATTTCCAAAATTTATGATTAAATGTGTTTTTACTTATCACTGTTATGCCAATGTCTATAACAAAGAAATGAGATCACAGAGGGGATCTTGGCACCCATCATCTTTATTGGTCCCTTACTTGCTGAATATTTTCTCTACTTTTCACTGCTTTATTTAAATAATTTATCTTATCAACAGGTGAATCAATCATATGGGACTTAAATAAACAAAGGAAACAAACATGTAAAATCAAGATGATCTCAATCTAGAGCATAGCTCAGAACCAGAAAATGAACTTTGATAACAATCAAAGTACTTCTCAAGCAATAGCAATATCATTTCTATTGTCAAAATCAAAGATAGCCACTACTCTGCCAACTTTTTAACGCGAGTCAAAACATGAGGCCCAATCAGCTTGAATTGCTCCTCAGTTCTTCTGCAGTCTTACATACAGAACACTTGGTCAGTTTGTGCAATAAATTTCTTGAAACCTGAAAGCCAGACATTTATTATTCAAGCATGCTACTACTTTTCAATTACCATAACTTAGGGACATTTTGTTTGATGAAAAGATGAAATCTTAAGATGTCAACACATTTAATACTTGTGACATTTAATGTGGGTCAAGGTCATTCAATTGAAAAAATTTGATGTTTATTCTAGCATGCTACATATCCAATGTCAGCACTCTGTACCTTTTGGTTATTTAAAAGAAGTTGGTAAAAGATCTTAATACATTTGACCCCTCCGACCTCCAAAAAAGGTCAAGGTCAATCATATGAACAAACTTGGTAGTCCTTCAGCCAACATGCTACAGAACAAATATCAGTACTCTGGGCCTTTTTGTTATTGAGAAGAACTCATTCAAAGATTTAAGCATATTTGACCACTGTGACCTTGGATGTGTGTAAAGGTCATTCATTTGAACAAACTTGGCAGCCTTCATCCCAGCATGCTACAGGCCTAACATTAGTGCCATGGGTCTTTTGGTTATAGAGATAAAGTTTGAAGGGAAAAGCTGATGCCAGATGGACAAATTATGGAAAGGTGACAGACGCTGTGCCATAGCATAGGCAGGAGACTTAATAAAATGAACATCTCCAGGGACCAAGGGGAGTCTATATTCAAAGTTCATCCAAGTTCGTTTGAAGCAAAAGCTAGAACAAAGGTTCACTTTCATCTCCAAGATGGTTGATTTGCCACTATTTTGTTTTTCTGATCAAAATGGATTGAGCACCATTAAGAAAGAAGAGGAACCTGCGTGTGTGATCCAGTAATTTGCGTGTGTGATCCAGTAGTTTGCGTGTGTGATCCAGTAATTTCAAGTTATTCTCAGACATTTTGTATTTGCGATCAGTCTCAAAATTAGAAGAGCACCACTCGGGACAAAAGGGAATATGCTTATGAGACATGAACAAGATCCATCCTTCAGTTTTCACAAAATAGGAATAACAAACTTTCATTATCAAAATCCAGGATGGTCATCCATCAACCATATTGTTTTTGTGATAAGTCTCCATATTGGAAGGGCACATCTTGGGAAAATGGGAAACTTGAATTTTTTTAAATTTGAGAAAGATCCATATAATATGTCATAATAGCTTAAACAAACTTCCATTGCCAAAATTCAACCTGTCAACCATTTTGTTTTTCTGCACAATGTCAAAATTCCAAGGGCCCCATAAGGGCAAAATGGAACTTTCATATCAAATATGAGAATGATCCATCAAGTACTCTTGAAGATATACTGATAAGAAGAACTGTTTAAAGATGGATCACAGATGGACAGAAGGACAACAGAGCATGATTGCAAGACAATTTGGACAGTCAACCATCTAATAATGGTAGGCTAAAATAAAATATAGGAAATTAACATTAACAAGAGGCTCATGGGCCTTAATGGTCATTTGACATAAAATACAAGATTTCAAATTTTGAACTTCAGAAGAAGTCAAAAATGTGTTTTCAAGATGGCGGCCATGTTGGATTTCGGACCAACCTGAAATTAACAAATTTTGGTCAGGATCATGCCACAATCATTTCAGGTAAGTTTCAGCTCAATGAAACATGTAGAACTTGAGAAGAAGTTGAAAATGTTTACGACGGACGACGTACGATGGATGCCGGATGACGCCGGACAAAAGGCGATTGCAATAGGTCATCAGACCCTCCGGTCAGATGACCTAACAAAACTGACTTTTGTTTACATCATCATACAGGATCAACATGAAGGCTCTTCTTTCTTATTGGCAGATATTTGCTGTTTGTTACCAAACAGGTTGTGGGAGGTGATATTACAAATAGGAAGATATTTATTGTGTGTTATAGGTGAGGCGTGGGAAGTGTTCATTCAATGTGACTGCCTAAGGATGCTAAAAATCAGGTGTCAATGTCCGGTGAGTGTGCACCAGTCTTGGCCATACAAAGTCTAGTATTGATTACTGATTATAACATAAGGAACAACTTCAATATGGAATTTTCAAAAATCTGCTATGTCATTTATAATGCAGAATATTGATATCAATAACTTAGTGATGTGTTGGTATTTAATTTACAACGGAACATAAAACTCAAACTGATTCAAAAATATTCCATTCAATAAGCCTTCCTTCCATTCTTGTAAATAATTATCCCTACCTTCTAATTTTGTTTTACCAAAGTGTACATTTTTAAAGCATTTAATCATTTAAAAATCACAGTTAAATATCATCATTAAGGTCGAACATAATATAAAACAATAGTGAATTCCCTATAATAAACTGAATTATCGTCTATTGATTGAAATCAGCTATCAACAACACTCATGAGAAAATGGAATGATGCACATCTAGGGAAAAAGGAGTCTGTACATATGAAATTTAAAAAGAAAAAAAAGAAAAAAAGAAAAATATCCAAACAGTAGCTCTCAAAACCTATATCAAAATCCGAGATAGTCAACTGTTGACTGTGTCTTTTTCTAGATCAGTCCAAAAGTGAGATAATATACAACTAGGGACCAAGTGGTCCCTACATATGAATTTTAAACAGTACTTCTCCAGAAATAGTGACAACAAACTATAACTGTTAATATCCAAGATAAGGTTGAAATGCAAAATCACTGCAGAGAGCACTATTCAATATGGTGTTGTTGCTTTACATGAATGCAGAGCCAGACAATTTCTTTTATGAGGATGAACGGTCAAATGAACGGACACAGAGAATAGATGATTCTATTATACCCCCTAAGTTAGTTCAGGGGTAGTTTACTGTGAGAAGACTGCACCTTACACGTAAGCTTTATTGATCTGCTCAGTATGGGCACTCCAACAGATAATGCACTTTAAAATTCATAGAATTGGCAGGTCTGCATGTTTCTATCTAAATAAAACACTTTCTGAACAATTTTAAGATTTATCAATAGGGAGAAAAAACAAAATGGAGACTTTACATTAGCTGGTAAATCAGAAGACAAATACATGTGTTACTGAAAGCCAAACCTTGCATAGAAGCAATGCTGTGTTTATCTTTTACAAATGTATGTTGTATTGACTATGAAAATTAACAGCCTCAAAAATAGAAGACATTTGACGTCTAACTTAAATAATGAATTAGTTAGTAAACTAATTTGCTCTGCATTAGTGCATCAGATTTAGGAGATTTAATTTGTCAACTCCACTGCAACCTTCAATACTTTTTAAGTAAGAATTTTGAAGACAAAATGTTAAAATAAAAATTAAATCTAATAAGAAATAAAGTGCACCAAATATTATGATAAACACACCCATATATTATGATAAACACACCCATATATTATGATAAACACACCCATATATTATGATAAACACACCCATATATTATGATAAACACACCCATATAATTACAATTATATTGAAACACAAAGAAGATACAATCACATATAGTTCTGTTGACTGTGCCCACCACGTCGATTAAACAAAAATGTGCTTATTTTGTACAATTCAGCTATCACTATTTAATCACAGATAGGGTAAGGTGGAGAGAGAAAGACACAAGCTTTGGTAAAGAGTTAAGTAAGTGCACTACAGAGAAAACCCTGAAGTTTCCAATCTTTTCTATACCTTATGTTTGTCTCTGTTTGTTCCTTTGGCTGATTTGGGTACCTAAATACAGTACATTTACACAAAATCAACACCATTACTAAACAATTGTTTCAATCTTATATGCAGATTAAAAATTCAGTAGAGATTGATGTTCAAAGAGTATCAATATCATTACTTTAATGGACATTTGATAAAAATCTGTTATAGTCTTCAATCATATTTAATTACACAAAGTACATCATGTCAACTGAGAACAAAAATAGGAGAATTTTGTTGTAAATTAAGACCACTACATCATCAATATTAACACTTCAATGTCACACAGGACTTGGTGGTCAGCTATGTTACATGTTAATAATCCTCCTGAAAAAAATTTATTATCCAATAATTTTGAGTTTTCATTTCTCATCAACATTTCACTTTTCTATGAATCTTTTAGATTCGAAAAATTAATTTTACCAAATACTGCAAAAAATTATTCAATTTTCAGAACAATGCTTCACAGATAACCCTTCTTAACATACTTCACAAACAACCCTTCATAACAATACTTCACAGACAACCCTTCATAACATACTTCACAAACAACCCTTCATAACAATACTTCGCAGACAACCCTTCATAACAATACTTCACAGACAACCCTTCATAGCAATACTTCACAGATAACCCTTCATAACAATATTTCATAAACAACCCTTCATAACAATACTTCACAAACAACCCTTCATAACAATACTTCACAGACAACCCTTCATAACAATACTTCACAGACAACCCTTCATAACAATATTTCACAGACAACCCTTCATAACAATATTTCACAGATAACCCTTCATAACAATATTTCACAGATAACCCTTCATAACAATACTTCACAAACAACCCTTCATAACAATACTTCACAAACAACCCTTCATAACAATATTTCACAGACAACCCTTCATAACAATATTTCAAGGACAACCCTTCATAACAATACTTCACAGACAGCCCTTCATAACATCAGAAATAACACTTGACAAAGAATACTTCAAAGATAAGCCTTGATAACATCAGAGATAGCCCTTCATAAATCAAAGTGTTGAAGCCACTCAGACGATGTGTATTGAAATAAAGAAATAAGGAAGTAATATATCAAAACAGAATGCCATATAATCTTGAGTGACTGGTCACGCTGATTATATATATATATATATGATACGAAGGTTCAAGACATACAGTCATGATAAGATCGTATATGATAATTATGATGGATCTGTGAGATTGGAGAGGTAATAACTGATAATGTCCAGTCAAGCGTGACTCTGAAATCTGCATCTTTTACAGTATAGTGCACCATCACAGGCCATAGAAGGTCTAAATATTTTCTTGTGTTCATGGAGATAGGTTGAGATTTCAACATTGATGGTAAGTTATTATAACTGGCTAGTAATCATTTAATTACTTGTTTATCCATTTTACTGGGTTTTTTTTTTTTTTTTTAATTTGAACTATTTTACACAATAGCGACCAAAAGCATTTCATCAATTCATAGCTTATTTTAGCACTGCACATTACTATGTCTCAAATACAAAGTGTATGTTTTAAACTGATGAGTCCTACTGATTCTAGAAGTTGTAGAAGCTGAGGGCAGACATGGTCACCTTGCTAGGCTTAGAGGGAATTTCTCATTAGTCTCGTGGTGGAATGTCTAGCTACAGAACGAGTCACTATAAATAGCCTCATCAGAATTCAAACTCCAGTAGATAGGAGCTGTTTTTCATGATTCCTTCTAATTAATAATTATGTATTAATGATTGCATCAAAATCCAGTCACTAGTCACACCTTCATTTTCCAGATACAACTAACAAAAACTGCACAGTACGTTTCATTTCAATGGAAAACAAGTTGATGAGTCTTTGCTCGTGATTGTACGCTTACAACATTATCACAAGAATGTATAGACTATATTCAATTTACAAGACAGATAAAACATGATATCAGAAAAAATCATATAGACCTATTAGCTGTTCAAGTGTTAAAACATGCTCTTCATGGTATGCTGTAAATTCATGATAAGGACTAGAAGCATTGATAAGACATGAACATGAGATCAGAACTGTTGCCAATATTGAAATAATTACTTATATTTATCAGTACAATTCAATGACGTGATCTAATGACTGCTTTGTTCACATTTATGTAGCTTGCCAACCGCAGTTTATTTCTTTAAGCAATATATCTGTCACAATCTTGATTGTTTTCTCGTCCATGCTTATAAACAGAGTTTAAGCTTACCATCAGAATTAATCATAAAAAGCTAGCTCTATGTTAGTCAGTATTGTTTTGTATTGGTGTTTTCACAAACTTTTCAATTAATTTATTGTTATCATATGTATAATTTTCTATCAAAAATGATCATCTATGCAACACATACAGAATTTTACAGAATAAATGAAAATGTTTTAACATATTCCTAGTTATGTATTTGAATTAAGACTTTATTAATATTCAGATTCTTATCAAATGACCATTTTATTAATAACTAGCATATTTAGGAAACTTCAAAAGCATGGACGAAGACGGATAATCGAATATGATTTTTCTTCCCAACAGAAAAGAAGTGTAGTAATATCTGTATGAAATAGTTTCAAGTTATCGTTTAAAACTTGGCATCTTATCATAATTTTATAAAATACCAGCGTCAACTACTTCATGAACTAATTTCAAAACCAATTTTACATCCTTTCCACAGAGGTGTATGTATGCTGTTGGGGCATTTTTGGTGTAAAATTCAGTCCAAGCTATAAATAGCCTAACAAACTCAGATCTCGGTGATGGCTATATGACACACAGCATCTTAAACATACTTCATGGATAACCCTTTAAACATCACAGATAACCCTTTAAAACATCACAGATAACCCTTCATAACATTACAGGCAACCCTTCATAGCATCACAGATAACCCTTCATAACTTCACAAACAACCCTTCATAACATCACAGGCAACCCTTCATAACATCACAGATAACCCTTCATAACAACACAGATAACCCTTCATAACTTCACAAACAACCCTTCATAACATCACAGGCAACCCTTCATAACATCACAGATAACCTTTCATAACATCACAGACAACCCTTCATAACATCACAGATAACCCTTCATAACATCACAGGCAACCCTTCATAACATCACCGATAACCCTTCATAACATCACAAACAACTCTCCAAAACATCACAGACAACCCTTCATAACATCACAGATAACCCTTCATAACAACACAGATAACCCTTCATAACTTCACAAACAACCTTTCATAACATCACAGGCAACCCTTCATAACATCACAGATAACCTTTCATAACAACACAGACAACCCTTCATAACATCACAGATAACCCTTCATAACATCACAGGCAACCCTTCATAACATCACAGATAACCCTTCATAACATCACAGGCAACCCTTCATAACATCACAGATAACCCTTCATAACTTCACAAACAACTCTCCAAAACATCACAGACAACCCTTCATAACATCACAGATAACCCTTCATAACATCACAGACAACCCTTCATAACATCACAGACAACCCTTCATAACAACACTTGAAAGATAACCCTTCTAAAAAAATAATCCACTGACATTTCATCATATCAATACTACACAGATATACCCTCTACAAATACCTCACTACTATCCTCAATCAATTCATAACAAACATCTCACAAATGGTCGTTCATTGATATCAAAATACTGTAAACCACAGTCAGGTAACAGTACAACCTTAAGTCTCCATGTCACAGTCAGGTAACAGTACAACGTTAAGTCTCCATGTCACAGCCAGATAACAGTACAACCTTAAGTCTCCATGTCACAGTCAGGTAACAGTACAACCTTAAGTCTCCATGTCACAGCCAGGTAACAGTACAACCTTAAGTCTCCATGTCATAGTCAGGTAACAGTACAACCTTAAGTCTCCATGTCATAGTCAGGTAACAGTACAACCTTAAGTCTCCATGTCACAGCCAGGTAACAGTACAACCTTAAGTCTCCATGTCACAGCCAGGTAACAGTACAACCTTAAGTCTCCATGTCACAGCCAGGTAACAGTACAACCTTAATTCTCCATGTCACAGTCAGGTAACAGTACAACTTTAAGTCTCCATGTCACAGTCAGGTAACAGTACAACTTTAAGTCTCCATGTCACAGCCAGGTAACAGTACAACCTTAATTCTCCATGTCACAGTCAGGTAACAGTACAACCTTAAGTCTCCATGTCACAGTCAGGTAACAGTACAACCCCAAGTCTCCATGTCACAGTCAGGTAACAGTACAACCTTAAGTCTCCATGTCACAGTCAGGTAACAGTACAACCTTAAGTCTCCATGTCACAGTCAGGTAACAGTACAACCCTAAGTCTCCATGTCACAGTCAGGTAACAGTACAACCTTAAGTCTCCATGTCACAGTCAGGTAACAGTACAACCTTAAGTCTCCATGTCACAGCCAGGTAACAGTACAACCTTAAGTCTCCATGTCACAGTCAGGTAACAGTACAACCCCAAGTCTCCATGTCACAGTCAGGTAACAGTACAACCTTAAGTCTCCATGTCACAGTCAGGTAATAGTACAACCTTAAGTCTCCATGTCACAGTCAGGTAACAGTACAACCCTAAGTCTCCATGTCACAGTCAGGTAACAGTAAAACCTTAAGTCTCCATGTCACAGTCAGGTAACAGTACAACCTTAAGTCTCCATGTCACAGCCAGGTAACAGTACAACCTTAAGTCTCCATGTCACAGTCAGGTAACAGTACAACCCTAAGTCTCCATGTCACAGTCAGGTAACAGTACAACCTTAAGTCTCCATGTCACAGTCAGGTAACAGTACAACCTTAAGTCTCCATGTCACAGCCAGGTAACAGTACAACCTTAAGTCTCCATGTCACAGCCAGGTAACAGTACAACCTTAAGTCTCCATGTCACAGCCAGGTAACAGTACAACCCTAAGCCTCCATGTCAGAATCAAAGTTAGATAACATGTTCATGAATAAATCAGACAACTGGAATTACACCAGTCTTATCCATACAATAACACTTAGCACAGGAACCAAATGATCCTTAATAGTTTTTTTTTTTTTGATCTCTGATGAAAATGATCTCTTAGATATTTTTCCCGACTTGTTGAAGAAGAAACATTGATTTAGTATATATAAAGGAGTCAGTGAAAGCTGCTGAAGAGAGAAGATATTTCAATAGGTAAACGTACTTGGTTATTCATATACAACAGTCTCTTTGTCTTATCTCATTAATTTCATATGCTGTTACCATGGTGAATCAGTAACTATTATTGATGCAACGTAATGCACTGTAAATACTGTCTAAAGTGTTACAATGATTTTAAGTCATTTCAACATGTGAAAACATTCTGAATCATCCATGGTAACAGGCACATGATGTGTGAATACCATTCAAAACTTACATTTGTAGTTGAGTTGCTATTTGGTAACTTAACAGCTCCTGGTGTTTTGCGAACTTCCCCCAAAGCTTCTGCAAGTAGTTTCTGATTGACGCCACATAAATTTGGCATGAACTTCTCACACTTCTTGTGACAGTTTACTCCACAAACTAATAAAATAGAATTAAAGTTACAAAAGTTGAAACAGTTATCTCTAATTCTGAATCTGAACAAGATATGCAGATTTTTTATCCAAGCAAATAATGAACTTGTACAGGATACATTTTTTCTTGGTTGCAAGGAAAAACTGAATTAACGATTTTATTCAAACATGTTCATTCCTTTTCTTTCATTGTGAAGCTATGACCTTGACCTATGACTTACTCACCTTGACACTTTAAACCTTGCCGGAAAAGTCCATAAAGCAGAGTACCACAGTGATCACAGAAGGTGGGGGACATGTAGTTATTGACCTTAAATTTGTGTGGGACATTTATATTGAATCTCTCTGACATCATCTGTAAAATTAAACAGAAATAAATTCCACAACTGAGTAATGTCTTGCATTCTGAGGTAGAGAGGACTTTTTCCTGTACATAAGATAGGTAAATCTTGCATGCTACCCAGTGACAATTTTTCTCTTTTATCCAATGGCATCATATTCAACTGATTTTCTGACATAAACACAATGAGGGGTAATCTAATCAAACTGACATTTGGAAATGTATCTAGTAAAGAAATGTTTATGTACTTTTGACAATACTAATACTAAAACCTTGTCACCATTACCTTGACATTATAACCTTGAAACTAAAACCCTGTCACCAATAACTTACACTCTAAACTTGCCACCATGATCTTAACATTCTAACCTTGCCACCATGATTATAACATTCTAACCTTGCCACCATGATCTTAACATTTAACCTTGACACCATGATCTTAACATTCTAACCTTGCCACCATGATTATAACATTCTAACCTTGCCACCATGATCTTAACATTTAACCTTGACACCATGATCTTAACATTCTAACCTTGTCACCATGATCTTAACATTTAACCTTGCCACCATGATCTTAACATCCTAACCTTGTCACCATGATCTTAACATTCTAACCTTGCCACCATGATCTTAACATTCTAAACTTGACACCATGATCTTAACATTCTAACCTTGTCACCATGATCTTAACATTTAACCTTGACACCATGATCTTAACATTCTAACCTTGTCACCACGATCTTAAGATTCTAACCTTGCCACCATGATCTTAACATTCTAACCTTGCCACCATGATCTTAACATTCTAACCTTGCCACCATGATCTTAACATTCTAACCTTGCCACCATGATCTTCACATTCTAACCTTGCCACCATGATCTTAACATTCTAACTTTGACACTATAACCTTGAAACTAAAACATTGTCACCATGATCTTAACATTTAACCTTGACACTATAACCTTAACAGTATGACCTCAACACTCTAACCTTGTCACCATGATCTGAACATTCTAAACTTGACACTATGACCTTGACAATCTAACAATGACAGTATGATCTAGACACACTAAGCTTGTCACCATGATCTTATTACTCTAACCTTGACACACTGACCTTGACACTATAACCCTGACAGCATGACCTCAACACTCTAACCTGGACACTTTGATCTAGACACTCTAACCTTGCCACTATGGCGTTGGCTCTATAACCTTATCACTATGGTCTTGGTGCTGTGATCGTGACACTCTCACCTTGGCATTATGATCTTGGCATTATGATCTTGACACTCTAACCTTCACACTATGGCCTTGGCACTATAACCTTGACACTATGACCTCAACATTCTAAACTTGACACTATGACCTTGGCAGTCTAACCTTGACACTTTAACCTTGCCAATATGGCCTTGGCACTATAACCTTGACACTATGACCTTGACAGTATAACCTTGATTCTATGACCTTGGCATGATGGCCTTACACTGTAACCTTTACACTTTAATCTTGCACTTTAACCTTGCCACCATGGCCTTGGCACTATAACCTTGACACTATGACCTTGCCAATATGGCCTTGGCACTATAATCTTGACCACTGTGACCTTGACAGTCTAACCTTGATTCTATGACTTTGGCATGATGGCCTTACACAGCAACCTTTACACTCTAATCGTGCACTTTAACATTGTTACTATGACCTGTGGTACACAGTGAATAAGATATTCCCCAGACACAGTGAATAACTAATAGATAGATGAGCTAAGTACAAACTGTAGATTTTTGAGTTCATTGAGGGTGAACATTTTATATTTCTTAAAATACTGACCTCAAAATAACAGAGAAAAAAATAACAGCTATGATACCTGAAATGACCTTGGAATTATTACCTTGAGAACACATTGTACTGACCTTTGTTTCCCTACTGTCTTTAGCGCTTCCTGGACACTGCCCAAGGATTTTGTCATGACACTTTTTGTGGACTGCACAATTACACACTGAAAAAGGAAACATGTTATTTACTATCTTACTTCCTCATGATGAATTGTTATTTATCTGATTCAATATTGATGGAAAAAATCTGTGTCACTTTTATACCTTTCTTTCCAAAAACTTAATTTCAACCTTTCAATAATCATCTTTTAAATTTTTTTGTGTTCCAATACTTCAATATTTCTTAAAAGCCCTCACATTTGATATATGCACAGTTTGGATCTAAAGGAACTTAACATGATACACTTACAAAGATTTAAAATATCCCTCCAGTATATTTGGAAAAAAAAGTGCTAATCTTCTTTAGCATTTTTATGTAACTATACAAAATCTCTATTGATTTTTTCTAAAATTGAAATGCACAAATAGGGACCAAGGGAAATCTACCTAAGAAGTTTGAGAAAGATTCATCTAATACTTCTACATAAATAGTGACAACAATAACAATTTTGAAAGGATTAACCATGGACCATGTACAGTATAACCAGAAGGTGGGCCAACATTCAGGGGAGATAATCCAACATAATGTCTTGATAGGTACATTTAAAACATGTGGCAGTTGGATAACTTCGATATTGGATAGTACATGTACAATAAGCACTAGGTTGTTCAGCAGAACTCTCATAAATTAAACAAGTGGGTACCTCTCTAGTCATGTTTCAAACCAAAATTAAGTGAAATCTACCCAGGAATTCAGAAGGAGTATCATTTTAAAACAAAACATGGTTTAACTTCCCATTTTGGAGCCCTGTTCCTAAGTCCCCAGATTAATTACCCACCACTAATGATTTTCAAACAAAATTTAAATGAAATCCATTCAAGCATTAACAAAGAGAATTTGAAGCCAAAAATTGACAAATTTCCTAGTTTGATCCACCAAACCTAAGTTCCTAGGGACGACTCTACTGCATGAATCACAGAAATGATCCTACAACCTAAATCAGGTTTCAGAAAAAAATTTGAATAAAATCCATTCAGGCATTAGGGAAGAGAAAATATTGTTTAACTTCCCTTTTGGGGCCCCACACCTAAGTCTCTTGGTGTCAAACCACTTTTCTGAATTTAACCACTCCCACCACCACAGTATTCTCTACCCTAACCAAATTATACTTCAGATCAAATTTGGTTGAACTACACGCAGGCCTTAAGCATTAAGCAAGCAGTAGTGTTTTAAAGGAAAAAACTGGCCGACACATGATAGCAATGGGTCATCATAACATTTTCAGTGAGATGAACTAAAAACTTAAGGCATACTTACTTTTGCACTGATAGCCTTGTTTGTTTAAACCCCTGTCAAAAAATACAAAAAAAAAATGTCAAACATTCTATTGCTAATGAAATAATCTTGTTTGTTTACATCTCAATAAAAGACTTCTAAAACAATGTATTTGTTCAAGATTGTTTTATCTGAGTAGAAAGCTGACATCTGTAACAAAGTCTTATTCAAGGCCAAACTGATAATAAAATGTTACAGAACTTGGCAAGAGACTGAGATATACCACTGAATACATATGTCAGGTAGATGACATAATATTGTATAGGCTTAAACATGATACCCTAAGGCACCAAAAACCACAAGAACAGATACCGGAAAAACAGGATGGAAAAAGCCTAACACAGGGCAGTGTGAATATCTGTATAAAATATCTAAATGCAAATTTCTTGTTTGAATTTGTTCCCTTTTCAATTATCCAATAAGATCAACAACAAAAAATACAAAAAGTTATTTCACTGCCACAAAGGCACTGTGATCAATTTCATAAGTAAACAAACCATTTTCAAACACGACAATGTTTTATGGCTGAAAATACAATATGACCTGCAAGGAAACTAAGTACAAATTGACTTAGCAAAAGTGAATATTCTTTTCAAAATTACTTCCCTATAACTTTTTTTTAGATGATATCAACAATGTCACCTTGACGACACATTAATGTGCAAATCTGGGACCATCATGCCACCTATCAACGCATAACATAGGGAAAATACTACCAACCAAGTTCCTGGTCAAAAACTGGTCACACTGTTGAAATTACCTGGTATATTTATTTATAATTTGGATATTAACTAACAATTACTTTATAGAAAAAGATAATTGGTATCATATGTTGTCTCTATTTCAGAAACAGTTCACAAAATGTCTCCCACAGAAAATGTTTGCTGTCTGTACAAGTATTTATCAATAGCGAGATATTTAACTGACCTTCTATATTGACCCCAGATCACATGACATCTTTTTTGGGGCTCCAATCATTCTTGATTTATCACTATTGTGATTATCTGCAGTATTTACAGATAAGAGATATAAAATTTAACTTTGACCTTGACTTCCCCTCTCATTATGCACATCACAATATCATTAAGAAATATCAGCTAAGATGTTTAGAATTTGAACCGATGACCTTTACTTTTGTAATGCACAGAACTCTTTTCTTCTTTGAATTACATGAAAATTGTATATATATTGCATACATTTTTAGGCTTTGGATTTGTTTAAAAAGTGATTTGCATTATGTATAGGAACAAGGCCTATTGTTGGAAGTTGATTCCAAATACACTACACTGGATTTGTTACCTAACAAAGATTACTTTAATACAATGTTGTGAGTGCTTGTAAAAAAATTTCATATAGGTATGTATGTTAAGTGTTTGATTTTTCTTTCCTTACTGACATGATAATGGTATCAAGGGAAGTCACAGACAGTACCAGCTGTTCCAGTAGACATTTATCATCAGACAAGTGTCAATTATCTTTACAGTATTACTGTTGTACAGTTAATGGCATTGCATTAAAGTATATATTCTTTAAGTTTGATAGATAGATCAGTGACATCTGAAGGAACAGATCACCTGACCTGGTCAAGTCTTGACTTCCAGATAATCGACAACCATTCTTTATCATCAGTTCTCAAAGTTTTGATGGATTTCACTAAGTGTAAAATATTAATTACCAGCTAATTGTTTGTATTTAGACATCTTGTATATACAATAGTGTTGTCTAATCAGTAGCACATGGTGTGACCTAGCAAAGCATATCAACTTGGTAGCAAAATTAACCATCTGGCATTAAAATAAAACTGCTATATATTCCTTAAATATATTAGCACATTATACACAAGGGTGCAGTATATTTATGGTAATTTCTGATTGGAGTTGCTTTCTGTTGAACAGCGTTGTCAGAGGTTAGACAGACACTTCAGCGGCTGTGTTATTGAACACATATCCTTTAATGAAAACCATCAGGAAGAGACAAATCAATTTTATTTATGAGATCAATCACTGCTGGGAATATCACAAATGTCATTGGACAATGACCAATCAAATTACAGTCTGATGGATTGTACCAACAACACACTTCTCATTTAGTCCATGTCTAATTTACTTAATGATTTTTATCAAAGCTTCTCTATCAATGACTCCTAAAACATCAACAAGAAACACAACTGCGTGTTTTTATAAAACCCAAGTTTCAGTATGAGTTGCTACATTGTTTCTTAGCTTCATGTTTAAGCTGACAGCTCCGACTGGTCAGCAGGAGCTGTCAACAGTATTGTGAGATTTCAAATCACCACATCTTCGATACTTCCTATGGAGCTTTCGGAGTGTTCTTTTTTCATTTACTATATTCGTTAATTAATTCTGAAACGTTTACAGTTATTATTTTGGAATGTAAATGAGTTCTCAGTATTGAAGTCGGTATTGATTGCGTTATATTGCTGTAGATCAGATGGCGTGACTGTTCTCAATGAGTCACAGTTCTCACAGTCTCCCTTATACTAAAGTTTTTAGTAGTTAATGACAAAACAGTTTCGAAAAAGCAGGCTTTTAGGTGAAATAATATAACTTTTTACTTAATTAGCAGGAATGAAATATTTTTTGTTTTATAGTTTTCACAAATATTGGATTTTAAATGTGAAGAAGAGGGCCCTGAACAGTTCTCTGACAATCAAACCATCCTATAATAAATGATAACCTTTCCCCTGATATTTTTCAAGCAAATTGGTTAAAATTCATTTAAGCACTGAGGAATATACCATTTAAAAGCAAAATTGTTGAATCACCTGTTGAAATTAAGAATTAATTGCCTGCTCCAATAACGTTTCAGGCACAATTTGAATGAAATCCATTCAAGCATTAAGGACGAGTAGCATTTTAAAGCAAAACATTGCCTAACTTCCTTTTTGGGGCCTCACACCTAAGCCTAGGAATCAAATCAATTTTTTTAATTGAAAAATTAATAGCACATCTTTAATGTTATAGTTAAAATTTGGTTGAAATCCATTAAATCATTAAGGAAAAATTGCATCTGAAAGGAAAATATTGTCTAATGTCCCCTTTTGGGGCCCGTCCCCTTTTGGGGCCCTGCCCCCAGAACCTTTAGGCTTTGAACAAACTTTCTGAATGTAAGAAATGTCTCCCCACTCCAAATTCTGTTTCAGACCAAATTGGTTGAAGTCTACCCACAGCATTAAGGAGTATGGTTTTATAGCAAAATAATGTCTAACTATCCTTTTTGGGGCCCCATCCCCTGATCCCTAGGGATTAAATCAACTTTCTCAATAAGAGAAATGATTGTCCTCACCAAATGATGCAGCAAACCAAATTTGGTTGAAACCCATCAATGCATGAAGGACGAGAAGCATTTTAACGTAAAAGTTTACGCATGGCTGGCGGCAGATGATGACAGACAGGCATGATATCAAAAGACCATCTTGACCCCTCAGGTCAGATATTTGAGATCTATATCCATTAATATTATAAACTTGACCTGACCTTGAGAAAAATCTCGATGTGAAATCTAAGGCCAGACACTGTCCTGTTGGATGACAAGTTGATGTGGTGTTCATTTCAAAGATGACAAAAAAATGTAAATACCACAGCTTCTGGCTTTATTTGGATATTTCTGCCATCAGGTTCACATGAATGACAGCTCAACCAAGATAGAGGTCAAATGGGCCTGCATCTCTCAACTGGTATCCAATGCTTACAAATGTATAAACATCAATATGTGTGAATGTCATTTCCTTTCCTAGACTTTGTCAGGCAACCCACCACTAAATAATCTGGTCTTTTAATCAATTGGTCAGAACTGTTAAAGTTTTTAACAAATTTGACTCTCGAAACCTTGAATATGAGTCCAGGGCATTTCTTTATACAAATTTAGCTCCACTTCATCAAAGGAACCAACAAAGGGCATCTCCTATTTCTAGATTGTTTTATTAATCTGAAGAAGTTGTTTGAATATCAATCAAATTTGATCCCTGTAACTTTGAATATGGATCAAGGTCATTTCTTTTTGCAAGCTTTGTCAAGCTTCATCCAAGGAACCCACCAGTCAAATATCACGATTCTAGCCCTCTTGTTCCGAGAAGAAATGGATGAAAGGGAGAAGTTAACAATGGACTGATGGACAAGAGACTAGCCACTATGGCACAAGGTCACAAGGCCTTATTAACCAAGTGAGCCAATAAATGCTACCTGTTACACACGATATCTTAAACCTGTCCCACAAATTTTAATTCTGTCATTTCAATTAATTCCACTCCATACTTGGCAACTTTTCAAAATTCTTGTGGGGAAGAAACGACATTTCTCCCACGTCATGAAGTTTGTCACAAAGGAAAGATCAAGAGGACATTAATTAATTAACATAGATTTAATAAATATTTGTAATATGTACTTCATATCAATAATATACATGCTATACTATAACATCACAAACATTACTATTTAAGTTCTGATTTAGAGATAACGCGAGTCTTCTATAAAATGAAATTTCTTCAAATTTTCAGTACTCATTGAATTTATACAATGTTATAGATACATTTATTAAGATTTAGAAATATCTGTTTGGCTGTTGGTAATGATATGTATTCCTGTATTCCAAATATGATGTTTCAGAAAGAAAATTTTAAATTGAAATTAGGAAATTTAAAGCTATTGTTCAAGTGAGACTTTAGAAAAAAGAAAATTAGGTTAAAAAAAATAGACAAGAGGCCTTATGGGCCTGCACCACTCATGATGTTTAATGTTCATCAAATATACAATTAATGTTCATCACAAGTACACTAACATATACACCACTGGCATTCAAGGAGATCATATCCAATCATTTTTAACCAATCTGTAGCTTCTAACACTCAGCTCTAATTAGTAACATTTCTGACCTGGATTATCGATAAATGTCAGTTTTTGGGTTTTTTTTTTTCGCTCTCTCCAAATTTGTCGGGCTTTGACCTGGAAAGAAGTATTTTAGAGGTTTTTCACAAATTGGATCCATGTGACCTTGAATATGTGTCAAGGTAATCTCTGTTTGCAAACTATGTTTCATTGGAAAGATTTACCAGCCAAATACTATGCTTCAAGGCTGTTTGGTTAAGCAGAAGGAGTTGTTTTCAGATTTCAGAAAGTTGACCTCTGTGATCCTGAATATAGGTCAAGGCCATTTATTTTTTCAAACACTGTCAGGATTCATACTGTGAACCGATCAGCCAAATACCATGCCTCTGGGTCTTTGGTAAGTCAGGAAAGGATGTTAGATGTTTTAACAAATTTGGCCCCTGTACCCTTGAATATGGGCCAAGGTGGGTTTTTTTTTCGTAAAATTTGTAGGGCTTATACTGAGAACCTACCAACCAAATACCATGCTTCTGCACCTTATTGTTAATCAAAATAAGTAATTTTAAGGTTTTAACAAATTTAAGGTAAAGGTCATTTCTTTTCTTTACAAAACTTTGTCAGGATTCCATTTGGGCATTGAGATGAAGATTTTTTTACGTTTCAGTAAATTTAATCTGTTTTGGTCCCACCCATCAACTCCTGAGGGCCAACCAGGGTCAAGATGTGGATAAACTATCATCCTATTCAAATTATTCTGACCAAGTATGATCTATTTCCAATATAAATTATACAAATTATACTTAAGAATGTAATTTTTCTATATAAATTACATCTTTATCCACTCCCACAAGGAAATGTTTGACACTTGAGTCATGATGCTGGATGATGTTGGACAAACGAGAATCACAATACGTCACATGAGACTTTGTCCTTGATGAACTAGAAAAATATCGAATTTAGTAAACTATTTAATTTTAACTGACTATTCCCTAGGGCTCGCTCTTGAAAGCTGACCATTACATGGCCTTATATGTTATTGTCTTTTAATTAGGAAATACCAGATGTGCTCCAACGCATGTCAGATAGCGAGAATGAGGTTTTACCGAGTAGATAATTGGGCAGTGTATTCACCTAGTTTGCCCTAATCATGTGGTCAGGTGGTCAGTTTTATCTGTAAATGTTCCTACTTTACAAATACATTAAAGTTAAGTTTTGCCTACCTTGTTGGATCTCTTAAATAAGGAGATAACCCCATTTTTTATCAATATAATCAGGAGGTGATGTCGGGAAATAAAAACTGAGAAACTCTAGACTACATTGGAAAGTCTGCCACTCACCACAGAAACTCGTTACAAAATGAACAGTAGGTAGGTTGACGGAAGAATTTTGCAATGAACTGATGTCCTTTGACTTCATGAACTTTCTGTTGTTTAATGGCACCCCGACGTCGTGTGATGGCACCTCCTGTGTTGACCTTGTCTGGCTCTGCTAAAGATGGAACTTGTTCTGTGAAAAAAAGATATCAGGTATCTAACATTAACAATAACCTTACCATATTTGTGGTGTTAGAAATCTTTACCATATTTGTGGTGTTAGAAATCTTTACCATATTTGTGGTGTTAGAAATCTTTACCATATTTGTGGTGTTAGAAATCTTTACCATATTTGTGGTGTTAGAAATCTTTACCATATTTGTGGTGTTAGAAATCTTTACCATATTTGTGGTGTTAGAAATCTTTACCATATTTGTGGTGTTAGAAATCTTTACCATATTTGTAGTGTTAGAAATCTTTACCATATTTGTAGTGTTAGAAATCTTTACCATATTTGTGGTGTTAGAAATCTTTACCATATTTGTGGTGTTAGAAATCTTTACCATATTTGTAGTGTTAGAAATCTTTACCATATTTGTAGTGTTAGAAATCTTTACCATATTTGTGGTGTTAGAAATCTTTACCATATTTGTAGTGTTAGAAATCTTTACCATATTTGTAGTGTTAGAAATCTTTACCATATTTGTAGTGTTAGAAATCTTTACCATATTTGTAGTGTTAGAAATCTTTACCATATTTGTAGTGTTAGAAATCTTTACCATATTTGTAGTGTTAGAAATCTTTACCAGATTTGTAGTGTTAGAAATCTTTACCATATTTGTAGTGTTAGAAATCTTTACCAGATTTGTAGTGTTAGAAATCTTTACCATATTTGTTGTGTTAGAAATCTTTACCAGACTTGTAGTGTTAGAAATAATCACTTTCCATCTTTTCATTGTACCTGGATTTTCTTTAACTAATTTCCTAACATGTGATACACTTCATGAATCAAAAGTGCTTTTCCAAAATATATGTGTTAAGTTGGTCTACTTTCTTAAACTGGCACTTGAATGTTTTTCTTATCCAAAGTAGAATTACTTCATCTAGAAAAATAACACACATAATTTTATAATTTTGTACCGCAAATCTTTTTTCACAGAAAACAGTTTTGTACTTCGACTTTCTCCTAATATACCTGTAACCATGGCTAATTCAGGCACTTTCCTTATGGTGAATGAGGAGTTAGTATTGACTAAGATAAAACAGTTTGTAAATATACCTCAAAAATGTTATATATATTTCAATTATATTACGGAAATGTCAAATCCCAAATTGGAAAGACAACATAAGGACAAGTCAGGTGACTGTGGATTTCCACATCAAGTCGTTTCCTATTTTTTTATTATCTAGCCAAGTTTTTCATTAGATTCCCACTGACGGTAGCTATAAAGGATAGCTGGCTATGGTCTCCCCTGTCACCACTAGTTGGATATATCTCGCTTCAAATGACGATCACTGCAGACAACTGGGAGCTGTCTACCATCCACTAACACACACAATTCACATAATTTCTTTCAAAGCCAAAGAACAAATACAAAATAACAAAGGTCAGGCAGAGCTGTGAGGAATTATCAGATATAGTAAAATACGTAGAACTGATTCCAGATCATTGACAGTACGGTACAATTTATAAACCGGATCTGTTTTCATGTTTGAAAAAGTCATGTGTGCCCCTGAATTTTTAACAATTTTATTAGATATTGCGGTAAAATCCTTAAACACTAATTCTTGGAAAACAAGACTTTATTGTGAGAAAATGGCTGCCCATTCCTTACAGTATGAAAAGATTTATCTGTTAATTTTTTTGGAGTGTGAGGTCGTTCATTCTACCAGACATTTAAATCATGTATCTGTCGAATGAATTTCAAAGGAAGATTGACTTGACATTTACATCTTATATTGTTAAAAAGGCACGTTTCTTATTTAACCTAGAGATAGTATCTAATACAGGCACCAGCAGGAAAAATCTTGAGGGGATGGGTCGGAGATACTTCACGTATAAATCATCTGTTTTATTTTTTAATACTTAACTCCATGAGAATTTGACGGGTAAACTATGAATATTTGTTATTTATAATATTTTGTTGTCTGTTTAAGAGAATTCTAAGATAATATGTCATTACTTACCTTCATTTTCAGAGAAATATCGCACTTGTATTTGTAGTCGACCTGATGGTTTTAATTCCAGCTGAAAAAGAAATAACACATTTTGTTTTCGTTTTTAAATCTTGAATGTTTCTAAGACACTGTAGTGTTCAATACCATTAACAAATCTCAGTGACTACACAGGAAAATAACACTAGTAAGGCAGTATGGTCATTTTTAATTAGGAAAACTTGAAAAACGTTTTCCAGAGTTTAATGGCCATTTCCTCAACAATTGACTCATTTACATGTAATTTTTTTTATGTAATTTTTAATTATTTCAAACTTAACAACAAATTAGAAATACAATGACTTTGAACCTTTTTTATTTTATCAACCAGTAGGATTTAGGATGTAAACATCCATGGTGTATATAAATTGTGACTTCAGAGGTAACAAAATAGTGTCCTCCAAATGGTCTCCAACTTTGATGATGAAAGTTATAATTATGTGAATGATTATCTAAAATCAAGTATTACTGTTATCGTGATGTCACGTAACTATGGTTACACATGTATCCATGTTTAAGATCTGAAGTGAAATGACAGATCTATGCTATCTTCAATGTTTATAGTATAAAGTGAGCTAGCTGACAATTCTTTCATACTCCATGTTTAAGATCTGAAGTGATGTAACAGATCGATGCTTCTTTCTCATATTTAAAGTATAAAGTGAGTTAGAAGACTAATCTTTCAGACTCCATGTTTAAGATCTGGAGTGAGCTGACAGATCTTTCAGACTCCATGTTTAAGATCTGAAGTGAGCTGACAGATCTTTCAGACTCCATGTTTAAGATCTGAAGTGAGCTGACAGATCTTTGTTATTTCCTTTAGGAAGAAACTACTTGTATAACATGGTTTTTGTAACAATCAAGTACATTTATCAGTCCAACTTTCTCTTTTGGATTGACATCTTATTTTCGTACCAGAGGTTTAAAGACACAAATTAATTAAAATTTTACATATCACATCAAATTCCGAACTCTGAGTGTAAACAATACTGAAGACCATCGGATGTTTACAAATTATTGTTCATTCTGTAATAAGCTGAAGTGTAGATAACAAATGGCTGACACTTGGATGTTTGATCTGTGTTAATAACATTGGTGGTCATAAACAATTGGCACTCCACCAAAGCAGTCTTAGCTTTGCGTGAATCAGTTACAGACTTATTGACTGGATCTGTATATCAAATTGGGGTGACATCTATACAAGTCGAGTTGATACATAAAGGATGCCCAAGCTTGTTGTATTACAGATAGCAAAACACTGCAGTATTTATATCTTATATTTCATGCATCAATGGGTCCTGCAGGAAATTGTATTGCTAACGAAATAACTATTGTAATATGATTGATGACAAAACGTTTTTGGGGAAAGTGACCTTCAGATGATACTTTTCAACTATCATATTGATATTGCCATTTGTCCAGTACAAGCTGTGAAGATTCACTGTAATGCTTCTCAAGTGATAATTCTGCTGGATATGCTTTGTGTATAAGGTCAAGGTTACAATCCAAAAGTGACCTTGACCTTGGTCAAAACATTGTACTGGTTATTTGGCGTACAGTTTTGTTGAATGCAAACATAATTATGAAGTTTATCAAAGACTATGATGACAATCTGTATGAAATAAAGTGTTTGCTAGTGAAACCTTATTTCTGGCAAAAGTGACCTTTAGAATAAAAACAATACTTTAAGTACAAGCTCAGTGAAAAACATGCATGTTCTGATTGTCTGGTTATAGTTATCCAGGGCTGATAGAGGAATCCTTTTATCTAGTCAAGACTATTGGAGGAATACCAAACCAATGTATCTAGTCAAGACTATTGGAGGAATACCAAACCAATGTATCTAGTCAAGACTATTGGAGGAATACCAAACCAATGTATCTAGTCAAGACTATTGGAGGAATACCAAACCAATGTATCTAGTCAAGACTATTGGAGGAATACCAAACCAATGTATCTAGTCAAGACTATTGGAGGAATACCAAACCAATGTATCTAGTCAAGACTATTGGAGGAATACCAAACCAATGTATCTAGTCAAGACTATTGGAGGAATACCAAACCAATGTATCTAGTCAAGACTATTGGAGGAATACCAAACCAATGTATCTAGTCAAGACTATTGGAGGAATACCAAACCAATGTATCTAGTCAAGACTATTGGAGGAATACCAAACCAATGTATCTAGTCAAGACTATTGGAGGAATACCAAACCAATGTATCTAGTCAAGATGATTGGAGGAATACCAAACCAATGTATCTAGTCAAGACTATTGGAGGAATACCAAACCAATGTATCTAGTCAAGACTATTGGAGGAATACCAAACCAATGTATCTAGTCAAGACTATTGGAGGAATACCAAACCAATGTATCTAGTCAAGACTATTGGAGGAATACCAAATCAATGTATCTAGTCAAGACTATTGGAGGAATACCAAATCAATGTATCTAGTCAAGACTATTGGAGGAATACCAAACCAATGTATCTAGTCAAGACTATTTGAGGAATACCAAACCAATGTATCTAGTCAAGATGATTTAAGGATTATTCACCCATGTATCTAGTCAAGACTATTTGAGAAATATTAACCCTTAGAAATATCTATAAAGTTAAGTACAAGGCACCAAACTAGTTAATCAATGGGTTTCACATATAAACATCAGCGAGAGTCCACTGACAATATCACCATTTTGGTGGACCCTCAATAAATAAAACAAATATACTCTGTTTAAATAGTCTAAAAACCATGACATGAGGACAAATGAGGTACAATTATTTTCTTCCTATTTTCCAGACAGTACACTATAAAAATTTACCCCTGATTATTACATCAGTGCAGTCACCCAAAACAGATTGCTATTCCATAAGTAATTTGTGATGGATAATGTTCTGCTGTGATTAGTGTTAAGACAGCTAAATTAAAACATTAAAATAAATGGAACAAAGTTATTCATTGAGCCATTTGTATAAATTATCCTTTCAACTCTAATTCTTTTCAGGACCATGCTTGATGTTATGTTTCCGCTGCAAATTTCATTTTCTAATATAGTGTGAAGGCTCACAACAGGGTAAGATAGGGTTAGAAAACTGCTGTCCATCATACCCAGACGATGGTCAGTCTGCAAGTGCTTGGTAACGGTCACCTGCCGTAATTAATAAGAGTTAGCAATGATGTGTTTCTAATATTGGGTTTGACCAGAAACAATAAATCGTGTTTGATTGTAAAAAGAAACTGATCTATCAGTGGACTGACCAGAAATCTTTATATAGTGTTAAACATAAGCTACGAGATTACTTTCTGTAAACCAGTTAGTATGGTAATGCTAATGTAGGTCACTGCCAGCCATCTATAAGGAAATTCTAAAAAACATTTATGGTAACTGGACAAAACAAAAAAGTCTATTTACCCATACTGTGGCTATATTGCCATCGTTGCATTTTTCCGCCAAAGTCTGTGAGGGGACTGTAACTTCGGCTAGGAGACGGTTGGGCCTTTCCATGACAATCATGTTAATGACACGTCCCTCGTAAAGATGTGCATCAAAGCATGTATTCCACTCCGGATAAATTGTTCTCTTCTTCTGTACAAGCTGTGGTCCTCTACCTACATGCAGAATGTTTCACTTTTAAGATAACTTGATAAAACAGCTTTTAAATAGTAACCATTTAATGTAAGGTCACATTCATTCTTGGTAGTGCTCTTAGATATAAGAGGCCAATAGGTCCTGCATAGGTCACCTGGATAGTAAGGCAGACACATCAAAGTAATTCCCATAAGAAAAAATATAAAGTTACTGCCCCTCTGCCTCAATCTCTAGGCTTATTCATAAGGCCAAAAGGGCCTTAATGGTCACCTGAGTTACAATGCTGTCATTGTTCCTTTAACCTGTCATAGAAGTAATCTTGATAACAAAGTAACTACAATGTACATGTAATGCCATGTAAAATGTACATAATATGAAGTGTCAGCCACAACAGAATTAAAAGGAATTCAGCTTGATAACATCTGTGAAACAGGGAAAGTATGTGCAAAATGTAATTAAGGGGTTTTAGCCCTGAAGTTGGTAGCTGTATATCCCCTTTGTATGACAATGTGTACACCAAGTTTCCTTATCCTAGTTTATAAATGAAAGCAATGTTATGCTGCGGACACAAAATTTGATCAAAGGGCAATAACTCAAAGGGAAGCAGACCCTGAATTTGGAACACTGTACATCCTCTTGGTATGACAAATGTACACACCAAGTTCCATCGTCCTAATTTTAAATGAAAGTAAAGTTATGTTCCCAACAAGAAATTTTAGCAAAGGGCAATAACTCTGTTATTAAGGGGTTTTGGCCCTTAAGTTGGTATACTGCACATCCCTTTAGTATCACTAATGTATACACCAAGTTTCATAATCCTTGCTTGACTGTGGCCAAAGTTCGGTTCTGGATATGAAAGGACAGTCGGAGAGGCAAACAAATTGGCAGATATATGCTTCCCTAAAAATTTTGGTGGAGTGTAGAAAATCTTGTTTGAAGGTGTGAACATCTTGAAGTGTTTCCTTGGTTTAAAAAGGGTAATGGATTCACTCATCATCCCACTTCTATAACATGAGACGGTACATGATTTATATCACAGATAACTACAAACTTTCAACAGCAAAATATTAAGTACAGATTTATTTTTGGTAAATGTTCATATTAAATATGAAAGAAACTCCATTTCTGCATATGTTCAAGTGTACAGAACAAGAAGGATGCACAATTTCCCATGAATGGAATCATTTGTTCTTGTGAAACTAGTCTTTCATCCTATTACAGAAAGGTGTGTTTGTCTTCTCACTGGCATATTCTGTGTGGTGTTTTTGGTGTACTGTCACATGTTAGTGAGTCTATCCAGTTTAGTATGCGTGTATGCCTGCATGTAATGCCTGGATGGCTGCAGGACTATCCTAGTCAGCAAATGATACTAACCTGGTGTATTCACCGATTCCTTCACATTGATAGCCACATAGGGGTCAAACAGGTCACCCGCATTAGATTCCATTCTGGCACCCTTCTCCACCTCCATGAGTTTCACTCTTATAAAACCAACTTTGGCCATTTTGTATAACTGTGGTTGTTATGGTAACAGATCTTTTCCTCCCCTGGTCATACACCAAGCTGTAACACAGTAAAAACAACAAAAAATATCAACAAGTCAACATAATCATAATCCAACCTCAAATTAAAGAAGAGGCCCAATGTGCCTGCATCATTCGCCTGGTATTCCACGTATGTCAAAATTAGAAGCAGTGTTTAATAATTACAAATATATTGATATATATACCATTGGCATTCAAAGCAGTCACATCCAATCAATTTTAACTAATTTCCACATTAAACAACTTCTAATACTCAATAGTGAATATTATGACCTGGATTGTAAGTAAATGCCATTTGTTTTTTAACTCAAAATTTGTCGGACTTTCACCTAGAAATACTTTTCCACCAAATATTCTACTTCTCGAACTTTTGGTGCACCAGACAGTCTTCTACAAATTTTTGACAATTCAATCGCTGTGCCATTGAATAAGGGTTAAGGTCATTTCTTTTCATCACAAACTTTGTCAGGCTTCATCCTAGCAATCTATAAGCCAAAATAATTATGACATTTGGAATGTCATGTTTGACAGGCAAATGCTGCAGTTTAAAAAATTGTCGAAGAAAAAAGTACTTTATCATCAGAGTTAAAAATGTTGCAAAGAGTCTAACTTTCTGAAAATGACTCAATCTGATATAGATAACACACATCTACAATGTACAAGGATTACAGACAGCAAGCATCACTGGAATCAATTTGTAGTGGAGGAAGAATAGTCTGTACATTGTTTGATCTACAGACAGGGATTTACATCCTGATTCTAGCGTCTAACGTTGTTGAGGAGGTAGAATGGGTATGATAAAGGCAACACAACAATTGGCATGGGTAAACTTCTGACCATGATTTATTGCACATTACATAATTATAAAACCTCAGAATAACATTAAAGTAGTATCATTACTTTGTGTAGTTTAAACTTAAACTATGGTCTTCTTAGTAAACTATGGTCCTCCTACTAAACTATGGCCCTCCTACTTAACTAAGTCCTCCTACTTAACTAAGTCCTCCTACTTAACTAAGGTACTCCTACTAAACTAAGGTCCTCCTACTTAACTAAGGTACTCCTACTAAACTATGGTCCTCCTACTTAACTAAGTCCTCCTACTTAACTAAGGTCCTCCTACTTAACTATTGTCCTCCTACTTAACTATGGTCCTCCTACTTAACTAAGTCCTCCTACTAAACTAAGGTCCTCCTACTTAACTATGGTCCTCCTACTTAACTAAGTCCTCCTACTTAACTAATGTCTTCCTACTAAACTAAGGTCCTCCTACTTAACTAAGGTCCTCCTACTTAACTATGGTCCTACTACTTAACTAAGGTACTCCTACTTAACTATGGTCCTCCTACTTAACTAAGTCCTCCTACTTAACTAATGTCTTCCTACTTAACTAAGGTCCTCCTACTTAACTAAGTCCTCCTACTTAACTAAGGTCCTCCTACTTAACTAAGTCCTCCTACTAAGTCCTCCTACTAAACTAAGGTCCTCCTACTTAACTATGGTCCTCCTACTTAACTAAGTCCTCCTACTTAACTAAGGTCCTCCTACTTAACTAAGGTCCTCCTACTTAACTAAGGTACTCCTACTTAACTAAGTCCTCCTACTTAACTATGGTCCTCCTACTTAACTATGGTCCTCCTACTAAACTAAGGTCCTCCTACTAAACTATGGTCTTCCTACTTAACTAAGTCCTCCTACTTAACTATTGTCCTCCTACTAAACTAAAGTCCTCCTACTTAACTAAGGTCCTCCTACTTAACAAAGTCCTCCTACTTAACTAAGGTCCTCCTACTAAACAAAGTCCTCCTACTTAACTAAGGTCCTCCTACTTAACAAAGTCCTCCTACTTAACTAAGGTCCTCCTACTTAACAAAGTCCTCCTACTTAACTAAGGTCCTCCTACTTAACTAAGTCCTCCTACTTAACTAAGGTACTCCTACTTAACTAAGTCCTCCTACTTAACTATGGTCCTCCTACTTAACTATGGTCCTCCTACTAAACTAGGGTCCTCCTACTAAACTATGGTCCTCCTACTTAACTAAGGTCCTCCTACTTAACTAAGTCCTCCTACTTAACTAAGGTACTCCTACTTAACTAAGGTCCTCCTACTTAGCTAAGGTCTTCCGACTAAACTATGGTCCTCCTAAGTAACTAAGTTCTTCCGATTAAACTAATGTCCTTCTTCTAAAAAGACATTTGTCTGCTACCACCTAGCTTGCAAATTGTGACAGTATACGAGTATGAGCATGAAGGAACATGATTCTGACTCTATTTGTCAGTCCATGAATCTGTCACTGAAAAACTGACCTTTATTTATAATTGGAAACATGAGTTTCCCAAAGGAGGGACAGTCACTAGTGTAGACAAAGTCCTCGGACTCCCCACTGCTTCACAGTTTAAGGACTGTATGATATGACCCATAGGTCTTTACAATGCCAGAGCAATGATGTTTGCCGATGGGAAAATACTTGGAAATAGAAGATGTCGTGGAGACAGAATACCTGTCAACTAACCAACCCATAGGTCATAACGGATAACATAAGCTGATGATAAAAGGACTGCATGCCACTCTGCAGTATCTGTCCACTAATATAACGGCTATTGTAATTTTATGTACATAAAAATGCCTACCACCATTTTCTTAATAATATATCACCAAGTTAATATTTTCAAAGTCCAAAATACACAAATTTAGCAAAAAAATCTAACTGAATATGCCAAAAACTTGCTTTATCTTGTTAGAGATAATTCATTTGAAAATACTTAAAAGTTCTCAAAATTCACCAAATTATCATACTTTTTTCAATGAAATCATTCAAGATGCAAGACAGTTAAAAATCTACATGGCATATGAAATTATGAAGAGGAACCTCAGAAATGTGAAATCTGAGCGATAGCCATCTACTTCTCATGTAATAGCATTAACAGGCTGTATAGACTTTGAAGTGTCCTTTGTTTCACACAGACATTTCACAGACCTGCTGTACCAGATGAGAAGCTGCAAAATGCATATAAATCCTTGAAACAGGTACACCTAGAGAATACTCTATTGAAGTGGGAAAGCAGAGAGTGTAATGACTGCAGATGTTTAGCTGATGATGTGAACTGTTTACATAACTAGTCTGGTGTGTTTGGCACACAGTAGAAGACAACCTGAGGTTCCTGATAATGGCACAGTTTATACAACCCTACCTACCAATCCTAGGCTCTGTCTGTGATTACATTTATATCAACAGGTCAAATGTTATATTATAGGATCATATCAAATAATTGGCATAAATAATATTATTTCTTTATCGAAATATTTTGCATTTTAAATGAGATAATGATAGAATATTTCTTCTGAAATATACATCACATTGTTTCATAACAAGACTGGTTAGCTTTAATTGCCCTAAATGTGGAAATACTTGTGTAACTACAAAACTAAAAAAACTTTTTAAAACATTTCTTTTAAATAAAGCTAAAATATATACAATAATTTTACATTTCATAATACATGTTTTATATAATAGAATTGCTGTGTTGCATGACCATGTAGATTCATCTGAAATAGACTATAATCCTTCGTACAACATTCCTCAGTCCCTGTTATACTGACTATATTCTGATTTGCCCCCTTTTTATAATAACATGGACTGAGGAATGTTGGTAGAAGGATTATGGTCTATTTCAGATGAATTTACCTATATTTACCTGTGTTTTTTACCTTTGGTTACCTGTGCTATTAGCCTATGTTGAAAAACTAATATCATATGAAATGACAGAATTCAAGTTTTACATACCTGTAAACTTACTTTATGTTAATACAACACAGAAAATTGTTAAAAAAGAAAATAATTTGTAATATTGTTTTATATTTAATTACCAATGTTTAGAATCAATAATTTTCATCCTATATTAATTTTTATTATTATTATTATACCCACTGCTACCCACTCTTGGACAACAACCCACTACTTCCACATGCCAGATATGAGAGTGGAAGGACAGAAGGACAGAAGGATGGAAAGACAAAATGCAAAAACATAAACTATACATTGATTGAACTAATATCACTGATGATAAAAGAAAAATATTCATCCGTTTAATGTTCATTTAAATACATGATCATACTGATAGATGAAAAGACATCTGTTATATCAGGTACAAATTATCAGCATATCTCTAACTTTAATAGAGACTATTTATAGGTAAATCTCATACAGATTACCACTTACAGATAAATGTGACAGAATTAATACAGGGAACACCAATGGTTGGATCCCAAGTACAACACTGGTACAAGTGGATTATTCCTTATATTCTGACTGTGTGGTAAATCCCATGACACCAGTGATCTCAGTGACCAAACTTTGGTGATAACAGTGATTGGCTGGTCTAGAACAGCTTCTTCAAAACTGTTGAATGTTTTTACAACACTAAAGTCATTCCAAAGACAACATTAAGTGGTGCTAAGATGTTCTGATGTGACATGACAATCCTGTTGTACTGTCAGCCAGGTGACAACAAAAGGTCATGGATTACCGAGCTCTTTAGAAAGAAGGTGTCTGCAACTATTACATAAACTATGGAAGTTATCCTGTTTGTCAAGACAGTGTACATCGATTGCCTGTATATAGATAGGGGCTTATCAATACCCTACAACATGCTGGGTGTTAGTAGACTATAAAGGGGCTGAGAAATTAAGCAAAAAGAAATCCCAGGGTGTTATTGGTACCCATCATTGTGTAATCTTTATATATTCCTTTAAAGTTGGATCTTTCCCCCCATCCCCCACTTCTTTCCTCTGTTTTATGCCCTTGATTATATGAAATTTAAAAACTCCTTTAAAGAAATAGTAATAATAATCTTAACTGAAAAATTCAAGATGGTTGCTTGCCAGCCATTTTCTTTTTTCTGATCAGTTCCAAAATCAAAAGGGCACAACTATGGAACCAAGTGGAATCTATATATGAAATTTGAGGAATCCAGTGTCTCTCAAGAAACAGCAATAATAAATGTTCAAAGTCAAAATCAAAGAAGGTTGCCTGTCATGCATTTGGTTTTACTTATCAGTCCCAAAATCGTTTGGACACAACTAGGAACCAAGGGATCCCTACATATCAAATTTGAAAAAAAAACCCCAACTTTTCCAGAAATAGCGATAGCAAACTATTACTATCTAATCCAAGATGGCCACCTATCAGCCCTTTTTCTGATCAATCATACGATCAAATTGGCATAAGTAGGGACCATGGATAACCTACATATGAAGTTTGAGAAAGATCCATCCAGCACATCTCAAGAATAAGCTATAATCTTTCAAAGTCAAAATCCAAGATGACCAACAAGATGGAACCTACAAATAGTCAAGAGTGACCTTGATCGATGTCCACCAAAATGATGGGATACTAGGGGAAGAATTTGAATGAATCAGTTCAGATTCATGATATATCATGTACACAAGTTTTTTTTTTATTTCAATGAGATTAACTGTGACCTTTGATCTTTAACCTTGACCTATTTTAGTTTTTATCCAATATAAACTGCAGCTATATGTCAGTAAGTGGTATACTATCAGCTGAGATAGGACGATGACTTACCTTTAGGATGGACTAAATAAATCTCTAATGACCAGCAGTTGTCATTGTAACACACAAACAAGCTATAAAAACACTATAGTGTCCAATGGATTAATTAATCCAACTAGGTATGAAACTGTCAATAGGTACTGATAGGTAGGATCAGGAAGCTTTTAAATCATGTCTCTTTACAGCCAGGTGTTACACAGATGTCTCTTTACAGCCAGGTGTTACACAGATGTCACTTTACAGCCAAGTGTTACACAGATGTCACTTTACAGCCAGGTGTTACACAGATGTCTCTTTACAGCCAGGTGTTACACAGATCTCTCTTTACAGCCAGGTGTTACACAGGTGTCTATTTACAGTCAGGTGTTACACAGGTGTCACTTTACAGTCAGGTGTGCTGTACACAGGTGTCCTTTTACAGCCAGGTGTTCTGTACACAGGTGTCCATTTACAGTCAGGTGTACACAGGTGTCTTTTTACAGTCAGGTGTTTCTAAAGCATCTTCCTCACCTGCAATAAATAAAATCTCATTAGCATACAACCAGTTTATGTTATAAATAGTACAAAAATATCCAATGTAAACAACGTTACAAAATTAATCAGTATCAAACCGTGTTAAGTGAGAGTTTGTACTATCCATTAATTACATAGGCACTCACTGTGTACAGAAACATAAGAGAATTAAATACTATTTATAGTATGGAAACAAGCCATATCACCCCAGAATCACAAACAAGTTTACTGGCCAAAGAATGAATCATTGTTACATCAAAATAGTGACAGGTTATCTGCATGATTTGTCATCAATTTTACCAAGACATCAATTAATCAACTATATTAATATTGACAGAGGGGAAGTGTTCCACAAATGCCGTTACCAAAGTCTGCTGATACCTGTATATTCTAGCGGGACTAGTATCAAATAAATGTTAAGGGTTCATGTTGTCTGAAGATTTCTAGACTTAATATTGATACAATATCAAGTATAAATATGTTATGTAATACCAGTCTATTATCAATATGTGATGTAACATTGACCAGGAGGACCAGTGGAACAACCTATCTATATCAAGTATAAATCTATGATGTTTTACTGACCAGGAGGACCAGTGGAACAACCTATCTATATCAGGTATAAATCTGTGATGTGTTACTGACCAGTAGGGGCAGTGGAACAACCTATCTATATCAGGTATATATATGTGATGTGTTACTGACCAGTAGGGGCAGTGGAACAACCTATCTATATCAGGTATAAATAAGTGATGTGTTACTGACCAGTAGGGCCAGTGGAACAACCTATCTATATCAGGTATATATATGTGATGTGTTACTGACCAGTAGGGGCAGTGGAACAACCTATCTATATCAGGTATATATATGTGATGTGTTACTGACCAGTAGGGGCAGTGGAACAACCTATCTATATCAGGTATAAATCTGTGATGTGTTACTGACCAGTAGGGCCAGTGGAACAATCTGTCTGCATCAGGTATACATATATACTACATGTGTTTATACAATTTTCAGTAAGTATGTAAACCTGCTGTCTAAGTACCTTGTGTTATGTATCTACATCTGGTTAGTCTATATGATACACTGACCAGAAAGTGGATACTACAGCATACAGTAAAGTTAGGACTAACCTCTTCCTGAGTATGAAAACTTCACTTGTGAAAATGGTGTAGGTTACAAATTGATATTAATCATTCATCTGTCCTACCTGTAACATACCACATTCTGATATCAGATATCACCTGTCCTACCTGTAACATACCACATTCTGATATCAGATATCCATCCGTCCTATCTGTAACATACCACATTCTGATATCAGATATCCATCCGTCCTATCTGTAACATACCACATTCTGATATCAGATATCACCTGTCCTACCTGTAACATACCACATTCTGATATCAGATATCACCTGTCCTACCTGTAACATACCACATTCTGATATCAGATATCACCTGTCCTACCTGTAACATACCACATTCTGATATCAGATATCACCTGTCCTACCTGTAACATACCACATTCTGATATCACCTGTCCTATCTGTAACATACCACATTCTGATATCAGATATCACCTGTCCTATCTGTAACATACCACATTCTGATATCATTCTGATATCAGATATCACCTGTCCTACCTGTAACATACCACATTCTGATATCCTGATATCACCTGTCCTACCTGTAACATACCACATTCTGATATCAGATACATTCTGTAACATACCACATTCTGATATCAGATATCACCTGTCCTATCTGTAACATACACACATTCTGATATACCACATTCTGATATCAGTAACATACCACATTCTGATATCAGATATCACCTGTCCTACCTGTAACATACCACATTCTGATATCAGATATCACCTGTCCTACCTGTAACATACCACATTCTGATATCCGATATCACCTGTCCTACCTGTAACATACCACATTCTGATATCCGATATCACCTGTCCTACCTGTAACATACCACATTCTGATATCAGATATCACCTGTCCTATCTGTAACATACCACATTCTGATATCAGATATCACCTGTCCTACCTGTAACATACCACATTCTGATATCAGATATCACCTGTCCTACCTGTAACATACCACATTCTGATATCAGATATCACCTGTCCTACCTGTAACATACCACATTCTGATATCCGATATCACCTGTCCTACCTGTAACATACCACATTCTGATATCAGATATCACCTGTCCTACCTGTAACATACCACATTCTGATATCTATCTGTAACATACCACATTCTGATATCAGATATCACCTGTCCTACTTGTAACATACCACATTCTGATATCAGATATCACCTGTCCTATCTGTAACATACCATATTCTGATATCTGATATCACCTGTCCTACCTGTAACATACCACATTCTGATATCAGATATCACCTGTCCTATCTGTAACATACCACATTCTGATATCCGATATCACCTGTCCTACCTGTAACTTACCACATTCTGATATCAGATATCACCTGTCCTACCTGTAACATACCACATTCTGATATCAGATATCCATCCGTCCTATCTGTAACATACCACATTCTGATATCAGATATCCATCCGTCATACCTGTAACATACCACATTCTGATATCAGATATCATTGCCTACCTGTAACATACCACATTCTGATATCAGATATCCATCTGTCCTACCTGTAACATACCACATTCTGATATCAGATATCCATCTGTTCTACATATGCTCTCCTGTCCATTGTTATCAGATGCAAAAGGTTGCATATAAATTGCCTTAGTTTTAATCCAAATGACACTTTTATCACATTCATGTACCCTGAATTTCTCTAAACATATACATATAATTCAAAGGGTCCTGTTCTATCTCCAAAGTTAATCTTTGCAAAGAATAGTTCATTTTCACTATAAACATTCAGTTTTCTTTAAAATATGTAAAGAAAAAAAATTTCAGTTGGAACATCATACTTAGGTGTTGCCTTTATGCTCATCCTGCAGGCAAATGTTTAAGGTATTTTAGTGCTTTAAATGTGTGAAGCTTGATAACGATCTCTCAAGAGATGAAGCAGCTAGAGTAATGACAACAATTTTCTAAAAATAGTAGTAACCTTGATCTCAAAACCCTGAAACTCAAACTTGTCAATGATATTATGGTCATTTGTAAGTGTGATTTGATCAAAATCCCATATGGAATGAAGCCCCCACTCTTCTTCTTCCCTTGGTAGTTATAAACAGCCATTTGAAGGAGGTCACCAAGTTACCAGGGCAAGAAATTTGGAAAAAGAAATACATTGCATGGACATCTATATGAAGTCCTTATTATTCTTTCATCAAACTGAAACTGGTTCACAAGTGTCAATACAATGTTTAGGCAATATCCAAATTTCAGTATTTATCTCCTATACTTCATTGTCAGGGGAAAAGGGAAATTAAATTATATCTATTTTGTATACACAGAAAACACATCACAGAATTATGGGTCATCTTTTCTACATTATGATTTTATTGAAGGCCCAGTGTTACACTCATCTACAGATTGATACACATAGGAGGGCCCAGTGTTACACTCATCTACAGATTGATACACATTGGAGGGCCCAGTGTTACACTCATCTACAGATTGATACACATAGGAGGGCCCAGTGTTACACTTGTCTACAGATTGATACACATAGGAGGGCCCAGTGTTACACTCATCTACAGATTGATACACATAGGAGGGCCCAGTGTTACACTCATCTACAGATTGATACACATAGGAGGGCCCAGTGTTACACCCATCTACAGATTGATACACATAGGAGGGCCCAGTGTTACACTCATCTACAGATTGATACACATTGGAGGGTCCAGTGTTACACTCATCTACAGATTGATACACATAGGAGGGCCCAGTGTTACACTCATCTACAGATTGATACACATAGGAGGGCCCAGTGTTACACTCATCTACAGATTGATACACATAGGAGGGCCCAGTGTTACACTCATCTACAGATTGATACACATTGGAGGGCCCAGTGTTACACTCATCTACAGATTGATACACATAGGAGGGTCCAGTGTTACACTCATCTACAGATTGATACACATTGGAGGGTCCAGTGTTACACTCATCTACAGATTGATACACATTGGAGGGTCCAGTGTTACACATTGTAGGATCCAATGATAATTTCATCAGCTACAACACCAATAGGTCAGCAGCTTTGATGATGCTATTTATTGAATGGTATTTGAACCTTTGCAAGGTCATCTGGTCACTCTCTCATAGTGTTAGGTGATTTGTAGCCACTTATTGACAGGAAATCATGTGATGATCAGTACATCAGCTGCCCAGAGAGCAAGGATGACGAGTGTTGATCATTCATTTGGATCCATTTATGGTTAGATTTCTCAATATATCAGATAACAAACCTGGTCTATATATCAGATAACAAACCTGGTCTATATATCGGATAACAAACCTGATCTATATATCGGATAACAAGCCTGGCCTATATATCAGATTACAAGTCTGGTCTACAGTTCTATATATCAGATAACAAGCCTGGTCTATATATCAGATAACAAGCCTGGTCTATATATCAGATAACAAGCCTGGTCTATATATCAGATAACAAACCTGGTCTATATATCAGATAACAAGCCTGGTCTATATATCAGATAACAAGCCTGGTCTATATATCAGATAACAAGCCTGGTCTATATATCAGATAACAAACCTGGTCTATATATCAGATAACAAGCCTGGTCTATATATCAGATAACAAGCCTGGTCTATATATCAGATAACAAGCCTGGTCTATATATCAGATAACAAGCCTGGTCTATATATCAGATAACAAACCTGGTCTATATATCAGATAACAAGCCTGGTCTATATATCAGATAACAAGCCTGGTCTATATATCGGATAACAAACCTGGTCTATATATCGGATAACAAACCTGGTCTATATATCAGATAACAAACCTGGTC